TGCTTGTTATGAATACCGTCAGTATAATCTTCATGTCTCACCAACGTACCAAGGTTACGTATCATCTGATCTGGCTGTCACATCACCAGTGGCATCACAAGTGGTCATTTCTACTCACTCAATACACGACGCCATTGGAATTCGTGACTCATTATTACATCCACAGTGATAACATCCACTAGGACTCATTGCAAATCCACTGTCACTTTGGTGAATATGTGATCACAGGAATCTCGAATGGTTTTTTGCTTGCTCTGAGATGCCTTCTTTGTACAGAGTCCTCAGTCATGAACTAATCTGGAGCTGCCCTGTTTAATCAAACATGTCAGGAGCATCTACTTCTGAGGGGTTCCAAGATGATAGAAGACATGTTTGCAATTTAGACCTCTATTGTCTTACTCCACGCTACTCATATACTCTATGACCAGATACTTTTCGGTCTAGGAAGTCTGACAACAAGATCCTGTTGCTAGTCAGCGTTCCAGTGACCAGCGCCGTCTCTGAGAGGAAGTTGATGACGAAGAGACCCTCGGATTCGCGGTCCTGTATGCATATAATAGAATGTCTTGACAGAGGAGCCTCCTGTGTGAACTAATTGCCCTCATATGGTCTCTATCGATATAGAGAAGAGTCACCCGACGAATTAATTATTGTAAATACCAATTCGACGCCCAGCGGAGGCCAAATATTTTTACAAAATGAACAAAAATAGAAACCTTCGATGGCGACGGTAGATACTGATGTCTTCATTGCTATTGGTAAGAATACCTGCCGAGTTGGTCTTGACAGCACCATCAAAACACAAGCCTTATTTCAGATCAAGTCCATGTCGAGACCAGCACGGGTATCAGAACTCGGAGCTCGTGCCCTGATGTCGACCAGACGGTCCTGGCGCCTAACATCATCAAGTTCTTTCCATCATCTCCGATCCTCATCCTACCTCCCCGCCCCTCGTAGCGCGCTTGACCACCACTAAGTACACCATTACCCCGAGGCCATTGATGTCGTTATCGTCACGAGGTGGTAGAAGGACTGAGTCCTACGCGTATAAAGATCGGGGTTGGAGGGGGGGGGGGAGACAGGTGATACCTCTTTCGGCTCTCGCTGCCATGACATGGCGCAGGGACTTGCAAATCTTCACGAGGTATCTATAGCCGAGTGAGGTTCCACCCACCACAAAGAGGGAGCATTCATAATGATGAAGGAGTATCCCAGGCCGCTCTCATGAACCGGAGGGCCCGGTTGTGATAGTGGCGGCCGGCTGGCTACCCCGAGCGTGGGGTGGAATGTGTTCTAAATTATGCAAACTAATACTACGACTTCACCTCTCTATGCAGTCATCAAAATCATCAATGTCAACTTCCTATGGTGACGTTAGCTCTAGACACGTGTAGCCATGGAGGTGGTCACCAGAGTGGGCCGCGATGTAGAATCCCATCGTCCTGGTCCGTGGTCACAAGCAAAGAGAAGAACAAGTCGGCCCCGGAGGCTCGGACAAGGACGGGCTAGACGTTTCTCATGCACATTTGGCTGGTTAACGTAAAGGGTGTGACGTACACTGGGGTCTGACATGAGCCCGACGATCGCCAGCTGGCTGAGGAGGATCATGAAAATGAATTATGACAACTCTGATTGGCTGTCTTGAAGGAAAGGTTCCCTAATGATTTAGCTCGCGTCAGTCAAGAGACCGAAGGGATTCATGGAGGGTGTGAAGAACCTGGGGCAGCGGGACAACATCTAAAAACATCAAGGGCAAGCGAGGCTGAATAGCTTCCGGAGTTAAGTCGGTATCTCAATTCGAGAATCGTGAGAATGTCTATCAGAGCGAGCAATCATTATATTGCGAACTGAGTAATCCATCATACGGTTATTCTGGTACGTACCTGCAGTAGCAGGTGGGTTGTCAAGGCTTGAGAGCTCATAGCAAGACTTAAAGATTGCATATGTGCCAAGGCTGACCAGTCACACCGGTCGAGCTCTTGCATAGAATACGTTTGCCTTCATTCCGAGATATTCGAGGCAAAACATGTAGTGATAGCTGCTATAGCTCACGGTGAAGACATTGTCGACAAGATTGACACAATCGAGTACAATTATGAGCTCTTAGCCCCTAGACGTACGTCAGATGACCCGACTTTACGCCTATAGGATGCCACCAATGGCTTGGAATCCTTGCCAAATAGTTCTCTGCAAGCATTGTATTTGTCGTGCGGAGAACTCTTGGCGATCTGGACTTGCAGCTCCATGAGATCCGGGGAAGCCTTCTCTGAACCATACAAGGGTCATCAAGTCATCCATGGTGGATGTTGACAACTGTCTTGCGCTAGCCATAATTTGTTAACCATTCGTTGTTGATCATCTACATTCAAGGACTTCGTCACGTCTTCTTCTCCTCCATGCAATTCACTACCTTCTTATGCCATACGTAACCTCCCCCCCCCCCCTCCCTGTTATGCCAAGGCCGGAGCATGCACTGTCAGCTTCCGCGGTCAGCAACGCAGAAGGTCGAAAAAGAGAGTAAGCTTGTGGGTGTGGATATGCATCACGAAGCGAACTCGTCTGGGGTGCAGCAGATGCCAAGGCCGATGAGGAATCGTAGTGTCTGCAACGCCTTCTCGCGTGCTGGGGATGGATGTTGTATACATTGCTTCCTGGGGGCTGACGCTCACGGCTCTCACCAATCACAGCCTTGTGACTGGGAGAAGAATAAACGGAAGGGGTCAGAGACGAAATCCAGCTTGCCCGTTTGTGCAAAGGTAGGAATTGACGAGATTGTTGAGGCAACTGGCGCCAACGTTGTCTTTCTGAATACGGTACCCAGTAGAGAGACAAGGTGCATTTTTCTACAGACGCATATAGGATCTTGGGAAACTATAAGTAGAGAGCACATGCCCTCAGAGAAAGTGTTCAGAGTCTTTAACCACTACCAACTTGGGAGCCATCCAGATCAGAAAATTCCATAAAACCAACAAGTTTCAACATTTTGATACACAAGATGCAATTCAAAGTCATCTTTGCTTTGCTGGCCGCCTGCACCGCGGTGGCCGCGGTTCCTGTTGAGAAGTCGACCCGCGGTAAGTATCTCAATCCTACCATTGCTGGTGCGTTCTGGCACCAGTTTGACTGACCGCACATTATGTCTCAGACCTCACCTTGGCTGGAGCCGTCACTGGTCGCAACCTTGACATGGTTCGTCGTCAGGATGATGATGATGATGGGGATGATGACGATGGCGATGGCGATGACGATGGCGATGGTGATGACGGTGATGATGGAGATGACGACTAAATTCGAGAACATTTTGACGCAGTGGCGGATCGTCTTGGTAGTGTACAATATAGTCTACCCTCAATGAAACACTTTCTGCCCTGACTTTCTCTATGAACTTTCGTAATACATACTCATATGTTGTATTAGCATTTGTAAAGGTTACAAATGACATCTTTACCACACAGACTGATGACCGATGCATGAGTAAGAACAATGTGTAATAATATCTGAATTGAGAAAGCAACTTTTGATCTGCTAGCCAGACAGAAAGAGCCAGAGAAACTGGAGACGTAGCGCATTGGTCCTGCTGGCACTTCATAACTGCATAGGTCGTAAGGGGGACGGAAGAAGAATGTATCTTATCACAAAAATCATATGCAACATGTATGTCCTCACCCACGCAACGCTGACGGCATCTGCACAAGAGGCCATACAAGCGAACCTCTTAGGAGTCAATGCCAAGAAGTCAGATGCAGCTGAGCATCCACTTTTGGTGTCCTAATAGCGACGCCTGCAGCAATGTCACCCTTGACAGCAGAGCTGCAAGAGCACACATGAGGTTATCACTATCACACCGGTATTAAGCCATTCGCGCATCGTGGCTGTATTCGGCAGCAACGGCTTACGTATCGTCCTTTGAAGAGGTGCAAGATTTTCTTGGCATATGTCTTGGCAATACGAGCAAGGCTGCAAGTCATTGCCCAATCATGTTCGACTTGTAGTCACCCGGACACAATTCGGCATCCTCCACCACTAGAAGACCGGTCTATTCTTGAACATAATGACGACTATCTCGAAGAGGAAGTACGGCCCGTGTCCCCATTATGCAAAATTCCAACTTCCCCATGGAAAAGTGGCTTGCATTATTCTTATCACTAACAAATGGTGTTGAGCCATCTTCACACGCCTGTGAGAGACCAAAAAGAGTAATATGTGATGAAATTCTGCATCCATCTTGTCAGCAACAGGCATAGAGACCCCCCCCCCTACTACTTACTCAATGGACCCAAGGGACATGTACAGAGGCTCGGAGCATTCTCATGGCTTGAGATGGTGGTGTTGAGCGCCTATTCTTTCCTTTCAAAGACCAGAAAGCAATGTGACTACATTTTCATGGGTGGTGGTGTGCGTGGTCAGATCAGACTTGCAGATTCAGTGTGACACTTGAGCCGTGGAGACAGCCAATGCTCATCATTGCTCATCTCAAGCCAAATGCGAGTTTCCGGCGCACTGTCCAGACAGGCATACCGTCTATCCGACATTGTTGGAGTTCATCATCATTCCCTCTTCCCTACTTTCCTCATCTGCAGATGCAGAAGAATTTCGTTTTGATCACCCAGACTGGCTTCACCACTTGGTCACTGGCCATATTTCTCCAGTTTGAGTCTTTGTTTGAACATCTCATAATAGCGCCCAACAGTATGGCCACAGACAAGAAAAGTCGTGGGTCATATCATGACCTTGATTCAAACTCCGACAGTGGGGAGTCTGATGCATTCCTAGTCGGATCACAAAGCCATACACATGATGGCTTCCATTTCTCAGGGGGAATAAAAGCTGGACGGACCCTATTTAGAGGCGCCGTGCTGGGTCTCTCTTGGGCCGTAAACCTCATCCTGCTGGCTTTGTCTCTTGTGCTGTGGTCACAGCTGCAGAGTCTCTCGAGCGATGTAGGATCATACAAATTGGGCTTTGTCCCTGACTTTAGTAAGTCCGCAGTCCGACCAGACATGCCGCCGTATCATGTTACTAAGTGCTTGCAAGAATTCAATGACGGGGTTCCCCTCGAACTAGTCCGCTTCACTGGGAGTCCTCACTTCTACGCGAACGGCACCGCATGGCGAGACCCTGTCGACCCCAATGCGCCATGGCCTGATAACATGCAGCTCTTTGGGGACCCGACCCCGGAAGTCGATGAGAACTGGGAACAGTACATAGGCAAGAGATACTTTTCCATTTCTGAGGAAGAGGCCATCCGGGCTTGGGGGGATAAACGACACGAATATGTTGACCAGAAACGTGGTGGTTATTCTGCTGGGTATGTTTTTGAGGAAGTCCCTCTCATTTTGTATATGCCAGGTGATACGAATGGCTAATAAGACCCGTTTCCATCACATGTCGCAGTCTCGATGTGTTCCACAGCCTTCACTGCATCGTAAGTCGCACACAGCTGCTCCTAATTATGCGGACATTGCCTTTCACAAAAAAAAAAAAAAAAAACTGCTAGTAATTGCTGATCTGCTCGCCAACCTGACAGAACGCCCTGCGGCTGGCCCTTCATCCGGAGTATCATGGCTCTCATCAGCACCACCGTAACCACCTCCCGCACACAGAGCACTGTCTCGACGTGCTCCGCCAGTCCATCCAGTGCTACGGAAGCACCACGCTGATCCCGACCAAGTTCTTCGAGGGACGTCAGCGCAACTACATCGATTCGGACCAGGTCCACGTGTGTCGAAACTTCAACTACCTGCGGGACTTTGTCACGTCACGCGCCAAAGGTCATGACGCTTATGTGGAGCGGGACAAGTCTTTGCTTGACGAGCGTAAGCACGCGATTGTGAAACAGTACTATGCAGACAAGAAGGCGAAGCATAAAGAACATGGTGAGCACAATGCGTGATGAACTCTTGGCTCTCTGAGCGACATGGTACTGGTATGTTCGGAGGTTGAGACGCACTCATTATGATCATGGAAGATTCAGCAGATGGTGTTACATCGTGTGTGAAGGGGAAATTATGTCCGCACGCAACGTTCAACGTTGACAATGTGGATTTCACTTGAAACTTTTCCTATTCTGGTCATCTTGTTTACAAATAGCACGACTTGGTGGCTCGCAGTTATACTGATCTGTTATCGTTATTGCTTCGTGAGCAAGTAATTGGGGCAGGTGAAACTGCTTATACTTCGCAGCGCAAAGCCTCTTGATACTACAGATCTCACAATCACAATCACTAGACATCTCAGGGACTATCGGACAAAGGGGCTAGCGACACTATGTCATTTTAACTTGAAAAATCCAAGAAGTCCTGCCTACTTAGGTCGTTATATGCTTCTTCTGAGTTTGCTGGATCTGGCTACATGGAGTATGACCATGGTCGTAGTAGCAAACCGATAGTATTACCGGAACAGAGGCGCTGATATCGTCCAAGGGCTGAACGACGACCCGAACTCGAATTACTCGGGAGCCACCTCTAGTTGTGAAACAATACCTGGACATATTGAATGTAGTGTTCTACAAGAAACCGCTAGGCTTATTATCAAATACTGCATCGACACGCTTCTCGTTCTGTTCTTCACGCCCAGGGTGATGATGACATGACGATCAGGCCGTGAGACCTTCAGAGACCTCACCATTGTCAACGGCGCAATTTGACGGTGAGCATAGCACGTCAGTGAACTACGCAGGTTCTATTAGTATAGTATTTGACACGAGAATTAAGACAACCCGGCAGCACGAAGCCAGTATCCTATTCAAAACTCAAGTATCGTCATGATCGGTCAATGGTGAGTGCCAAAGCCCTGTTGATTCGTTGCCCGTCCATACTTTTGTCAGCGGGAAATGTCTTCGGCTAATGGTTCCTCTGCTGTCCGTCTCTCAAAGTGGTTGTCATGACTGCGGGCATCACCTGCTATGGCTACGTTCAAGGCCTCGCCACAGCGTTGGACACCCTTCGCGCACAGGCTTACGGCTCCGGCCGGTAGTGACTTGATGGTGTCCAAGTGCAATGCATGGCCTTCTCTGTGACTCCTGCTGATCCCTGTGGCGGTGTTGTGGTGGTGGAGTGCAGGGCTTGTTCTGGAAGCAATGCTCCCCTAGAAGGAGACGGGCTATGAATTCTCCTGTTCGGCACACTAGGGGTCACAGCCCTCAAGGCATGTAAACGATGTGTCGCAGCCCAAGGACTATTCCATTTGCTCACTACAGTCTTACTAGTTTCGACCTCCCTCAATGTCTTGCTGAAATGGTTGATCGTTGGAAGTTCGACAGGGGCTTTGTAGGTACAGGCTCCATGAATGTTTGCATGCAGACCCTCGTACCGGTTCTGCTCACGCTGTACGTTGTATTCATCGTCGGGATGGGTTGCTGAGGTGAACTGAGCTGGCGGGCGCTCACAGACTGGGGGTAGTGTTCGTGGAGACAGCATAGCCTGCTGAACAACTAAGAGGATCATACTGAATTCTGAAGATGTTCAAGGGCCTATATGGAAGCTCGCCTGGCCTGGGGGTCTCACCATTGAGGCACATAGTCTCATCTATGAGATCCTCGCGTTAGTAGCAGCACCGTTTGGAATCACTCACCTATCGGCGCAGAGCATAATGACTGCCATCACAATGATGACGTTCCAGCTGCCGCTAGCCCTTGCGATCGCTGCACCTACAAGTCACGAGTGTCGTTGGAGCTGGGTCTGTGGGCATGGTAACGCTCTCAGCGAAAGTGGTACGGAGAAGTGGCTAAGTCCTCACAGCCCATAATTACCTCTCGGGAGAAAAGAGAAGAAAGATTATCTGGCGCTAACTGAGGACAAACCCCCCTCTCCGAAGGGTTTCGCTGCCTATTGTGTCGTCCTCTTCAACCTGACACTCTGATCATAACGCGCCGGATGAACTGGGCCATGTTCACCTACTATTGTGACTTCATTCGTTTCGTGGTTGACGGTCTGCCGATATGTGGGCCCTTGCATATCTTTGATGCCGCTGCCGAGATGTCATCCAGCCTTCTCATGGGATTTAGAAGGCAGGATATGGGAGGGTATACGAATATCTTCTCGCGTACATGATCGTATTGCCTTTGGCGCTTACGCTGGCCTTTGAGCATAGATGAGTACTTCAGTGGTTGTAGGCTGGCTACACGATAGGGGCTGCCGTGTAAGTGTTCTTAGGAACAGTGTGATTATACCAGCAGATTTCACGTCAACGAGAAACCGAGCTGACGCCATGAATCGATCATTGATGGCGTTCTCGAGCTGGTGTATCTCGTGCGCACAGACTAGGACCAGGCAGCCGTGGAGGCTCAGAAGAGGGATACTGAGGCTCTATTTGGCCTCAGCGCGGGAAAGTGGAAAAACACAGCCTAAAAGAGGTGTGATTGTGGGAGAGATTCATGAGAAGAGAAGAAATGGAGGTCTGGATGCGGCTGAGGAAAAAACAACCCTAACCCTGGTGGGACGGGCCCTTTCGAAAAGACAGGGATAGACGCTGTTCACAACCTGGTGGAGCCAGGGATAAGGTCTCGGCCGGCTCGGAGTCAGGGAGCCCCTGTCGAACCTAGCCCCTTGCCCTCCTCACGTCCCTCCCAATGGCCCCCTCATGTGGAGAATGGGAGATGCAGCCTTCCCTCCCCCATTTCATTTGCATCCAAGGACTCGAGATGACAGATGGTTCGCATGCCAAGGTGACGAGGCACACTTCACACACGCACACAAGAAAAAACATGAGACTGCATAATTCTTCCGTCTGAGCCTGGACGCTGGCATATCCCTGATGTGTACTAACCTACAGATGGTCTGATCCGCGCCACCGCCGGGAAACACTGGGAAAGCAACATCACAATTTGACCCAACACCCAACAAACACAGCACGCATGCGCATCTCAAAGACGCACTATGGGCTGCGGGCCGCGACGCCATGTCTGGAACGGTGGCGCGGCCAATGTCGTTGCGGTGACGACAGGAAAATAAACTTCAGTCAGACAGTGCATGACAGCCGCCGGCCCCATGCATCTGCAGGGCAAAGACAGCCAATGGGTCCGAGGAGAAGAGAGAGAAGACGGGGGCGGCGCGACAGAAGCATAGATTCTCGTTCTCGTTCTCCTGCTCCGTTCCTCATGTAGACGGGTCATGATCAAACATGACTGTCGTTGATCAGGCCATCACGATCCGATCCAGACGAGATGGGAAAACCGACAAGAGAAAAAGCATGCCGACAGGGACAAGTTGCCTTTGGAGACTTTCAACGGGGATCACCGAGAGGGGGGGGCTACTCCTTCTTTTCATTTTCTTTTGACTTCCTTCTCTCCTCCGAGACTCGAAGTCTAAAAGGCCTGGCGGTTCATTTGCAGGACCACGCCGGCTGCAGCAGAAATTCTCCGTCGGCAACACCTCCTCAGGCTGGTGCGGCGTTAGCTGTCGGTGGAATTGACGATGTTGCTTCATCCGCTAGGACCTGAGTGGTCAACAAAATCTCGAGCGACAACCAGATCCTCTGTGATTCCGCCTCGGCTCGGCTGATCAGCAGATCCAGCCAGCAGATCGTTGGACCCTACCCCAGGAGTTTAATCTGGGAGGAGCAGCATTCTGAGGTAACGAGAGCGAGAGCGCCGTGCGTGCAGGCTTGTACATACCTCGGACGACACAAACAAGGGGGACGGAATAGACGCAGCAAGAATGTTTTGAAACATCTGCGGAAGCTGATGACTTTTTAACACTTGAGACGAAACCTGCCTGGACTGCCTGAGCCTCTCTTGTGGGTAGTGGTTGCGCTGACAGCTGACAATGGCCTGTTCAGCCAAGCCCTCGTCCTTTCCAGGTCCTCCTTTGCGCCTCTCTTGCTGCAGGGAGCTGAGTGTGCCCTGCGTGGACTCGACATGCCCCGAAGGGGGCCCCCCTGGGGGGTTTCCACAGCAAAAAAGACTTGGGGAGGGGGGTCCACGATCACAGCCCGCGCCCGGCTGCAAGCAAGCTAGGGTTGTCATTGGCTGAGATCCTGCAGAACGCCATTGTTTCAAAACGTTGCTGATAGCGGTGACCCTTCTGGGGCGCGTTTCAGGTGCAACCCACTCGGCCTCTCAATTCGACGATTCAACCTCTCGACCTCTGGGCACCTTGGAAACACTTTGAGCCACCATGGGGGGAGGGGGGAGGGGAGGGGGAACTGCAATGGTCCTCATGAGATCAGAGACGACCCTGTCTCGTTTCCCATTTTCCCCTCCTTTGGGATCTGCCCCGGCCTGGTGTTCCATCTCCAGTTGTTCCTTTTCTTCTTTCTTCTCCTCTTCGTAGGAACCCTGCCCTAAACTTGGCCATGAACTTCAAACAACAACAAACAATCTCATCCCACGCGGCCACCCTCTCGCCCGCTACTAATTTCTTTTCTCTCCAGCTGGTCTGAATACTCGAGTCCTTTGCGGTCACCGACACTGGCTTCAACATTGCCATTCCTCCCCAGGCTTGAAGGAGTGCGCGCACGGCTTAGACCCCCCTTTTCTCCGGGCGACGGAGGCTCATCATTCATTACTCACTGGCCTGAGCTTTTTCGCTCATTGTTCAAATTTTTTTCTTTCTCTTTCCTTTTCCGACACTCAGCTCGCACGCGCGTGCGCGCCCGGCTCCCAGCGTGTCCTACATTCATATTGTCAACATCTTGTCGTCTGTTTCCCTCGTACTGGCCACCGTGAGCCTTCAACCATAACGATAACCACCCTCTCTCTCCTCTCTCTCTCTCTCTCTCTCTCTCTCTGCGCTTTCGATTGTACAGTACTTTTGGTCGCTGGTGTCAGATGGATCATCAGCCGCGGGACTCGTCACGGGACAGCCTGGCTTTGGCCAGGCAACATGTTCGCGCTCTCACTGATGGCGGTGTGTCACGAGAGGCGTTGCTTCGCGCCTTGTTAGAGCAGGAGGAGGCCAGCAACAGTCTGCCTCCCCTCTCTTCTCAACAGGCGCCTTCACAAGCGCCGCCCCAATCACAGCTGAACAACCGGATACCTCTCTCGCGGTCTATGTCAGTGTCCCAGACAACACGTTCCCAGTCGCATTGGTCGGTTTCCACAAATGGTGAGTGCCTTGCTGCTTTCATCTCATCCAGTGTGGTCTTGTGTGGTCTCAAGTCATGCATGTCATCTGGTGATCCTGGGAAGCATGAAACTAAAAGAAGGTGTCACAGGTCGTGCACATGAAGAAGGCGATCGGCCGGCGAGCTCAGATCAGCTATCTACTGTTACAAGCCTTTCGGGCTCACGAGGTAGCTATCTGTCGACGAATACAGCTGCCACCTCGCTATCGTCACGATCAAGCACTATCACTCAGTTTCCCGGTCCCGAGCTGCAGACCAGTAGACCGACCTCGGGCAGCACAAGAGCTTACTGGTGCACATCGTAAGTTCTCGTCCTGCTCACACGCCGTCGTACCATGTTTCCCGACCTGGTGGCGTTTTCTTTCTCTTTTCTGTTCTAGACCTACGCCGCCGAATGTATCTCCTGACCACCACCCCGTTGCTAGGTGTGATACCGAATTCAAGCGGAAATTTGATTGGAAGAGGCACGAGGACGAGTTTCATGAGCGATACAAGAAATACCCGTGCCCAGACTGCAACCGCGTCTTCTGGGGAGCGAATACCTTCAACCAGCATCACAAAACACGACACAACTGCAAGACATGCCCTCATGCAGATAAGGTCATCAAGTATACGAGAAAGAAGCGCGCATGGGCCTGTGGATTCTGCGCCGCTTTCCTCCCCTCCATGGATCGCTACATTGACCACATTGGCCTTCACTATGAATCCGGGAGGACGAGGGCTCACTGGTACCACTCCAATGTCATCTACGGACTGCTGCACCAACCTGGCGTGAACTCAGCATGGAGAGATATTATCGGCTCGAGGTTCAGCCACATCCCCAAGGACCAACAACCTCGATATGGATGGGATCCGAAGACGACTGGGCGGAAGCAAGGCTTCTTGGAGAATGAGACAGCTGGCAATCTGCAGGATCTACTCGAGTTCTTCAACCCTACCAAGGACGACCCGATCAAGGTAGCACGCCTGGCGTTTGACTTTGCCGAGCTGACTGCTGCCAACCAAGCCGCAGGCAGATCGAGTCTAGACGTGCCCGACAAGACCGCGCCTCCTCCGCCGCCCCCGGCCCCAAAACGAGAAAAGTCATCTGCGTCCTCGTCCTCAAGGAAGAAGCCCCACGGGGGCATCCACAGAGACCTGACGCCTCAGGAACTTGCGCTACCCCCACCTACCATCAAGGAGCGACCCATAACACAGTGGCCCGCCCTTCGACCTGCCGACATACCAGAACTTCCCACCAGCTCAGACGCCATGCCTCGACATGACGAACCTGATGTTACAATGGCTGACTTTGACGCTTCCGCTGTCCCGCAACCCCTGTTCGCCAGCACCTTGTCACCACCGCCTCAACCGCAGTACCACGCACAATCTACGCCTGGTATTGCCATCTCCCGATCTTCCGATCAGCCTACATTCTTGGCACCACCAACCCCGCTGCCCCAGACTCCAATCACGCCTTTTCCCGGTGGTGCCATGCCCCGCGATACCGTCGTCGATCTGCTCTCGAATTACATGTCTCAAGACCAGCTCCAGGGCGTGGGGAGGAACTCGGCCGCGCAGCAGCAGCAGCAGCAGCAACAACAACAACAACAACAACAACAACAGCATATGCCGCAAGGTCTCAACCAGCACCCGCCGCCCTTTGGCTCGTACGAGGACTGGAATTCCATTTGTAGTACCATGGTCGAGGATGTCACCTCGCCACGCCACGGGCCACCACTACCCCTCGCACCGCACGAGCGACAGCAGCAGGCAGTCAGGCGGTCTGATTTCTGGACCCCAGCAGGCGACGGACCCGAGACGATATACATGGAAGACGTGCAGGCGTGTGATCTGGCAAGCCTGTCGGGGGCCTCGTCGCTCCACGAGCAGGGCGGCGCCGGACGCAGGTCGGACGTCTGGGCCTCTTCTGGTGCGGTGGACTATGAGGGCATGGGGTATGACGAGGAGATCGCCGCAGGGCCTCCACCGAGCGCCGGTTGGCTGTAGGGCATGTGTAGATGTAAGAGGGGGCGTGGGGCGAGGTAGAGCCCCGAGGAGACCTCGACGCGGCGGTGCCAGCGTGGGGCTCGCTCTGTTGTTGTTCTTAATGGTAATAAAGTGTTGATACATTGCGGATACCCCAAACTTTCTGTCATCGTACCTGGTCAAGTCTTGCCCGTGTTGCTGTTACAGAAGTGGTTGTATATTAGTAGATTCGTGTCGTTGCCCGAATTTCCCAAATCTTGTATATATTTATCTACAGACTATGATGATTTTATATCTTGGTTTCATTGCCCTTGTCCTCTGTGAAGCTTGGTGCCTAGTCCAGATTTGTCACTGGCGACCTGAGACCTGCCTTGACATAATAACAGAAAGCAGATCAGCAAATTATATTCCGCACAGCCTCGATTTCTTGGGTAGAAGGGGGCCTTCCTATTTCTCGTTGGTCCAACTGTGAGAAGCATTGAATCATGTTCTCCTGCGCAACTTGTCTCATGAAACTTTTCAGGAAAGGACCAAAGTGTGATATCACTGTACTGTCTACGAATATAAATTAAAAACTTGGTGGTGTGGCTACAACCATCGGACTCTGCTGCTCCATGCATGATATTGTCGCTGATGAACACTAGCACTCAGCACCCCAGGCTGAATCGAAATTCCAACAGAGATCAGTACCCAAGCTGGAATCACGATAAATAAGAAGCTCTTAATTGCAAATACTCAACCCAAACATGACTTCTTCATGTGCAATGAAAACCTGGGAAGTAAAATCAAGCAGGCCTCCCCACTGGGCCGAACATTCGTATGCTATTTAGCATTGGAGCTCTAGAGGAAATGAAAAGAAGATAAATGAAAGAAAGAGTAAAGAACCATCAGACAGTAAAGTGGTCCACATCAACCCAGTCGCTTAGTTCTCAAGAGGCACCAATAGATCCATGCTCTGATGATCCAAAATGGCAGCACAGTGGCGCTGAGACATGACATCCACAACTTCCTTGGACTGCATCATCGGTCCAGCCAGAGCCCATGCAAACCCATGCATCTGATGTGCCCGGTATTCCTGTTACAGACAGAGCGTCAGCCAGAGCAATATATTTAGCAAATTTGGAAGGCAATTGACTACTCACATCCCAAACCTGGTCCACCTCCAACCCGGGCCCTCCAACACGGAACAACTCCTCCAGGTAATAACCAAACAGCTCCCTCTCATGCCTCCTCCGGTCCTCGACTGCCAGTGCTCCCGTAATGAAATAAGCCACGTCATGTGCAGCCGAGTTGACATGGACACACTGCCAGTCCAGGAAGCCAGGCTGACCCTTGGCGTCGATGAAGGTGTTGCCGACCTGCGTGTCGCCGTGCACCAGGCACTCCATCTTCCAACCCTCAGCGTCATCCCACAGCGCGTGGAAGCACCTGACGATCCTTTCCCTATTGTCCCAGAACACTTCGCTGACAGGAGGCCGCACGGCGGAGTCAGAGAACCGCAGCTTCCAGTGCGAGGGGCTCATCATGCCCTCGATCACCCCCCGCATACCTGACCAGGAGCGATCCCAGGGAATGCCCGCGCCTCTTGTCTTCTTCTCGCCCCAGGTCGCCGCGTGCAAGGCTGCGAGCTGGGCCAGAGCCTCGCGCACCTGGTCAGCGGACCAAGGCTGCAGCGGGTTGCCAAAGGTGAAGCCCGCTGCTGCAACGTCCTGGAGGATGAAGATGCCTTGGCCCTTGCCGCTGGGCCTGTCGATACCTTGCCAGTACGAGGGGATAAGGCGCAGGCCGGGGATGCGGGGCCCGATCTGGTGGTAGAATAGGGCTTCGAGGCGGTAGACATTGAAGAGCATAGGGAGTGACTGGAGAATCTCGGGGTTGAAACCTCCCTTGACGCAGAGGTTAGTAGGGAAGGAGTGCCTAGAGGCATTAGGGTATGACAATTTGATCAGAATCTTGCTGCCGGAGCCGTGGATGATTTCTTTGACTTCAAATGAGATAATGGGGACCCCGAGGACTTTGGACAGCCATTCCAAGGTGACCTCGTCGACCGTCAGAGGCAGCTGCTCGCCGGCCTCTAGAGGGGTTGGAGGATCATTCTTAGCTTGTGGGACACAGAAGGCAGCCGAGACCCTCTGCACCAAAGTTTTGCAGATCTCGCCAAAGTCAACCATGATGATCAAAAGGGGGTGGTCCGAAAGTGGTTGGACGTCAGGCGTGTTGTGAGGTTGTATAGTATAGGAAGTAGTACTTGGATGATTGAACACTTTCAGCCCTCACGAGCCAATATCAAAACCAAGATGATAGAAAGGAAAGACAAGTATGAGAGGTGACAAATGGTCTCAGGTATACCAGCAGTGCTTTCGGATCGAAGAGAAAGAAGCGTTGCAAATGCTGAAAGATCTAACATTGGTTGAGTGATCCACGTAGCGAAGTTTTGAATATTTGTGTGTTTCTCTGTAATATATATCCAACAGAAAGAACGGCATCCTGCTTCGGTCCTTTTGGCCGCAAGAGAAAAAGGGTGGTTGCATGGAAACATAAGCCATCCTACGCTAGACACGGCACACTGGTGCGCCTCAAGCGCCGCAACGATAACAGCACGCATATTTGAAACCCAATATTGCCCACCGGTCTCAAGAAAATGGCGGTCTACCTATGATCCTAGCCACCAATGGCATTCAAGCTGCGGAATCGTCGAAGAACTGTTGCGCAGTGGTCCTTTGGGGGGGGGGGGGGGCAGGGTGTGTGTGTGTGTGTGTGTGTGTGTGTGCGCGCGCGCAAGCCCGTGGCCAACTTTGGCCCACCTCTCTTCTTATGCCGGCCAAATCTCAGAATCTTGTTCATGCATACTGGGAAGAGGGAGGGGGGCCTGGCTCGTATTGATCACTCTACGTATGGTGTATTCAGGCGATGGATGGGTGTGGGACCTCTTACTGCAGATGATGAGAATCAAATCTCCCAGGATCAAGCTGAGGACCGGGGCGCGAAATAGAGACAAAGACAGAAAACATTTCGAAACGGTCACAGGGTTCTTGCTGGTGTCAATATCAGTCGATTTTCCCTGTCCAGTCTTCCAAGTTGGGGTTGACCATGCGTGAGTGAGTCGCTGCTGAAGTGATAGCTCAATATTTAGGCACCCAATCACCAACAAGACTTGTTAATAATCAGATGGAGACATGCGCATGGGAGCTCGCAATTACGGATCGTTCAACGGCCGTGCTTTTGAGGGCTCACAAAGTGGGAGGAAAGCTGAGTTCAAACACATGACAGTGGATATGGCTGCTGTGAGGCTTTTGCAACGGCTACCATGGGCCACGGCAACGAGCACTCGTTGGGGCTCTGTCGACCTATCACCTCGGTAGATTCTATAGATCTTGGGCTCACTACTGCCCGGACACGGGAGAAGACGAGGTCTGTGCTGTTGAAGAGCTGATGTTCTGAGTCGATTGGCATGGCTGCAGGAGTTATTGATGGTAATGATGATGAGAAACATATGACTGGCGGTGCGCAATGATAGACGGTACGAATGGGAAGATGGAAGAGTTAAAAACGGCCATGGCTCTCGCCACTACTTACTCGCTCGAAAATAACACCCAGCTACCCAGCTGCACACATTACAATTGTCTTTTCACAACTCTCTGTGCCATCGTCTCAGTGCTTTTTGACAGAAAGAAGAACATGCCTGAAGTTGGGTTGGTGGCAGCTCCAGTGGGCGAGACTTCAGATTTCTCCAGCATTTCAGATCTCCAGGTCACCATTTTGATTGTATTTCTTCTTACTTCTAGCATTGCTACTTTGACACTCATCCTGCGGCTGTACACTGGAGCATTTCTGGTCCGGACTCTGAAGTTTGATGCGTGTAAGTCACAAAGCATTTTCTCTCAAGCCCTCCCCCTTCCTCAGGGACGGAAGGGTTAGGAAAATATGACCATGTTGGGGTGCAAAAGAGAAAGAAGAAAATAAGGAAGAAGGAAAGCTCAGATGAAAGGGATCTAACTCATAAACTTCATTCTACAGTCTTTCTCTTCTCAGCATGGGCTGTGTACCTCTCCTCCTTTATCACCATGGTCAGAGTGATGCCGTGCGGCTTTGGCAAACACGCCTGGAACATAACAGAGAGCGGGTACCAGTGCTACAAGAGTGTTAGTTTTCTGCTCACTTTCCTCTTTATTCGATCCATAGTCTGGATCTCCAGGGTTCGATTGAAGTGAAAAGAAGCCCCTGCTCACTGGTGAAACAATATCACAGGTGCTTCTCTTCCTCGGTGTATCCTATTTCTTCCCGCCAGCCCTCGTGAAGCTCTCTGTCGTCATCCTCTACCTCCGAATCGACCCTTCACGCTTCTTCCGGATCGTGCTATACTTCATCGCTTTATCATGCACTGCCTACACCATTGCCTTCACCGTCATACTCTCGGGCCCCTGCAACCCACTCGAACAGAACAGCAGCGTTTGCCTCAACAATGTCGCCCTGGCCCAGGCCATGCTGAACATTACAATGGATAGCGCGCTACTCGTAATGCCCATGGTGACAATTCATAGGCTGAAGATGGAGAGAAGGCAGAAAATGGCCGTGATACTGATTCTGGCCATAGGCTCCGGGTATGTCCACAATGTTCTCTCCCGACGTCACCACAGTGACTCCTTCATTTCCTCCTTCCCCATATCGCTTCTTCTGGCTATGGCTGATAGGGACGCTTTGGTCCTCCAGGACCGTCATAGCATCCTGCATTCGCATTGCCTATATCCGCACTATGGTCAACAACCCGGACGTGCTCTGGACCCAAGGCAGCGCGGCCATCTGGAGCGCTGTGGAAATCAACATTGGTATCCTGTGTAACTGCCTCGCAATGCTCAGACCGTTTGTGCGTCGCCATTTACCGTCGCTCCAGAGCTTTATCGGCATGTCGGACGATGAAGATGATGGGAACACCATCCCAGACATCGAGTATATGGGAAAAGGCGACAGCGGCAGCGGTAGAGATAGAGGTAGAGGCAGTGATAGTGGTAGTCGATCGTGCTGGAAGGGAAAGAAAAGAGCAAGATACCTTCACAGGGAAAGGAGAGGTCGTGATGGGAATGGATCATACGAGCTGCACAGCTTTGGGAGGGACATAGAACTAGGCGACAACGTGGGCCAGGCGAGTGTTCACATCGAGGGAGGGGACAAGGTCAATGGCGGACGGGCTGCGCAGGAGGAAGCGGAGAGGCTGGGAGGTATCCTGGTCACCAAGACCGTGAGTGTGAGCAGGTCAAGGGACAGTGACAGGAGCACGCAAGATATCCTAGTGGGGGCGAGGCTCGACGGCCTCCCTGCTCCCTCGAGCAGGGCCAAAACGAGATACGTAATTTGAGCCCCCCCCCCCCCCCCATCCCTCGGCGGTGAAGAGGGTAAGTTGAACGAAGGACGCACCTAGTGAGACAAGGCTTCTTTAGTCATAGAACGGCAAGCATTGGTGTCCTGGTATTGGTTCTGTGGACCTGTACTGCATCACATGGTGGGGATTGATTTTTGGCAGCATCGGGGTGCAGGAATGGAAGAAACGTACACGAGGGTGCAGCCCAAAATTTGTAAAACAAAGCTGGATTTCTCTGAAAATGAAGATCAACACCCATAGAAGAATGCTTGTGATCAGCTCCAATGCCCAGTGTCAAGATCACTACGAAGCAAAAGCGATGAACCAATGATGCCCTCTCTCTTATTCTGTGTGATATACTTGTTCTGATATAACATCAGTCTTTTGAAGCAAGACAAGGAGGTATAGTGTCAAAATAGGCCTCCCTCAGCGCCTTGGGACGGGTGGCATTTTCACCCGGGAGGGAATAATTCCAACACCTCAGACAGGCCGTCCGCTCTCCAGCAGATCAAAAGCCTCTCTGCTCCACGGCCCCTCGCCCCTGGCCGACTGGAATCCAGGGAACGTCATCTTCTTCTTGGGCCGCTCTGGTTCTTTGGGGGGCTCTATCAATTGTGTTGCCGCAAAATCGGCGGATGAGATGGGAACCAAAGCGGGTGCTTGTGTCGGTGGGAGAATCCGCTGAGGAACTTTACCGGCAGCGTCGGATTTAAGCGCTGCTTTACGGCCGCGACTGGCTGGATTCGCTATTCGAGCAATGGGTGCAGGCTGAGGGCTATCATCTGCTGTGAGATGTAGGTGCGGTCCTGGCGGATGTGGTCGGGATGTGAGCCCGTTGATAGTCCGAGGAAGACCAATAGAAGGCTTTTGTTGCTGGACAGGTCCAGCTGGGTTCGCTAGGACTCGTGAGCTCTCAGCCAAATTCGCCCCTGTAGTGTTTCCAACAGTCGGTTTGTCGACGAGCGTGTTAGCGTCTGACTGGCATGTGGGAACCCTGGTTGGATTCTGTAGCGAATCGTCTTTGGGCGCACAATCCGTAGCAGCCTCAGGCGGGTCCGGTTCCATAATGGCGGCTGGACTTGAGACTGAAGGCGTTGTGGCTTCTGGAACGGTCCGGGCGGTAGACGCCGACAGTTGTGGGAGAAGGGCTGCCGTCGCCTTCTGAATTGTGCAAAGCTCTGTGGTGCCCGTAGTCATGAATGAGCCGATAGTTGCGTTTTTGCTTGTAACATTGGATGCTTGGCTCTGAAGAACGAGACCGGGCTTCTGTGCGGGGGGTGGCATTGTTTGTACAGCCATGACAGGGCTCGCAGGTATTGATGTGGAAGTGATGTCTGCTGCCGCTCCTGAGGTGTCTCGCAAGTATCTGGGATCTATGGCCGGATCTTCCGCTGCGCTCAATGCCTGCTCCCGTATGGTCGGAGCCGCCTCCTTCATCGAAGCATCGGTGGGCCTAATCTGGGGAGGCGACTCCTGCATATCGGTCTTTTGCGGTACCTCGCTGGATCTTCCTGGGCATTTTGCTGGTGTCTCATGTTTCCCGTCAAAGGCAAGACATCGTTCGGGCCGTGATGACCGTGTGGGAGGCTCGTCTGGCGAGGGTGCAGACGAGTGTGAACCCGAACCATCCTCAAAATTGGCTGCTGCGTCTTGCCCAGACATGAGAATACTCGGTATTTCCATGCCATGCTCAGCTAAGATGGGACGCCTGTCCGGTGACTCAACCTGGCCATTCTGAACCCGTCTGCCAGTCGACTCTGCACCGCCAATGGGAGCTGCCACCACGGGAAATCCTGCACCGTCAGAAGTCTGTACAGCAGAGATCTTCTTCGCTTCATCCGTGGTCCTCAATGATCCGTCATAGTGAATAGTGGTCCGTTCCTCTGCGGGCGAAGAAAGAATCCTGAACGGCACCCCAATACCTCTAAGACCGAGGGGCACATTCAGTGCCTCCAGATTGAAACCAATAAGCTCTCTACTCTTGACGTTCTGTTTGATCCTCGTTAGACGTGGCTTGCTCTTCGAGGCCTTCGACTTGTTTTCTTTTCGAACTCTCTTGGAGGGTGGCTCCTCGTCCAAGTCTTCCTGCTCGCTGAGCAGGGAGTTCATCTCAGTTTTTGTGGCGCGGCTGTCACGTTCTATGGGTTGGCCCTCCGCCGACTCCAGGTTGGACCTGTTCCCATGCACCCGAGACTTGCTCCTCGTGGCCCGAGTCGTCGTGTTGGGTCTCGCCGGTTCCTTTCTGGCAGGCTCGTCGTCAACAGTCTCAATGTCACTCTCCTCCGAGGCCCTTTGGACCCTTGCCTTTCGCTTGGGTGCCTTTGTGGATTTCTTTGGCGGTCGTTGATATTCTGAAGTCGAATGTTGGGTATCTGAACTCAGCTCCACAGCCTTGTTGACGTTGGTACCTGTACGTTGCGCAGCCTCGAAGGGTCTATCTTCCTCATCCTCATCATCGACAATGATCTTGCGCCGGGATTTCCGAGCGGCCCTCCCCTTGGCCGTCTTCTTCGTGAGGTTCACCGGTTCCATTGCATCCGGATCATTCAGACTTGAAATTGTAGTCTGATCACGAAGTACATTGGACTCCATCGGCGCACCAGGTGCCAGGCAAGACAAGGTTGTGGAATGCTCTTCGAGAGAAGACGAAGGCATTTGGTAGGGATCGTAAGGTCTCTCTGGCGGTGGTACTCGTGCATCACCCAAGATGGGGGTGGGCCCGTCGTAGTCTGTAGCACGCCCCTTCTCAGTATCCATCTGGCTTTCGACTTCAGTGTCAAGTTTGTCATTGGCAACCTCTTGGACAGAAACTCGAACCTTTGCTGTCTCGGCTTCGTCTTCACTTAATCCACCAGTTCCAGCATCTAAAAGATCCTGGGGTCTAGGAGATGGTGATCGGAACGGATCGTCGTCTTCTCCTAGCTCGATTGAGATTTTGCGCTGGATTGAATCCCCTTGTGACTTTTTAACCCTTTGGGCCTCATGTTCGTCAGTTGGCTGGGATGATCGTGCCTGAGGACGGTCGCGTTGCTCGTGAACAGCCTCTGCAGTCGATCTCTCTGGTGCAGCAGTAGCAGGTGTGGCATGCTCAGGTTGCCTGTGTCCTTTCTGTGGTAGCTCCGACAGCATCAAGAGCCCGCGCTTTTTCCTTGATCTGATTCGAAGTTCTGTGACGTGCTCAGGCGGAGTTTTCTCCATTGAGGCTGGCGCGGACTCCTTAATCTTTTGCACAGAAGAAGAACCATCTGATAGCTTCTGCTTGGTAACGGACCTGGGGTCGAGGTGTTTCGATTGTTCCGGTGCTACAGGATTCTCATCCCTCTTAGGACGACGCTTCTTTTCACTGCCTCGATCTTGTGGTTCATTGGCCATCCCAGTGCTGCGAGGCGAGTCATGATCCGCCAAAGTCGTGTTTGGCCTCAGAGAGGGCTGCTTGCCAGCCTTCGTCGCTCTGGGCGCATACTTCTCCGCCCTTTTTGGGCGAGCAGACTCTTTGCGGGCGAGTTCCGGGGCATCGATTTCCACAATATCATCATTCTCTGAAAGAACTTCTCTTCGCTCGTGTATTTGCCCGATTTGTAGTGGATCGCAGGTCTTTGAGTGGCGAGGACGAGGCCCGTCCTCATTTGCCGCATCTTTGTAGCTGGCCGGGCGGTCGAGTCCCCTCTCAACTGTCCTCTCGCGTTCGACCGGCCGATTGAAATGCGACGATGTTTTCGGCTGCTCCCTAAGGACTGTCTTCGGTGTCGCCACCGCCATCTCGCGCCTGGCCGGCACAGAGCTCGTGGGAGTGGCACTGAGACTTAGGGCCTGACCAAAGAGCGCACGAGCGTGTCCACTCCTGCTGGAAGGTGCCTCGTCGAATCTTCTCCGCTTTGCAGCTCGCTCGTCTGGTGCTTCAGCAGGTTGGTGCCTCTGCTCAAATGGCGATTCTCTTGGCACCACGGCTCTCCCATGGTGACCAGATGGCGTTCCGATCACTTGAAGTAGTGGCCGATGTCGAGGTTGAGGTTGGTCGGGAGCAGCCGGCCTGGCTACAGACTTTGGCAACGTCGCAACAGCAGCCGGTGACCGCGCAGCAGCCTGCATTTGGCGCTGCTCCTTCTCTTTCACTCTCTTTTCCAACAGCTCCGTCAGATCCTGGTTGGTGCGGCGGGTGAGTTCCTGCACCTGGACCATGACACCACCACGTTGGAGCTCGACCTCTTCGCCTTCGTCGAAGTCGCCATCGTAGTGCCAGTGCGTGTCACCGACGAAATTTCCTCGATCATCGTAGACCATGATCCTCTTGTTAAAAGAGTGATATGTGAGTCGGCCATCCTGCCAGCGCTTCTGTTTGCGGCGCAAGTCACGGGTGTACAAGCAAATGAACTCGAGCACGGCGGCTGCTGCGGGTGGTGGTGGACTGGAGTGTCCTGGTGCAGCCATGTCGGGAGATGTCCAAGAAACCAGCTCGAGGGGCGTGATGGATCTTTTGTTGCTTTACATGCCTCCGTCACACTATCGTGCCTCCTCTGCCAGCTGAAGCCCGTAGCACGTGGGGCTGTCGACGCGTTCTTGAGATGCGAGAATTAGGCGACTGAAAACAGACGCGTCACAAGCACGCCGCCGCGATGTCAGCTGATCCGCAGTGGTGGGAACCTGCTGGCTCCAAGTTAAAGCACCCATGAACTCCAGGGGCAAAGCACGCTGCGGGGCCGGGCCGTTGCACCTAATTCTCCAAGCCTTCCCCCTTGTGTGAGCGCCGGGCGCCTCCTGCGGAACATACTACTACTGTAGCGTTTCAGCGCTGGGAGCTTACCTCGAACGGGGCTGGGCTAGGGCAGCACAGAGGGCAGAGCAGGGATCGAGTCCTGGTTGATGTCCTACTTTTCAGGCTCAATCTGGCTGCACTGCCCCTCCTCGCCCGCTGGCTACCAGTGAACGAAAGAGACAAGGCAGAAACGTTGTTTTCTCACATACACCAGCTCTCACTGTCAACTTTCCTCACAAACCACAAAACAGAGCATCCTTTCTTCCGTTTCTTCAGTGTTGCGGCTGTCCCTGTTGTTGGGTATTTGTTCGCAGGCTGACGTACCGCTCTCAACCTGCAGCCTAGCCTGGTCGTAGCCCCGCCTAAGCGCCCCCTCAGGCCATCTCAAGTCTTCTCAGTGGACAGTTCCAATTTCCCATGTCCGGGGACTGAATTTCGATAACTGCCTTCCTCTGTTCCCCCAACTCTTTTGCCGCTTCTCTTGCCAAACCGAAGTCAACGGTCATAGTACCATTCTCTCGATCCTGATCACTCGTTACTGCAGTTTATCCTTCTCTTGGTTTTCCTTCTTCCAAATATAGCAGCTTGTGGACATCTTCCTTCTCTTGGCTTGGGTACAACTCTGATGTCACTGAGCTCAGCTTCAGTCCGAGCTTCTTGGCTTCCACTCTCGCTAATTCCCAGGCCTGCCCGACATTGATTTGCCTAATCATAGCCCCTTTCAAGTTCGCATCACACCTCAACAATATATATTACCTGGTCCAAGCCTTCTGAGGTTGTCTCCTCTCGAATACTCTCTATACTTCGCCACAGAGCTCGGAGTTTGTCAATATTTCATCCAACATGCAGTCAGTGCAAAGGAAGTTTGGCAAGCTCATGAGCAGAGGTCCTGGCGACAACGCCAAAGTCTCGGTCCTTCTGAATGACTACGAAGATGCAGATCGTGTTCTGGCAAAGGTACTCACAGGAATTTCCTCGTTCTCCCCTTAGTAGGCCTTGCTTCGGGGTTGCAGCTGACACTGTCGTCCTCCAATAACAGATCATTGAAAGTACAAAATCTTGGCAAGAATCATGGAACAGCCTTGTGTCCTCTCAACTCGATATCGCCGTCGTCTACGCCTCCCTTTACGATCCTATAGTTGGCGCGTCCGACGGCCATGGTCGCCCGGCCCAGCAGACTGGGGAGGACCAGCTCCGCCGGACTTTCGCACTCAAGGAGGCGTATACTGAGCTGAGAACCGAACTTGTTGACGGTATCCAATCTATTGAAAAGGAGGTCATCAGCCCGGCCCTCGACGCTCGAAACTCCATCGCTCCGATACGCAAGACCATAAAGAAGAGAGAGAACAAGAGGTTGGACGTCGAGAAGTGTCAGGACAAGGTCCACAAGCTTCACAGAAAAATGCCCAGGACGCCCAAGGAAGATGCCCAGCTGTCAAAAGCCGAGGACGATCTGTCCAATCTGAACGAGGTAAGCCCCCAGCATGCATCCGAGGTCTACTTTCGATGATTGTCTGCTGATGTCTGGTGTTAGGAGTTCGAAATCGCCGATTCTCATCTGCGAGAGACTTTGCCCCCCATCATCCAGGCCACCTTCAGTCTCATCCCGCCTCTACTCGCAACACATATCCGTATCCAAAACCAGCTGCTGGGTCTGTACTATACAATTTTGCACGGATACTGCGAGGAGAATGGTTTCCAGTCTCCATCGCCTCCGATGGACCAGGTCATCGAGTGCTGGAATGACGCTTTCCAGCCAGCCAAAAAGGAGGCCGAGGCGATACCCATGATTGCACGGGGAAGGGGGATCAGAGAACCTCTGAAACTCAACAACGACGACAATGCTCCGGGGGGCCGAAAGCTCTCTGCTCCAGCTCCCTCCTTCGACGGCATGCGCCGCACGTCTACCGGTTTAATTCCAGGGTCCGGTGGACCAAGGCGGATCCCTTCTAATACATCATTGCGGTCGAACCCGTCGCCACAACCGAGCCCGAACATCGGTCCGAGACCAGACATGAAAAGCCCTGGCTATGGTGGTCACCTGAGACCTACCGACTTCACCACAGCCAGCGACCTGGGCAAGTCACCGGGTCGGGTCTCCCCCCAACAATTGCGGCAGTCTTCATCGGAAGGTTACTTTGCCAATCGCATTCCGCCATCCCCTGCGGCAACGGTCGCGTCGACTTTCTCGCAGGGCAGTAACAATGCGGTGGCAGCCAAAAAGAAACCGCCCCCGCCCCCTCCGAAGCGGATACCCAGTGGCAGGCTCGAGGAGTTCGTGATTGCGCAGTACGATTTCGCGGGCCAGGGCGCGGGCGACCTTTCTTTCCGCGAGGGAGATCGGATCAAGATCGTGAAGAAGACGGACACAGACCAGGATTGGTGGACGGGCGAGCTGAGAGGAGCGAAGGGGAGCTTTCCTGCGAACTACTGCAAGCCCGCCTAGCGCGCGTGCACCACTCTCTGAGGGACACACGAGGATACCGATGTCTAGCACAGAAGAAGGCTGGTAGTGCAGGGTAGGGAGGCGGCCGTGAACGATTATACTTAGACGCCAAAAAAGGAACATTCACAGTCTCACGCCTTAGTTTATACAGACGCTTCAGAAGTTTACCAACAGCTCCATTCATCACCCTAACAGGATTGCATTACCAATAGCTGCACATGTCCGCTTATACTCTCAACATCGGGAGTTACATGATGTCGTCATAATTGAATATCAGAGCAATCATCTTCAGCAATGCAAGAAGCATGTATGTGAAATACAGTGGCCTGGTCTGTGGACGCGAGCAAATGGAGCTTTTCACGGGGAGATCATTTACTTGCTAAGCGATCTTCCCCTTCAACGAAGATGACGTGGTGGTGGTGAGCAAAGGGTCCACCACTCCAGCTGCAATGCTTTCAAACCTGTCCCAGACGTTACCACGAGGTACACACATAGTAGTATCTCTCACAAATGTACAAAGATGGGAAGAGACAGAGAGATTCTGAGCTGTGCAGAGGGCCCTTTAGGTTCGTCACCGACACCTTACTTGATGATCATCTGTGGGGGCGGGCTGGGGACTTAGACTCTGCAGGATGAGGCTCTGCAACTCCAGTGAACGGAGGGGTCTGCACAGCAGCAGTACTAACTTCCCCCCCTCATCTTAAACAGGGAGGAAACTATGGAGTCACACTTGCATGAAAAGGAGGAGCTTCATCATTCTTCTCCGCCTGCCCACTCCTCCTACCTCAGCGATTGCCTCGTCGTGATTGGCGAATGGCTTGCAGCCCCGGGTTTCGCAGCTGCGTGGATACGACGATAGGATATGAGTCAAAATGAGCACTTTTGCAAGACCAAGGCCAATTGGGAAACGCGGTGCTGCGAAGGGCCGTCAGCAGCCGTTCCATATCCATGTTGAAATGGCCGAGCGTGCAACTTTGAGGATTTGGGGTGTGGGGTAGGATGGGCAATGGGGGGATTCACATCGACTCAGCCATTCTCTCGCCGAAATCTACTCGATGTAACCTTGTTTCAGCCAATGGTAGAGGGCGATGGGGACCCGCCCAAGCTGACAGGTACGTGAATCGAGAAGCGGGTGAGATACAGAGATACCTTCCCGTCTACCGGGAATCCGGTGCAATCCCAAAGTCTCTCACTAGTAAATCCATTCTCCAGGCCAAGTAGCCACCATACGAGACGAGCCTTACTACATTTGTCTCGCCGACTTGCTTGAAATTCGGACTGCGCCATGTCTAACTTGGGAAGGCTTCCATAGTTTCAAGGCCACAAGATATCAAGAAGATGACTCCCTCCCGAGAACCACGGTTTCCCGTTTCTCTTTTCCTTTTCACTTTTTTTTTCTCTTCTCTCTATAGACGAAGAACAATTCGTAATCCACTTCAGGTAATCAGTTTGCCCCAGGCTGTGAATGAAGAAAGCCTGTGGGGAGCCCTGGCAGCACAACAAGGAACCAGCACGAAACTGGTCTACACCTCCTTCTCCGCCTCCTCCTCCCACCCTCCCTCAGTCCTTATTGCCGCTATCGCCGTATAGTAGTTCCTAAACAGATTCACCAACCAACGACTGTTGAGGGAACGGCAAGCCTGGACACCACGAACGAAACGGATCCCGCACAAAACGACAACAAAGAAACCTCATACCTTTCCAGACATCGAATCTGGTAAGTTCAGGGCACCTTGACGACGATAGCCTCATTGAAAAGGTCACCCCTGCAGCTCTAGTAGAGGCCAATTGGCTAACTAAGCTGTCTTGGCACAAGAGATTCGTCATCTGATCTGAAGAGAGAGAAATCACATCAACCCCCAAACAAATTCATCATCTTGGATCCATCCTGCCGATTTCTTGGTGACAATCCTGTACCAATGGCCAGCATGTCGTGCACCACCTCCACCAGCCTTCCCAAGGGCTTCTCCGTCCTTCAGCCTACTCTCGGTGCCCCTCTATCTTGGATGCCCGCCGTTGGAACCGCAGAGCTGGAGCAGCTCATCAATGCCTACCTACCCGGCCCCGCCTCTGCACAGGAGAAGCGAGCCGCCATCTCCATGGACTTTTTTGAGCACTCTGCCCAGACTGGTGAGAACTTCAAGTACTACCCCGTCAACGCCGCCAGCCACTCTCCAGCCAGCTCTTCTTCTGCCTACAACACCTCTCCAGCTATGTCCGATCTCAGCTACTACAGCTCCCCATCGCAGTCCTCCACTCCGTCTGCCTCGGCAGCGAGCATGGCCCGCCGCTCTTCTCAAAAGTCTTCTGCTGCTGCTGCTGCCAAGGGTGTTGAGCGCACCGACTTCTCTCACCTGCCCGGCATGAAGATCATGACCACCACCGGCGAGGACGTGACCAACTCTGCCTCGAGAGGCTGCAAGACCAAGGAGCAGCGCGAGCACGCCCACCTCATGAGGGTGCTCAAGGCCTGCGACGCCTGCAAGAAGAAGAAGATTCGCTGTGACCCGAGCCACAAGCGGAGATCGGCACCCCAGGCCAGGAGTGCGAAGCCCGAGTCTGCTACCAAGCTGACAAAAAAGGCCAGAAAGTCCCCGGCGACGACCTCGACTCAATCAGCAGCTTCACTATTTACACCTGCTCCCGAGCCATCTTTCGACCTGGACATGATGGCTGACCTCACTGGTTCTTCTCTTGACCAGTCGTGGGATGAGTTCCTGTCCTTCAACGACGAGCCTATCAATGCCACCATCTCCCAGGATTTCTATGGCGCCGTGCCACAGGACTTGGACTTCTTCTTCTTGGGCGGCGACAACCAATTCTCTCCTGCCGACTCTGGCTCTTCTGGCTTCACCAACTCGCCAGCTGTGCCACTGACCCCAGTTGCCACGACCCTTATCCCCCACTCCGACCTCATCGCCTTTAATGGCAACTCACTATATGCACAAGCAGGCGATCAAGAGCCTACTCTGCCATATCTGAATGATGGTGCCCACGGCAGCAACTACGTCGACTTCAACCTCTACTCACCTTCGTCTAGCTTCGTTGATGAAGAGCCCCAGAAACTGAAGGCAGGCGACAAGAGGAAGGCATCTGCCATACAGAACGCGTCGGCAGAATCTCGGTACACCGGCCCCATCGCCAGCTCTCCCGCTGGCCTGAACGAGTCACAATCATCCATCAGCCTCCGTGATGGGCAGCAGTGGTATATTGATCACTCTCGACCCACCGCTATCCTCCCGACCGGATTAGAATGGGAAGGTTCGGGTGCTGGGGAGCAGCATGGCGGCACATTGTCCGTCGATCTGCTAGATGACGGCTCTTTCACCCAACGACCATGGCATGCCAACGATGGCGGTCATGGAGATGCCCGCGCCGTCAAGACTGCGGCTGCGGCTGCGGCGAGATCCCATGGATTGTCACTACAACAACAACAAGTCGCGAGCAACCACTCGCCAGCGACGTCCTCATCTCCAGGGGAGGATACTGCAACCAGCGCGGCGGCGACCACCGTTGCCTCGTCACCACAGTCCCCAAGAACAGCCCGCCCACAAGTGGTCGTCCAACAACGGGACATCACTTCGTTCCGCGGCGTGGCCCGCGTCAGCCCACGGACAGTTAGTCCGACTGTACGGCGCCCTTTTTCTCCAATCATGTCCAAGTTCAGCGTGCTAACTATTAATTAGGAACTCAATGCCTCAGTCAATAGACTGACGCCACGCCTCCGCAACAAACCCTCATCAAACATACCTCTGTCCACGGCACCATCATCGCCCGAGACCCTGAGGCGACCACGGGTCGACGGTCTCCTGCCAGCTGGAGAGCTGCACAATCTACAAGTCCTAGAGGCCAAGTCATCACCAGTCTCACGTGGTCAAACTGCCCGGGCCCGTGGACACTCTACCCAGCGCGCCTCCACGGCACTACCATGCCAGATATGCGATCTAAGCGTACGTGCTTACCGCTGCGAAGTGTCCAGGCACAGCCTAGGCCCACAACATCCACGACAAACACTGCACGGCAAGATACTCAATGCCGCCAGCAGCTCTCAATCCCCGCGCCGTCCCTCGGAAGGCACAATCTCGCCGGTGCGGCAACTGGTGGGTCATTCGTCAAGCATGGCCCAGCTCGTCGCATTCGGACTTGTCATCATGACCCTGTCGATTGTGGTCGGATTCACATCGCTGTTGCAATCATTGCAAACACCATCATCACACTTGTTCACAGTAGAACTCGAACAGTATCTTCTCGCTCCCCGCTCTGCGGCCGTCCTCCTGGTCGTGCTCCCAACACTCGTGTCGAGTGTCTCGGGTACATCCAGGCTTGACACCCCCCTCAATGCTCAAAGCAAAGTCAGAAGCTCCGCAGGAACATCGCTCAGAAGAGCCCTTAGGGGAACCTCTGCCCGAATTTCCTTAGCTTGCATCTGAGGGAGGGTTACAACCGGAGACCCCCCCCCCCCTTTTTCCGGCTTGGAAGCGAGCAATGACGACTGTGTGTTGTTTGGTTTATGCCTTCATTGTGTAACTTTAGCGATATTTGTGATACCCAATTTCCCCACATTTCTGTCTTGGTCTTGAAAACAATAACTTTTGTTACTCCTCTTCTTCCCTCATTGCAGGATGCGTGTGTACGTTGCGGATGGCGGTGGTGGTGGTAACGTGCCCACGCGCAGTGTGGTTGGGGGGGGGGGGGGGGCAATAAAGGCTGGTCGTTGATGATCTTGGTTTCTTTTTCTGTGTACTCAAAAAGGAGGATCGGGTTGGTTGTACTCTAGTGTCAAGAGAAGAGGAGGCCCTAGCCTGCCTCTCTCGCCCACGCAAGGTTACACTGCTGGTCTGTCCTGCATGTAGAGAATCGAGATCGTTGATGGCTGTAATCAGGGATCGTGCTCTTGTGTGCCTTTGTGAAGTGACTGACAGGAGGCCTGCCGGGATCCAAGCCGAGAATGTCGCACAATCGGTTCCTGAACAGTCAGGGAAAATAACGGTAGTCGTCGACCAGTGTGAGATCGATCATATCGACATCCTCATGAACAAGTATCTCCTTCGCAGTGATCTCAATTAGGATCCAATTTCTGTGGTTCATCTCAAGTCAAGTAAGCTAAATTACAGTTGCTTGTTTCATTCATGATGTCCAACGTTGCCTTCGCAAACAAGCCAGCATATGCAAAACGCCAAATAACACCTCCTTCTCCCCTGTCCCCGCGTGTAGATTTTTCATAAGTTAAGTGTCCTACGCCTCATTCAAAATGCAGAATATACCAGCGCAAACCCTCTCTCAAGACCACGCATAGTAATAATTGTCCTCCCACACGGTATCAGCAGTGCTCTTCCCTTCCTTCCACCTGAAACTCGGGATGGAGCTGTGCCTCTCCTCAAAGACGACATCCACTTCCTTTTCATGAAAGTCATGGAAGCCCTTGACACCCTTGGTGGTGACCTCGTCCGGGTTCCACACGAGCACCTGCTTCAGACCCCACGCGGCCGCCTCGGCAGCAGCGGCCTGCAGCAGCTCCACCACGTCCCAGGCTTTATGCTCTTCGGTGACAGGCTCACCGGTCTCGGGGCTGACGTCAAGGAAGACGAAGCGCAGGACCTTGAGCTTCTTCTCGCGCCAGTCGTGGTCCCAGTAGACCCAGCTGCGGCCGCAGTGCGTGATGGCCCCGCGGTTCTCAATTCCCCTGTTAAACATCCACTTGGTGACAAAGGTCTCGCGCGCCAGCTGCCAGGAGATCTGCGCGTGGTCGGGGGCGAAGGCGACGTGGGTCCTGGTGTGGTCCGCAGCGAACCGCCGGAACCGCGCCTTGAGGGCGGCGACGTCCTTCTCGCACAGCGCGGGCAGCTCTTGGAGGCTGAGGTAGCGCGCCCGCCGCTTCTCGGGCAGGGGGAACTGGTCCTGGTGCAGGAAGATGGTCACCTGCTCTGAGGGGAAGACGCTCCAGCCCAGGTTGGAGTAGTAGATCCTGCCGATGTCGCTGTACAGGGCGCTGCACTCGCTCTCGGCGTCAACGTACTCCTGCAGCTTGCGCAACATGTAGGCGGCCATGCCCAGACGCCGGTACTTTGGGTTGGTGTAGACGCTGGCGATGGCATAGCCTGTGGTCTCTACGAAGCCGTCGTTGACGCCGGTGCCCTTGCCGGCGATATAAACGGTCTTCTTGATGGACTCGCAGGAGGCGACGATGTGTGTGCCGTCGTCTTTGTGTGCGAGGATCCAGTATAGGCAGCGGTCGTCCTTGGTCAGGGCCTGTGAGGAGAGGTGTGTCTCCCGGTCCAGGTAGGTGTCGATGTCCAGAGGTGCAGCCCAGGCCTCGCCGTTGAGGCGCCAGGCCAGTCTCCGGATCGTCTCATCTGCTCGAGTGAAGACGACATCTTGTGTGGTGATAGGTTGGTCAACGATGAAAGGATCAGCCATGCTAAGTCAGACACAGAAATTGGCTATGTCGGTTGCTAGGAGAGTGATGATCGAGATTTACTCTCGGTATGTTAATAACTAAAGATGTATGTGTAAAGAAGAGGAGGGGGGGGTTGAGGTTGAGGGTGGTATCGTAGTGACTGATGACCGGCAGGTAGTATTGTTATTGTTATAGCGCGCGGCTAGTTACATGCCGGCATGCCGTGCCCTAAGCCATTTTATATCCGGCCTCCAATTTCGTCCACAGCACAAGAGAACCCGCGTCCTTGGGTGTTAATATGGACCCAGCGTATAAGCTACGAAGCTTATGTGGGTTGTCAGATGTCTTCGCTGAAATTCAATTTTCGCGAGGTTTCGATGTGAATCAGAAACACAGAGTGATCACCCACTTGTACATTGTTACGGTGCAGACAAGAGGGCATAGGTGGACGGACATACATGGAAGAAACCGCCCAGCCGAAGCCAAAACACACAGCAAGCATTGGCGCTGTGTCACGTACATGGTACTTACAACAAACCAGCCCTGGAGGCATCTGATATACTCAAATGTAACAAGCTGTGAAACTGTGCAGCAGCACATGGGCATCGTAACGCAGATTACCGAGCGGCAAGCTGTATCTCCGGTGCGGGTCAAAAAGGAAAGCGAGAGAGAAAGAAAGGCGCCGAGAAGAATTGTGTCGCAAGTTATGGCGTACGTACAGTTCGCCTAAGAATAGGGAGCCGCATGCCGCCCGAGGCGCGACCAACCGGACACATTCCGATCAGGACAGGGGGGGTTGGGAAGATAAGTAGGATATGAGATGGTGATGTAATACTGTCAGACTCCGGCTGGAATCATGAGATGTTAATATTGCTGAGCAGTCGACCTTGAGTCGTGGCGAGATGACTTGTGTTTGAAAAGGGCCCTGTAGCCGTATGATTCTCGTACGGGCGGACCACCGGTGGAAATCGGGATGGCCTCTTTGTTGAAACAGCTGAGGACGAGTGAGTCGGCCACATGGTCCGTGATAAGAGGCTCGAGGCCAGACGAGGGAAATATTACATCGTTCCCGAAGGTCGAGGCCATTGGTTTGACGTCTGGCGCGTGGGGGTCCTGAGTGGGAAATAGGGACGGGCGATGCTCTAGATTCAGCCTCAGACCCATGGTCAGATCTTCAAATCTTGCATTGCATCTCCTGATGTGCCAAGGGAAAAAAAGAAAAACAAGAGAAAAAGAAGAAAAAAGGGCCGTGGCCTGCTAAAATTGGTGCCGAGAGTGGAGACTCAGTGGACAATGGCACACGCTCCAGTCTCGTTCGGGTTGTCGGTGCAATACCTGTCAAGACATGAACTCCATGCTTCAGACGTCCAGACTCTTGAGGCTTGGCATGATGGTCCCTCGCACTCCGACGCACAGTCAAGGCCATCTCAGAAGGATTTCGGTGAGTTTTCTATTCCTCCCTCCCACGTGAAGCCGCCATCGGTCATTGCAGCATGACCCTCTTCCCCCTGAAGCACTAAAATCTCAGGCCTTGTAGGCGTTGCGAGCTCCCCGTACAGGCACTATGAGCGCTGAGAGGTTGGAAACTTACAAGTACTAATTTATTTCATAACCGGGGGTTTTACAGTACCGCCTTGTCAAGCCACATTAATAAAATGTTCTTTTATTCAATTCTCCGAGATGTCTAGCAGATCCTTTGAGCTCAGTAATACTCAAAGTCGGAGCACTCAAAAAGCGTTTGAACCCAGCTTTGAGTTGGCGGAGCCGAGTGGAGAGCCGTGGAGCGCGCCGCTGTGAAGTGATCCCACAGGCGAGATGCAGCACTGTTCATAGTAGTCACGTGAGAGGCAGGTAACAGAAGTCACGCCGGTTCCCAGATGTCGTGTTATCTGCGCATGCATGTTGTTGATCGTTGTGTAAAAAATTAAAAATTAAAAAAAAATTTAAAAAAGGCGGGGGGGGGGGGGTGTTGTGAATATCAACTCCCAAAGCAAAACACCACGATTAGCAAGGGTCACTGACCAAAGAAACTGCTCGATATTACAATCGTACTCTATCTCCTGGACAATACTTACTGGTATAATCTCATAGATATTCCCAATCTCAAGATGCAGCATAACCGATGGGACGAAGTACACCTATGGTTCCATGATAATAGAATATACTGGAGTGAAACAATTCTCCAGACCCCATCGGCGGAATCAGATAAGAACGGTAGTACAAAGACGGCAAGTTCCTACTCTCTGTCAAGCGTTGCGAACCGGGTAAAAAAGAAAAATTCAAAATGAAGTCATACTACAAACTTATAGAAGAACAATGATTGAGAATGCTTGCCGCAAAAATAGAAAGCCGGGCTTTGTCATCTTGCCTAGTAGATTACTGAAAGACTTTGGAACGGGATAAGACAGTTCAGTATGAGATTGAACGTTCTCCTTCACTTGATCCCAAAGATATGAGGTCTGTTAATCAAGCATAGTTAAAGCATGAATATAACAGAGAGCTTCGGGAGAAATCTGTGAAGCCTCCGCTGCACCGATTTCCAGCGCGTATCACCAGTTATAGTAGAAAGACATTTACTCCAAAAATCAATCATTGGTATCTTTCACACATCGTGAGCACAAGAGTGTTTTTATCATATGCTCCAGGTAATCAGTGTCTTGCATCTGGCTCCCTGAGAAGTTTCTGAAGGGATCGCTATTGGGAAATCCCTTTCATGTTTTCTTGCGCTTGCCTGCACAAAGACCTGGCTTCTTCGTTCAACTGGCTTTGGCTTGCGATCCAGTCCATATCCTCCGTCCAAGTCGTCCAGGATTCCCTAACATCCTTGCAGTCATCGTACAGGCATTGTCCACTGATGTTGATCCAGTGTGCAGCAGCCGGGGCATGACCTTGGAGAGCAACAATACTATCAGAAGTATCTTTCATAATTGAAGAGTCAATTTCAAATTATTGATACGAGGGTACAGCAAGTTGGGGGAGGGGCATTGAAGGGGAGAGAAAAGCGCAACAGCACATGTGTAGTTGGTGGGTACCAACACTGAATGAGAAACACGGGGACAGCTTACTTTCAGGGCAGCTCCAATTGATTCTCCATGTATTTCTTCGCAGTGTCATCGAGAGTGTCGCCTTGCCAAAGTCCGCCAATTTCTGGAATCCTGCCGCGTACAACAGCGCTGTGAAGCGGTTCAAGCTTGTCCAGTCCAGGCGTTCCTGATCACGAGACCGGGAAGATGGATCCGGGTCGCCATACCGCACCCACCGCTCACGCAACGAGTAGTACAGCGAGTCGTCGAACTCGGTCAGGTCCTTCTTGCTATGCTGCTGCTGCCGGCTTCTCAGTTCGCTCATGAGCTTGACGAGGGCCTCATGCATCTCCCAAAAGTCTTCGGCTACCTCCACAATGCATATCTCTATAACGTCTGGGACGTCTGTTGCATTGGGGCCGTGGAAGGAGTCCATCAGGCCTTGGGCAGTGTCATAACAGGTGGCGCCGCCTGTGAGGAACGTGTAGATCAATGCGGCGCTGTCGTGGAGGTTCGTTTGAGTTAATTCAGTGTCGGAGAAGTATTCCTCGATTGTCTCGCCCATGATTGACGAAAATGGATGGTTGCAGAGAGGGAGGTGATGAGCAGTGAGTGTGTGATGAAATCGAATTGAGTGATATGACCGGTTGTTATGCGATGATGGGTTCTTGGATTGACTTTGAAACCTTCAAGACAATAATTCCGGCCGATCTTGTAGGAATAAAGAGAGCAAACTATCAGCAGTTGGGGGGAGCAGAGAGGCTGAGCTGCACGGATTTATATACTGGTCTCAAAAAAACCCCAAAATCCAAAATGCGTAGTCGAGAAACTACTTAGGAGGACAATGATGACACATTGACTGTTGTGGTCAACTTGCTTAAGGCCAGAGGGCTATCACATGCTCGGAGGCGATCTACATTTTTGTGTTTAAGTAGTTGGGGCATGTTTGGGCGCGTGGAATGGTTCGACTCTGGAAATCTATGATTGAACAAGTCTATACTTATCTTAGCTTGATTTTTATTTTTCATTCTTGAATGGCCTTGTGGCTGGATGAGCTGCCAGAACTTTACCTGATGCACATGTACAAGATGCATCCTTTTCTCAGACTCGGGGCAGGGCAGAGGGAGAAGAGACGGAGGAGATAAACAGTGACTGAGGCCGGCATGGGGCCGGAAGGCGGTGGGAATCTTAACCGGCGCACGTGCGGCGCTAGAAACGGAGGCGGCCGTCATGGGGCTAAACCCCAGTCGAGAGAGCGCTGAGTCAGCTGGGATTAGCGCGGTGCTGAGCCAGAACCAGGCTAAAATGCCTCTCGGCGCACAAATTTTTCCTTCCGGTCCACCAAACTGAAATCTGCGTGTTGTGCCCTCAGACAGACATTGAATCAGGCAGGCGGGCAGGCATACTCACATCGCGAACCGACCAAACGACTAACCTCCCAGCACCAAACCTGTAAGCATACACCACACAACTCCTTCCAAACCCTTTCCCACACCCTCTCGACTTCCATCGACAGATACACATTCTAATCATCCAAGTCGTCGATACGATACAGACCGCCAGCAAAATGGGTGACATCAGCATCATCGCTACCGAGTGGCGCACCGTCCAGGTCGGCCGTGTCGTCGTCCTCCAGTCTGGTGCTGAGGCCGGCCGCCTGGCTGCTATTGTCGAGATCGTCGACCACAAGCGCGTACGTTGCCACTCCCGCAGAGATGACCAGAATAAATAGGGGGAAGACAGGGGCGAGCAGGGCTGCATCTAGGTGATGATAAGTAAACAGCATGGACTGACATGAAACGATTTGTACAGGCTCTCGTCGACGGCCCCTCCTCAGAGTCTGCCCTGCAGGTTACCCGACAAATGGTCTCCTTCTCCAACGTTGTCCTGACCGACTTCGTTGTCGCCGGCCTGCCCCGCGGCGCCCGGACACCCACCGTCAAGAAGTTCTGGGAGAAGGCCGAGATCGACCAGAAGTGGAAGGGTTCCAACTGGGCCAAGAAGCGCGACCAGCAGGCCAAGCGCTCCACTCTCACCGACTTCGATCGCTTCAAGGTCCTGCGCCTCAAGAAGCAGCGCCGCTTCGAGGAGCGCAAGGCTCTGGCCAAGGTCAAGGCCTCCGCATAAATACTCCCAGCCACGTACCGATCAACGCACGACGACTCGAGACCTTTGACACGACAACCGGCGAACGGATGTACTCGAGAGCTTCCTCGTCGAGGCAGAGATGGGTCGGAGGAGACAGGTAGACGGTTCAGGGGGTTGATGATGATGATGGCAGCAGGAGCAGCAGCACTAATCACGCTTGCTGTGGCTGACGTGCTGGACGGCGGCGGATGGTGTTTCTACTAGAGGGTGGCGGGTATTCTGGACGGCACCGGCAAGGACAACCTCTAAAAATCAACAGCATCTTCGTTCGGGTCCGATAGGCTAGGTTTTTCTTTGCTTCGTTTACGGGACATATCACCTCCAAAAAGGCAAAGGTGGCCGGCGTCAAATGATATGAAATTGAGAAACCCAAAAGACAATGGTGACTACCTGTCGAGGTCTTGCCAAAATTACATGTGATACCACTCTTCTCAATTATCAGTCTTTGTAAATTGAACATTTCGAGAACCTATTGTGTCTGTCGAAAGAGCACACAGCACGGGCTGAGCCTAACCCTAGCACCACTGCTTACAGTTCTGTAGCTTTTCGGATTTCTTTTGAGCTGGCTGTTTAAGTCTCCATGTTTGAAGAAATGTCCAGTCATGTATGCCTTCATGATCATCTTTATGTGCGTTACTCTACACATCGCAATGTGATGATGTCTGTCTCTATATGGGCAGATGGGGTCATTCTGTGTCTGCGGGCCGAATGTGAGGTGTGACCCATTTGGGCTTAGCGTCATAACTGACTGCTAAACCCTAGGAATTTTACGCCTTTGCAAGAGCTCTCAGCAAAACCACCAAATCCAATCCCCCAATTGCCTACTTCTCGTTTGTACAACAACACACTTACCTCTTTTTTCGGGTTAATTCTTGCAGATTGTAAGTTTTCAAAGTCTCAATTCTTTTCTGGCTAGTTTTCACGAAATTTGGACCCGCCATCAGGCGACAGCAACCCCCAAAAATCACCTCTCTGTAGGCTACAAGATTGTGTGGGGTTGAGGTCAATTTTGTGGAAGCAGCTCTGGCCCAGCACCTGACAGGCGACGAACAAACAAGCCCAGCTAACCAGCAACTCCTGTGTTTTTGTGTCGCCCCTTCTAGATCCAGTCGCGAAAATGGCCAACCCTAGAGTCGAGGAGCTTCCCGATGAGGAGCCTAAGAAGGTGACCGTCGAGGAGCACGAGGACGATGATAGCTCCGACTCCGAAATCGAGGCTGGCGACTCCAGCCTGCCCGCCGGCTCGACCGCTGTCATCCACTCGCGCAACGAGAAGAAGGCTCGCAAGGCCATGGAGAAGCTGCACCTGACCCGCATCCAGGGCATCACCCGCGTCACCCTCCGCCGACCAAAGAACGTGAGTTGCACCAGGGAGGCAAGGCAAGAAGCATAGGGCAGAGAGAGGGAGGCGGAACTCAAGAGCCTGGATGATGAAATGATGCATCATTTTGGAAGATACAATGACGACGGGGCTGACTGGGCTATCACAGATCCTCTTCGTGATCAACAACCCCGAGGTGTACAAGTCTCCCAACAGCAACACGTACATGTATGTGCCCCCACCCCGCCTTTTATACCTCTTTCCACTTCCCCTTCACATAGACTAACTCCTTTGTCTACAGTGTCTTCGGTGAGGCCAAGATTGAGGACCTGAACGCCTCCGCCCAGGCTGCTGCTGCCCAGCAGCTCGCCGCCGCCGACCATGACCACGCTGGCCATGACCACGGCGAGTCTAGCAAGGCCGTCGAGGGTGGTGATGCTGCCAAGAAGGCCGCCGAGGAGGAGGAGGACGATGGTGAGGAGGTCGACGCTGAGGGTATCGAGGATAAGGACATCGAGCTCGTCATGACGCAGGCCAACGTATCACGGAAGAAGGCCATTAAAGCGCTCAAGGAGAACGACAACGACATTGTCAACTCCATCATGGCCCTCAGCATCTAGTCACGCAACAGCGCACCCATATGATTTTTGTTCCATCTGTCATGTGTGGTCTTGCATGGTCATTGCACCCTGATGATGCCCAAGCGGCATGTCTTTTCCATTGATGCTTTCAATTCTTATTCTGGGTGGACTCCGGGAATGGGTCGGTTCGTTGGGCATAAGGTCTGAAATAGGGGGGAAGCTGAGCCGTTTAGGGTTCACTGCTGGAAAATATATGAAAAGCTCATGGACTGGAAAAAGTCTCTTTGCATTTCTTCGAATATGTTTTGCTGCACTTGCGAACATTGATTTGTTCATATGACTCTTGATGTACGAACGGTACATCCGTGATACTACTACTGTTGTATACCGTCCAGAACCTTCAACCGGCCTCGAAACTCGCGCAAAAAAACTATAAAAAAATTCGAATCCGAGAAATGAAGTATGAACATCCGTTGGTGTCCAAAGAATCTAGAAACCCATCGACTCTTTCTTTTTCTTCATCCTTGGTTTTTGGGGCAGTTTACACCCCCTGTCTCTGCTTTTGAGGACCTTGTTCAGGTAGGCGCGGTCCATGTCAGGCTTTGTCATCACGTGACTGATCGGCTCAAACTGCTTCGGCTTCAAGGCGCGAGCATCATCAAGGCAAGCAACGTCAACTCTCCGCTCCTCCGCTCCTCGAAGACCCTCATCCACAACCACACAAGATGGCCGCAGTAAGTGCTTCCTCTCCGTCAATTGACTTTCAGACATGTCCAACATAGTCCTTCACGATCCCAATTTCGAACCAGACGACCACAAAGCCGTGGCTGCGCTCTCGTCCCGAACTTCTCCGAAAGCGCTTTACCAGCCCCAGCCGGTACAATGACGATGAGCTAATTTCTTGTGTCCCTCCCACCGCAGCGATCCGCAGCCCTCAAGCTCGACTGGGCCAAGGTCCAGTCCTCCCTCGGCCTGCGCGGCCAGACGGTGGCCTCGCTCCAGGCCTTCAAGTCGCGCAACGACAACGTGCGGCGCAAGGTGCAGCAGCTGTCGGAGCTGCCCACGACAGTGGACTTTGCCGCATACCGGTCGACCCTCAAGAACCAGGCGGTCGTCGACGAGATTGAGAAGCGCTTCAAGGCCTTCAAGCCCGCCGTCTACGACGTCAGCCGCCAGCTGAAGGCCATTGACGCCTTTGAGTCCGAGGCCATCAAGAACGCCGAGGCCACCAAGGAGAAGGTCGACCTGGAGCTCAAGGACCTCGAGAAGACGCTGCAGAACATCGAGCAGGCACGGAGCTTCGAGGAGCTCACTGTGGTACGTACATGGCAAGGGGTCATGACGGCGTGGGCCCGATTGATGAAGGCAAGAATCTGGGGGTGGAGACCGATACTGACCTGCTGCTGCTACAGGACGAGGTTGCTGCTGCTGAGCCCTCCATCGATGAGAAGACCTCCAAGCTGGTGTCCAAGGGCCGCTGGGGCGTCCCAGGATACAAGGTGCGTTCTATTCATGTCCTCTGCTACCAGAAAGCGGCAGCTGCTGACCAAATCCTTCACAGGAAAAATTCGGCGATCTCTCCGTGCTGTAGACGACACCATAGCGGCATCTTTCCCTTTGTGTATTCTAGCATTGTAGATACCGGCAGAACCAGACCAACAGAAGAGGAGTTGATATACGGGTGGTGGCATGAAATAAGATTCAAAAAAACAACCCAGTCTCTCACAGTCTTCTCTTGTGCTTCTAATTCATGCCTTTCATAGTGACTATCCGTTCTACTACGACATCTACCTTATCTCTAAACTGCGCAGATCATTCACTCCCACTGATTCGCATCTGCGACCCATCTCAATGCCCCTACCATTGCTAATTCCGCCTGCAGCGCCCTCTCCAGGTGCGGCGCCTTCAGCCAAAACGTATGCGGCCAGCCCCAGACGACATTTGTCTTCACAGTGACACCAGCATCCCTCAGTACCCTAGTATAACACGCACCATCCGAGTACAGCACGTCATTTGAACACACCTGGATCCACGTCGGCGGCATCCCTCTCAGCTCCGCCGGGCCAGCCTCGAGCGGCATTTTCGCCAGCCCATCCCGCGGTCCGTCCATGTCGAGCCGGGCGAGGAGAGAGGTCTGGAACGACGGATGCTTGGCGCTCGTGTGCATCCCGTGCAAGTGCTCGGGCACGTACTCTGGCCCCCGAAAGGCATCGCTTGTCACGGGACAACGCAGCAGCACGCCACGGAGCGGGATCCCGGCGGCGAGGGCGTGCTGGGCCACGGTGGCTGCGAGCTGGCCGCCGCTTGAGCTGCCGACCAGGACGATCCTCAGCCCGCCCACTTTAGCATGTGTCTTGACAAGGGAGGCGAAGGCGTCGATGCTGTCCGAGACGCATGTCGACGCCGGGTGCTGCGGTTTGAGGCGGTAGCCGATGCTGTACAGGCGCACGCCGGGCAGGAAGGCGGCCGAGTCTTTCACCAATCGGCGGCAGGAGAGGTCCTCCGAGTCCGCCTCGCCGACTGTGAGGCCGCCGCCGTGGTAGTAGATAATGATGGTCCGCGGCTCTCCGCTCCTACCGTCGGCCTCAAGGCCGCTCACAGAGGACGAAGCGTCATACTGCAGCACCGGGATGGAGAAGCCGTCACTGCTCGAGGGCACGGAGATGTATTTGGTGGTGAGGCCCTGGGAAAGGCGGTGGTCCCTCGCGCCGGGCGCCATCATGGCCGTGTTGCGCTCCCGGCACTCCGCCGCGTACCTGGGCTGGCGGGCGATAGGATCCACAGAGGGCTTGGGCGCGAGGAGTCCTGCCTTTCGCTCGTGGGCGAGCCAGGCTGGGTCCAGGGGGGGCGCCTCTTGGAGGATGGGTGGTGGCTCTTGGTCCATCGTCGCCAGAGCGGTATCGGCCACAGACTTATAAGGAACTTGTGTGTACAGGGGTCCTTGCCAGGGCCCAGGGAAGGGGGCTGACGCTATACTGAGATCTTGAGTCCGAGGTTGTACTGATACTACTCTTTTTGAAGTTTCACACTGCACGCTCCCGGATCGCGTCGTAACAATACTCACCCGGTTTCTGTTCAGGAATGAGTAGACATGAATAGTGCCGTGCTTTTGATCATCCTCTTTTTAAATCCGTTAATTTTTCGTAGTAAAACATATGATGCGCCAGCGAATTTCCACCAATCACAGCAGGTCTTTGCGAATTGTGCAACAGAAATCGGGCTCGACCTTTCACAAGAAACCACAATGTCTTCCACGCCGTCGACAAAACATCACGGGCTTGTAGCACGAGATGGGAACGAGGAAGGATTCCCGTCAGGATTGATTTTATCTGAATGCAATGGTTTCCTCAAGCGGAGACGTCGGGATCACCAATCATCATTCGTCTACATCTCATCCGATAGTCCCATGGTATTGTCCAACGTCGTCATCGCAGTTCCTGTCACCATTGACTTCCTCACTCATTAGCATCTTGGTGATGGGGTTTTCTAATCATGCAAAAACCGCCAGTGAATGACACGGGCAGATGTGGGACTGCGGAGTCCTGGATGCGCGCCCTTCGCTTGACTTGGAGATCCTCCTGTTCACCGGGAATACAAAAGACAGGAGACAATCAGCACGTCCGCCTATGCTACACTAGCAATGAAACATCAATCAGAACAAAGCTTTCAGTGAACCCCTATTCCTCAGTCTCTCGACACTTCCCTCAGCCAAACATGGTCGTCAAAGGCAGCTGTGTCTGCGGACAGACAATATACGAGTACACGGGCGAATACTCCTCGCCCCCTGGAGTCGTGAGTCTTCCCTTTCTCGTTTCTCCCAAATGTCTCCCCAACACACTTATACGTCTCCAGACGCTGACAAAAGAGGATTTCCATCCCCACAAATAGGTCGCATGCCATTGCAACGCCTGCCGCAAGACAAGCGGCTCCAACCGCTCCCTCAACCTCGTCGTCCCCGTGGGCTCCGTGACTGTGAACCCAGGATCGCCGGAGAAGCTCGTGACGAGGAAAGGTGATAGTGGGAAGGATGTCGTGTACCATTCTTGTGGCAACGTACGTATGGCCTGACCTTGGCTTCTGTCTCGACGCCCAGCACAGTGGGAATCTATGTCCCCCTTGTAGTCTCTCTTCTACGCCCATCATCCCCCCCCCCCCTTCCCCTCCAAAGAATGAAGTAAAGACACTTCAGAAGAAAAGAAGAAAAAATACTGAATAATTGACCGGGTCGGGGAAAATCAGTGCGGTAGCATCATGTACGCCGACCCCGCACTCTTTCCAGACGACCTGTGGCTCAAGATTGGACTCTTGGACGACGTGAGTTTCGTAGACAGCTTAGGCCCGCCTCAGATACATGGCTATGACGAGAACATGTGGTCTTGGGAGAAGGAGAAGAAGGCTACGACAGAAGACGCGAGTGTGAAAGCTACAAGATAACCGCCCATCATGCGAGACTACGACGGTGTCAGGTAATTCTTGAGTATGTTACTGTTTTGCAAAGGAACGTTTCGAGATAAAAAGGAGTCAAGTTTTTTCGTGTGACCTGGTGAGTGTGTATCGTGTCGTAAGGAAATCTCACTATCTTCTTTAGAAGTCTCTGTGCAAGCAGCACAACTGAGTGAAGAGGAAGAAAATGGATAAGATTGTGTTTTGATTCAAGAGTCGAGAAGTCAATAACTCTAGGTAGTGAGGGTGTATCTCTCTCTCCAAACAATTACTCTAGACCACGCTTAACGTCCTTCGCCTTCAGCCCCGTCAACTTCTGCTCGGGCTTAGGATATGGAGGTCTGCCGCCCAGGATATCGACTGTGTCCTTCATGTATACCCAGTGCTCCTCGATCGGCCTCCTGTTGGCCCAGTCCGTCTCCTTCTCCTCGACCTCCTTCATGGGTGTGAACACCACGCTCGCACCCCTGATTCCGATGACCGCAGAGCTCATGGGGTCTGACATGACACGGTCCGCCGCATCGCGCCCGAAATTCTCCAGGTGCTGGATGCACTTGATGGCGAGACGAGCGGCACGGCACCTGTCCATGGGCGACGGCACACCGCCCTGTTGCACATGTCCTGGGATGCTGTCCCGCGATTCGAAGCGGTCGTGAGCCTCCTCGCGGATGATGTCGGCGATCAGTTTCGCACTGTAGACCTTGGAAGCCTTCTCGTTTATCAGAATCAGCCGTCCCGCGCGTGATTGGCCCTTGTCCTTGGCGAACACGTTCTTGAGGTGGCGCACGTCTGCCTCGAGCATCCCCAGGCTGACGCCCTCCTCAGGTGTGTATACGGCAACAGCACCGACGCCGAGGCCCGCAAGAGTGGCCACGTACCCAGAGCGTCCGCCCTGGGTCTCGATCACGAAGACTCGGCGGCGGGCAGCTGAGGCAGACTGCTTGATCTTGTCACAGTAATCAATCAGCTCGTTCAGGCAGGTATCGGAGCCAATCGAGTATTCGGTTCCGGGAACGTTGTTGGAGATGGTGGCTGGCAGGGTCACCATGGGAATGCGGAGTGAAGGGAACTGTTCCCGCGCGATACGAAGCTGTGACACGGCATGGAAGGCCTCAAAGCCTCCAATGAGAAAGAGAGCGTCAAACTTGTACTGCTTGATAAGGTTGGCGATGTGTTCCATGCCCGACTCCTTGGGCAGCTCACGGTTGGTACCGATCTCAGAACCACCCTTGCTGGCCCAGCCGTCCACCTCCAGCCAGTCGAAGCCCCGTACAGCTCCTACTGGCTTGTCGCCGTGGTGTCTGGCAAACCCAGCGAACCCATTGTGGATGGCAAGGGGCTCGTGCCCGCGGGAGATGCAGTATGCCACACCAGCCCGGATGGCGGCGTTCATTCCACCTGCTGGCGCGCCAACGTTGATGAAGCCGATCCGCATGCGCTTGTCCTCGGGCAGCTTGTGTTCACCATTCAGGTTTGCTGTCGTTGTCAGCATGTATGATGCGTACTGGTCGGCAAACTCGGTGTCACGAAGTGCCATGGCCCTGTCAAAGTCCTGCGCCTCGATGGCCTTGGCCACAGCCTTGGTGTCTATCACTGCCTGCATCAGCGGCCGCCGGACGATCTTGTTCTCGGTAATAGCAATGAAGCAAGTCTCGGTCTCGGGTGTGGCCTCGAGTACAGCCTTGACGGCCTCGACACCCTGTAGAGTGGCCAGCATCCGATCATAGGCAACAGCGGTACCGCCTCGCTGGACGTGACCAAGGGTTGTGATCCGGGTGTCGAGGTGGAGGCCCTTGGGATCGGCCAGGAGGTCCTTGATCATGTTCGGTGAGATCTTGTTGCTGTGTCTGTCATGCGCGCCCTCGGCGATGATGACGATAGTCTTCCTCTTGCCAAGGCTGCGGTGCTTGCGAACAATCGAGCACATCTCCTCCTTCCAGTTGTCCTCCCTAGGCTTCTCTGGGATGAAAACAAAGTCGGCTCCAGTGGCAACCCCGGCCATGAGGGCCAGCCAGCCACAGTGCCTGCCCATGACCTCGATGACGAAAGCGCGCGAGTGCGACGAGGCTGTTGCCTCGATATAGTCGACCATCTCGCAAATCCTGGAGAGGGCAGAGTAACCACCGATGGTGGCGTCTGTGCCGGACATATCATTGTCGATCGAGCCGACGGTGCCGACAATGTTAAGGTGCTTGTAGGGAGCGACCTGGTCCTTGGTCAGCTCCTTCTTCTGGACGAGCTCGTCCAATAGCGAAGGCCACTCTGCTCGGAACTTGTCGGCACCAGTGAGCGAGCCGTCACCGCCACAGATGATCAGCGCATCGATGCCATTCAGGACCATGTTCTTGGCGCCGGTCAAACGGCCAGGCCGCTCATAGAACTCCATGCATCTGGCCGTTCCGATGAGTGTGCCACCTTCGGACAGCCAGCCACGGACATCATCCCACGCCATCTTCCTGATGTAATCGCCGCCCTTGACCAGGCCCTCGTATCCCTCGTACACGCAGTATGCGTCGCAGCCCATGTGCAGCGCCATGCGAACACAGGCTCGAACAACTCCGTTCATGCCAGGGGAGTCGCCTCCCGAGGTCATGATGGCGATTTTCTTCTTCGGCGACGCCATGGTCGTAGGTGGAGAGGGGGGTTGGCAGAGGATGGAGAGGTTGAGTGTAAGGCAGGTATTGCAGCACAGCGAATCCTAGGCTGATTGGGTGGCGTTAGCAAAACAAGAGCAACCAAAAATTGCAATACTGAGAAAAATGAAGCAGCTGGCAAATTGAAACAGCGTGCAGCAGTCCAGAGCCAGGAAGGCGTCGTAAAATAGGCAACGTGGTACCAGCAGGATGTGTTGGGTTCAGCACCCTGTCCATCCCTTCCTGCCAGGACGAGGGAATGCCGTTCGAGGCGGTCCTGCTCGTGTGGTTGGTAGGTTCTGACCTTGACGTACTGTGCCCCCTCTTCCGCTGGCCGTACCAATTTGGTCATACACAAGCCCAGATCAATTGGCTCGCTCCTCTGCTCTCTCGACAGAGGATGCGCAGGGTCGCTCGACGAGAGTACGCGCCAAAGGTTGTGGCTCGGGGTATATTGAAGTTGACTTTTGGGGGGGGGGGGGGGGTGTGGTTGGCAACTTACTCAAAGATGATGGATGCAGAGGAAGAATAAAAAGTCCGAGTTGGAATTATATCCTTCAAGGTCTGCTCGAAGAGAAGAGGGTTTCCCTTGCTGACCAAAGGGAAAAAAGGAAGAGAGTTGGACTCAGGTGAGGCGGGAAATCGAGACTTGGCTAATAATCATAAGCTGAAGGGAACGCCTGCGCAAGCTGACGACCTGACGTTTTTGGTTGCGGTAAGTGCTGAAGTGCTGCAACAAGTACTATGATGAAGGTGGGATGTTTAGTGCTCTTATCTTATCGGAGCTTAGCCCCCCTCCTTTAGCACGAACTGACAGAAGGCAGAGGAAAGAAGGTATTTTTAAAAGAGGAAAAAAAAGTTCTTCTGAGTGACTTCATAGCAAAGTATGTCGCTTGCTATGGGGCATGACAACGTCATTTTTATCCCTCATACATAATTACATAGTACGACTCAAACCACTCTTCATTCTTCGGCGCCAGTCTCGCTGAATTTCCGCAACACAACGCCGAACCACAGTGGATCTGACACCCGCCCGCCAGCCAGTGATGACTCGGAAAGAAAAGGTGGTCTGTCACTTGTCTCATGCTGCCCAAAAAATTGTCGTATGTCACACGTGAATGAGCAGATGTCTCGAGAAGTCTTCTTCTCTTTTTCTTTCTTCGAAAGGGCCGAAAACGCAAAGTTATCGAGGGCCAAGAGGCAAATAAACAAGGCGCTATAGATGGCCTGATTTTCACAGTGTATAGTATGGAGATTTTAGCTTCTCTCAGCCTTGCATAGATTGCCAGCCCGAGGCGTGTCATCGTGCATGTTTCGTGATACCCGTAGAGGGGCAAGGTGGGTTTTCAAAACATCAAACTGATGCGCTGAGCGGTGTCTTTGATACCTAAAGTACAGTGGTACCTATTAGCCTGAAGGTCGGTTGCAGCACGACGAGTACCCCTGTAGACGGGCAGACGGGCCACGGTCCCACCTCTCAGGCTTACCAGCAATTGACCTATGAGGTGCGTCCACCGCCGTACAGTGAAAGCTCCAACCGAGACCTTTTGGCTGTCAGGCAGCCAATACTTCTCTCTCTCCTCTTCATCTCCCTATCTCAGCAACGGCTCCGCGAGCGCACCCTTTTACTTATAGACTCCAGAATCCCCAAGCTCGACTGTCGACAGCTTGGCACCGGAGAGAGGTGCGCGGCTGGACTGCCTCCCAGGATGGCCTCGAACCGTCGCTCCTCCTCCTCCTCCTCCTCCTCCCTCTTTGGCCTAAGTCCCCTCCCCCTCGGCGATCGCAGACCTCAGAATCTTGCAGAATTTATTCAGCGCGCTGATTTCGAGCGGGGTGGCTTCCGAAACATCACCGAGGAGGCCTTGCGCGAGGAAGTAGAGACCGATGGAGATGGAGTTGTCGACTCCAAGGAGGTGGACATGCTCGATGGCAGATCTGGAGAGGAAGAGGACGATGGCCTCGACGAAGACGACTCCCAAGGCAAGTTAAAACCGGAAGAGTATCAGGCGGCCATCGTGGAGGTCATGGAACAGACCGAGTACGTGTTTTCATCTCGAATAGCTCTGGCCCTGAAGTGGCTGGCGGCAGTTGGCAAAGCCTTATTAACCTTTGCCGTAGAGTCGCAAAACAGAGTGCCTCGTTAGCCTCCGAATTTATCTCCCTCCTGCTCTCCAAAGAAGATCCCGCACAATCCAGCCTGTCTCTGTCCTCCGTCCTCCGAGATCTTGTCGGGGTTGGTTCCCTCGGCGTCGACAAGCTTGTCAAGTCGAACACCACCGAGGCCCGCCTGCAAGACCACAAGACCGTTGCGACTGGTTGGAAGCTGGGCGACATCGACAGGACCGTCGACTCGCTGCTACAATCCGCCTCTCGGCTCCAGAAAGAGATGGCCACCGAGGCCAAGTATTGGGAGCAGGTCCTCGCAGTCAGCGACAAGGGCTGGGCCGTGACTCGGCTTCCGAATGAGCCAGAGAACCTCGGCGTGAGATATGGCTTCTCCGAGTCTGCGCCCAACTTCCGAAAGACGAGCCTGGCGCCCATGCGACGAGGTGAGGATGGAAATGTCGACCTGGACTGCGATAAGACACTCGGCGACTCGCAGCGACTGCTAGTGACGCTCGAGAGGGATGGGGCGGTCGTGGGACGCTCTGCGCTCCCGAGCTCTCTGCTTCGGGATGCGCCCCTCGAGGATCGGGTTCTCGATGCACGCAACACCGTATTCGCGCAGGAGCTTTGGCACGAGTTGGACCGCGAGGGTCGACTGTTCCCAGGCTATGGTGTATGCATTGAGGACGGCGTTCTCTCGTACACCTACAATACGACCTCGAAGATTGTTGTCCAGCTGCAGACCCTGCCGCAGGGTCTCGACGAAGAGCCAGCGCGCCCCCTACCTGAGGACCAACGTGCCGAGGCCCTCAGTGCAGCGCTCCATCAACTGCTCACATTTGCGCGTCGAGTGAACAAGTCGAAACGCTCGCAGACGAATCCCAAAACGCGGAAACAGACCGCTCAGGTGCAGCCATATCAACTTGTGCGCCCGTTGCTGGCCTATACCCAACATGAGGAGGCGGTGAAGGAGGTTACAGGATTCATCTCGGATCTGACAACGCTCCTGCAGTCCGCCGGCGTTGCCACGGCCATGTTCAAGCTGACCGAGCCACCCATCGACCCGAGCTCCGCCGGAGCTAACAGCTCGACATCAGAGGCCCTCGTCAGGTCCCTCCTCCGACCATTCGAATGTTACTTGGAGCTCGACATCACGCCGGAGTCTAGGGTACGTATCCGCTGCCTAACGGCGATGCGGAGCTTCATCTTGACTACCTATCAAATTTTCCCTATCCCTCTCGCGTCAGGCACGGCGAGTCCTCTGCAGAAACTTTATCCGCCCAGCGAGATCAGTAACAAGGAGGGCTACACCCTGCCTGATCTTAAATACTACCTGCAGCAGGCCGTCTCCCGGGTTCTCATCGACCGCACCGCCGAGCTCTTAATCCCACACATCACTCCAGGGACACCGTCGGCAGATGGCGAATGGGAGTCCAAGTGGATCAAAAACTTCAGCGGCACAACCCTTCAAAATGCAGACGACGAGAATGAGGACATACACATCGACGTGGTGGTTCCAAAGACCATTACTGGGAAGCAGCACCCCGAGCTACGCGTGCGGGGGCGCTGGAGTGCCGGGTCGACTGGGTCTGCGCAGCGAAGCTGGACGTGGACCGTCGGCGATGCCGTTCAGGGGGCCGGAAAGGAAAGCCTGGAGCAGATCGTTAGGCAGGTCATCAGGGGAGAGGCGCAGTCCGCATCTTGAGCTCATCGAGGTAAACCGGTAGGCCTGACGCGCATGGGTTGTTCCCTAGCTTGAGGGCTACGCTACGGCCTGCCTCTATGTGGTGGGCGTAGTGGAAAGGAAAAACCAGGGACTCACGCAAGCTATTTGGTGCAAGGAAGAAGAACGGCAAGGATAGCGCCAACTTTGTAGCTCCCAATTATAACAAGAATCTTGTCTGACAGGCCTCTTGACAGCTTGTGACATCGGGCAATTTTTTTGGAGCTGGAAGAAGCGGGTACAAAACTATGGCAAGATGGAGCTGAGCATGGATTGTCCCCAGGCGCACTAGTGAAATGAGCTGAGCCCGTGAAATGAAGATGATGATATGTGGGAAACTCATAATTTGGTGAGGTATCACTCTGGCGGAACGGTTCCCTCTGCCAGCGATTCAAGCTCTCCTGCAACGGGCGGCAAAACTGAGGACGTCGAGATGGCTGGCGTGGGCGAGCATCTTCCTTCGCCGCCTGCGTCAACCAATGCAGCTAGTTTACGAGATTCAGCTTCTCCGGTACCTGATCCGTCAAATGTCGGTCTCCCAGCTAATAACCCTGCCGCGACTGCCCAGGTCCCATTCTCTTTCGGCTCAGGCTCCGACAACGAAGGATCCTCCCCCTAAGGACCCTCCCGCGCCTAAGTCCACAGTTCGACCATCTACTGAGAAGCAGCCCCAGGAGCAATCGCTACCCAAAGACATTTGGTCTCGGTTCGATGCAGTGGTGTCGAATGTCCATAGTCCTGGTTGGCGGGCGGTCCAGCAGGAATGTCTCCTCTACGGTTGTGATTTTGCGGACGTAAAATTTTGCTGCGAATTCCGCCTCAAGCACGAGGAAACCAAAGAACAATGCGGATGACCTGCTGACGTTCGCTTCCAACTGGATCCGAATTTGCCCCGAAGCGCTTGATGTTCTGGATGGCGACTGTCATGGCGACAGCACCATGAAAAAGCCACATTGCCGCATACCGCCAGCAAAAATCCTCGTAATGTCCCTATACGCGAAGAGAAAGACTCGGGCTCCAGGTCTCGCCTATTTTTAGCGAGGCTCCGGAGCAGGATCGCCAGGAACGAGGCTTTTCGAACCGCTTTGGGGAAGCGGAGGCTGGATGGGACAAAATTACATTCGAGAAAGACCCAGATGACCCAGAACGCGGCGAAGTCAAGGGCACGATTTGCCTTGCTATCGCGGGGTACCTCGACGTGTCCCTCCCAAGTCATTCGGGGGCATGGTGAACTATGCAAGAGAATGAGAGAGTGATGATGAAGGAGGGAAGTTATCGAGGGGTGGGAGGAAGGGTAGACGCGTGTTCATACTAGCATCACCTGCGAATCCAATCAAAGGAGACATAGCTTATCGAGGTGACGACCAAGCTGTTAGGCACGTTCTGGAGGACAAGGTAGAAGTCAGACTAGCCACTACACGTGTCGACCCATGTGATCTTCTGCCTTTCCAGGTCACGCCACTCCTTCATCTACCGTCCGGCCAGAGATTCTCCTCTGCAAGCCCCTGGTCCCGAGCGAGGACAGGGACATTGCCTTTGATCATCTGCCTCTACTGGATATCTATTGATGAAGTGAGTAAAACAACAGCGCAATACGATATCGATAGCTCATTAGTCCTGCAAACTAGTTCGGAAGGTTAACTCCTGAATATGAGGTTCGTCGACCACGCCAACCCCATTCTAAGTTTCGGCAGCTTTGCAGAACCGTACCATCCATTCGAGGTCACGACAAAGGATGGGTGCCCAATGACACATCGTGTCGCTAATGTTGATCGTAAACCCGCTTTCCATCACCTCGTGTTCGGTACGTTACTACGCTGCATTAGAATCGGAGAGTCTTTGCAGGATATTGCTTCCTCTACCCAGCCAAAGTTCTTAAATAGTGAGTTCCAGCGCTTCATACCCTTGTTCACTGTATTCTGAGCACGGCGATGGTAAATCAAGTAGGTAAAGTGGTCTCGCGGTCTAAGCCACTTGGAAGTCTCATGCACAATATCATCTGGCAGAGGTTCCATTGTATGACAAGCTGAGATGGATGAAATGTAGAATGCACGATGTTAATAAGCAATGCACGGGAGCATATGTGATTAATAGAAATTTTGGTAGGCACAGCAAGCCTGCGTTTTGTCGACACTTGAACAAGAATCAGGTCTCCCTGGTCTTGGTCCCTGTGGGGGATGCACAACGAATAGGGTAGAGGATCTAATCGGTAAGAAGAACTCTGTTGTGAGTGTCTCATATTATGAATCTGCTAGTACATCGGGGTCCATTTGTGCATCATGAAGAATGCGTTTCATCGAAGCACAGAGGCCAGGCTCAGGTCGTTTCCATCTTTGGCTGTTTGGGAAGACTTCCCTTCGCAGCCGGTTGACCCAGGGAACTATGGGCTGATAGTACGGCGTAAAGTGCTTGTCCGCTTTCTTCAGAAAGTCTTCCTCATCATCAATGACACCTTTTTTTATCCCAGCCAATTGATCGTCACCCTCGAAATTCCAAGTATCAAAAACAGTTGTGCCAACATCTCTGCCATCCCTCTCATAGTGAATGCATATCCAAAACAAGACCCAAAAGAATGACTCGAGATCATGCATAAAGGTATGTTGCTCGCCGAGAAGCGCCCCAATTGACATGAATGCCCTGGTGCCAGTCTTGCCCTTTGCCCCGGAAGCACGATCTCGGTCTTCCCTGATGGCGAGGTCAAGATCGATGAGAAATGATGGCCAGGATAGGTTGTTTTCATCTTCGTTAATCATGAGGTTGTTAATCGATATGTCTCTGTGCAGAACACCTGCATGATGCAAAGTCTCGTGGCCTTCGATACAACCCTCGAGGCCGGCAAGCAGTGCCCGGCGAGAATTTGCTTTGTAGATGGCCTTGCCATAATCTTGACAATAACACGTCGGTGGACTCTGTTTGGCGGGAGAGTAGAAGTTTTGGTTGGAGAAGCGGAGCAGGACCATTTACTTGGAGGTACGACTGAGTCTGTTTGGCTAGATGTTCGCTTCCTGCTGGAGCTAGTCCAACTCTTGCGAGGCCCTCCCGATACCATTTCATTCAATTGTTGTGAACGAGTTGGTTGATAGTTTGAAGCCGTATTTATGTCTAGTCCCTGTCGGACGCCGTTTCGAATGTCGTCATCCATGCCGTGGATTCGTACTGTTTCGTGATGATAGTAGCGGGCCACATTGATAACGTTTTTAGCTGTCACCTCAGACAACATCTCGCCCTCCTCGTCGCGTTCGGGGTATTGCCAAGAGTCTTTAATAACTAATGGCGTCTCTGGGTGGCCCTCGGGATGCGCTCGCCTGCAAGTTGTTGCTCGGCCAGCAATACAACGAGCCCGCAACATCACTCCGTCAATGATAATGCGCTCCTTGCTTCCTTTTCGTTCAATCTCAATAAATCGCTTGTTATCACGTTTCTGGATCGTTGGATCAAATCCAAGCTCTTCCTCGCTCATCCACAAGAAGCCTAGGATGACAAGAACGAACCGGAGACCATTATTGTTGATGTCCAGTTGCTCAGATGCTATGCCGCCGAGTCTGTCGAACACCTATACTCTCATGAGGGATCCACAAATGGTGAAGCCCAAGACGAAGCGACGTGTGTCTTGTGCAGCCAATACTTCCCGAGCATACCTCCCAAGATCAAGCCACGCCTCTGCCGCTCTGTCGGCAGAAGGGTTGCTTTTGAGCTCTCCAGGGACCAGTACTTGGGACCAGTGGCATCTCGTGTCTTTCTGAGATTCGGGGTCGCTCACGAAGCCAATATCCAACTTTCGCGTCCCCACAGACCCGTAAATCGGCTCGTTCGGTTTCGCCAAAAGCCTTCGATGGCGCGACTGACCTGGTCGCCGATTAGTGGCAAATGCTGCGAGCTTTTCGGTAAAGCTTGAGATCCATTCGAGAACATCGTCTTCCCCGGCGCCCGCTGGCCAGGTTGTCCACCCATCATCAAACATCGGAGTCGGACCGCTCATACATTGCTTGAAGAACACCGACGCCGTCTCCAGGCCATCAACGCCACCAAAGTACTTGTCCCAGAACTTTGGTATGCCGACATATAGATGACCGAGTTCCTCCTTCAAGATGCCATCGACGTGTTTGCGGTACTCTGACGAGTTTGGAAAGCTGCTGGTGTTGCGCAGCCATGGTGTCTGTTGAATCGAAGACGCGATAGGGCGGGGAGGCGGAGTCGCTTCGGCAACAGCGCTCTTCACGAGTTTCCATATAGCAGAGTCGTCGGCTCCATCAGCAGAGGCTTTTAAAAGCGGATGGAGGCGATCGAAGTCGAAGTCGCTCGTTGCAATAGTTACATTCAGCCTCAAAATCTCGACAAAGAGGCTTTTATCACGACTCGTCCGAAGAATGCGAGCCGCTGGAAGGACCTGCAGCGCTGCCAGGAGTGTGAAGACGAGGTTCTGCAGCTCTATACATAGTAAGCTTATTGACCCTGCCTGGCTTTGTTATCCCACTCACCTTTAGGACTGGGATGGTTGAGGCTAGCATTCTCGGAAGTGCTCGCAGCTTGCGTAATCCGCCCGACAGCCCCATACACGAAATCGAATTCGTGGATCTGCACTTATCTAATGTCGGACCTGGCCCATCATCTTATCGAACTGCTTGGGTACGTTGCTGACCCTTGAATGGTGGCATGCGTCAGGCTCGCATGTGCGTGGCTTAAAGCGGACGATCTCCAAGCGGTTTGCAGCCAAGACAGGCTTAGGAGTCAAGACGGTCCGGATGATGCTTCCCTCCTCTGACGTCCCCCCATCTTCTTGTGAACTATGCATTACGCGCCCGCGGCCTTGACCTGTGATTCTCTTAATTACCGAGCCTAGTCGGCTAGATGGCGTGGATGCACGACGCCAGGTTGCGCAACCGAAATAAGTCGCAGTTACGTCCGAAGGTCATTTCTCTCAAATCATAATCGGAGTTTCCATCGGCTCTATCAATTACCACCTGTTAACCCCGATATTAAAGCTGAAGTGAGATACGCGGATGCACCATTAACGTCTTTGCACTCAGCCTCCCATCGCTTCGCTGCCAGCCTCCAACGCAAGCTTCCTGAGGCGGTACAAATACTACCGCGAACGTCATGATTATCCTCCGACTACCATGGCACCTGATGAAAAGTCAAGATGACAAGGATGAGTGTCTTCGACAGATCAGCCGGAGTCGTCGCGCGTCGATCGTATCGCAGCTCGTGGCCATCAGCGGTCGGAACAACCAGGTGCAAAACACTCGAAGTATCGATCCTTCGTTAACAGCCTCCAGTGCCTTGAGCCCAGAGGCTCAGACTTACATCAGAGCTGACGACCAAGGTGGAGGAAGTGATTCTTGGTGCCGAATCTCCTTGGTCGCTTGGTTTTTTACCAGCATGATGCTGCTTTCGCGCTTCAAAATCTCAGGCAACTCGTATCGGATGAACTGGACTTGAATCGTCAGCGCCATTCAATAATAAGAGTAGACCTTGTTCCCGCCGTCGCAAGAAACACCAACATTAGTCACAGAGATCGTGATGTGCCCAGGAATAGCAGGGTGTTCTCGTTGCCAGCCGGCTATGAACTGCTTCCAATACACCTTGACAGTCCCTTCACCTGGATTTGGATCATTTTCTACGCCATCAATGCCAAACACAACCTCCTTCATGAAGTCTTTCAGAGATTTCAGATCGTAGGGGCTGGGATTGTCATCAGCGTGTTCTTCAGCGTATCTAGACAGCCATTAGCATAACCACAGCAAGTGATGAGACACCGGAGGCCATCTTACTGGTTCCAGAGGCCAATCATGCGGTTGTACTGCCTCAACGTTTTGTCATCGACCTTCTTGAAGACGACTGAATTGGTGATCCCTTCAGTGCATTGCACGGAGCCCTTATTTCTGCCATCGCGAAAGAGATCTTGGGCGCTCTTCCTTCTGGGCATTATTGCTATACTTTTCGCAAGGGATACAGAATCAAGGATCGAGTAATTACCTCGCGGTCGAAGAATCACCTCGCGGTCGAAGTCCGCGGAAAGTGAGAGCAGGAAGAAGGTGTAGTCGGGTTGAGCAGGTTGGAAGTAGGACGAGATCGAGAACCAGCGACCGTAGCCTCATATATGCGCATCACCTGAGCGCCCAGCGCCATTGCGGACCTGAGATGCGCAGTCCAAGACCTGCGCGACCTCCGGCGGCCAAGCATCAGGCAGGCATTCGGGTTTCGAGAGGATGAAGAGGGTCGCCAGAAACCGGGCTCATTGAGAAATCTGCCTGCGCCTCGCCCCTGGCGCGTCCAACCAGATCCTGAACCATGGCGAAGGTCGCATGAAGTTGAGGGGATACAGTACAAATTCAAAATCGACTAGGTGAAAGGTGATAGGTCGGCGTGCAGCCCGCCTGAGGGATGGTCGAGGTTGATGTGATTTAAGGTGATCAAACGTGATGCTCAGTGAGCAAGGGTGATCAGCGCCTGAGCAAGAGCGGCGGTGCTGACTAACCAGGCCCGGGCGCAGGTCTCCTGTGTTTCGTGGCAGACTACCTACGTTCTAAAGTCAGTTCGGCCTTGAGCTGCTGCCTACCAAAAACTCCCCCCCCCCCCCCTCGCCGCCAAAGAAAAGATCCATGCATAAGACAAATCAATCAATTGACTTAACAAAAATTGAGGACCTTCTTCATTGGCTCCGACTCCCTCCTACCAGCAGTCTCATCTGACATATTGCAAATATATACCCAGAGACAAGAAAGACCTCACCGCCCAGTCCCAAGCCCCCAACCAACCAGCCAGCCACACCCACGAATAAAAAAAGATGCCGCCATCTTCCCCCACCACACCAGTCAAGGTGACGACCTTCCCTGTCGTCCGCCACCATATCATCCCCACAGCCATCTGCGCCGTGATCATGATCCTCTCCTCCCGCCGTGACTTCATCCAGCCCGGCTCCCCGATCCACAGCCATATCCTCGCCCCGCTTGCCAGCCTCACCGGCACCACCCTCGCCAGCGCCGAAGCTACCGCGGCCACCGTGCAGACCTGGACTTTCCGGATATTGGTTGACATCCACGCGTTGGAGGTGCCGATCTTTGCGGCGACGAAGCTGCCGGCGCACGGGGTGGCCTTCTTGAGCGGGCTCTGGTGGAAGTGGGTGCTTGCGGTGTTTTTTGGGGGCAAGTTTACTTGGGATTTGTTCGCCGAGACGGTTAGGGGTGCGAAGGCCAAGGGGAGGTAGTAGGCTTGCGTGGCACATTGGTGGGAAGCTGGACGGTGTTGTGGCGCCGTACCAGTAGATGTCATGAGGGGCAGAATGTTCTGGATGGGGGGAGAAGGGGGAGGGGCTTGTGTGATTTGGAAGAAGATGTCTAGAAGGGTGGTCTCGCTGCCTCCTCATATGATGACCGCTCTGATGTCCACAACTGCCACAATATCTCCAGACAATTTAGAAGTGTCTTTGATAGGGAATGCAAAAGGTCATGCTGAAGGGTGTGATTGATGCCCCATGACAATGCAAATGCAGTCTTGGGATGTCGCACAGGAGGGTTGTTTCAATTACAAGGATAGATGTACTACTTGCACAATGTATGTGTGTTCCAGCATCATGAGCCAATGCCTGGGTAGCTCAGTGATTCGATCAGTCGAAAACACAATAGCCAGGACTGGAGCTCAGTCCCTTCGACAGGTAATATCGTGGTTTTCATTCCTGTTTCAGGGAAAGGCAACTCGCAAATATCCATCCATGAACCACCACTCTGCGGACCTACCAGATGTGCGAGAAGTGAAAGCTGTCACGCACTTGACCCAAGTAAACACAATTCCTCTACCGACCATTGGCTTTGCTTTTGCCAGCATGGTTTCCAACATGCTACTGAAGTGATGCCATTCCTGCTCATCTTGCATCTAAGTACTCAGTCTCATCTAGGCTTGTAATTTGGTTGAGCTTCTACAGATTACTCAAGTGCCCAACCCAGGTGACGTGCAAGTTGTGTTACCTTGACCAGACATATTGTCAAGTTACACGACAGTTAATGTTTTTCTTCCACTATTTCTTAACAGTAAAATTATTGTGTCGCTATGACTACACACATAGATTCTATGGTACTTGTTACAGACCATACAGCCCAGGCCAAATGACTTCAACTTTTATTGCGCTGAGGCTGTCGTAAAAATAGTGTGACCTTACCCAGACTAGGTTTGATACAAGAACAACACATTCTTCTACCGTGGTAGCAGATGTCTGGATGTCCGTCCCAAGCAGCGACTCATGAAGGGTGTGGCTACAGCCCTACAGGCTGAGCCTCATTTCGTCTAATGCATGGATGCCTACTAAAGTTGGCCGGCTGCATTGACGTCAAAGGAGGTTTCATGGATTCGTTAGCCCGCCAAGGCCACATTGTTTTATACATCAGCTTTTCAAAAGAGGATCCAAGTTTAGCACAGCAGTTCTGCCATGTACTCCGGTCCATTGTCTCCGGCTCTCCTGGATGACGACGCGAGCGAGCCAGCCCAGTAGAGGCTTGCGTATTTCGAGCGGTCCAACAAAGGCCCTTACTCGGAGCCCAGGGTGGAAGATGTATTATTACAACATTGTGAAATTACCGTACGCTGCTGCATGAATCAAAAGGGCATGCTCGTCTGGTAATTAACACCGTCTTGACGTTCTCTCCGTCGGTGGTGGCATTGTACTATGGTAAGTTTTTCAATAGTGATGGAGTGATGGGTGGAGTGATGGGTGGTATATAACAGAGTTCAATACCCTTTCCCATCCCAAAATTGGACAAAATGCAATCTCCGCTTCCGAGACTATCGGTTGGAGTTGAGGAACTGGGCCGACAGATTTGGCAGTGGGGAGCGGAAAACCCTGGCATCGCCCCCCAAACAAGAAAGAAAAGAAGAAAACTTTATGATCGTCACCAGGAGGCGTAAAAAATCTGGTTCGTAGTAGAACGCATCGTGAAAGGTCATCCAATGCCTCTTGTCTTGGTTGGGCCGCGCGCTTGTGAGGTGCCGGGGGGGGGGGGCAAACAGGACGAACTCAAACTTGGCCATGCCAGAGTTTAGGCCTGGTCGCAACACACACACACACACGACTCGTGACAGAAAGCAGGTTTCTGTCTCTCTAGACTAGGAAGCACAATGCAGTGCAGCCGCACCAACTTTGGGCGTCCCCCGTCCGAACAAGCCATTGACCAACAAATCAGATGCATTGTGCCATGTTTGTGTACCAGCGTACCGCAGGAATCTGAAGCAAGCTTGAGGATGTTTTTGTTGATCGGCCTGGACAGTGGGAATCGGAGAAAGGAGGAGGCGAGGGGTGTGAAAAGGGATGATATGCCTTTTAAACCAGGCGGGAATATGCTATGCTGTACCGTGACAAAGAACACAAGGGGAGGAGCGGAAGGGATGGAAAGGAGAAACGTCCTGTTTTATGTTTGCAGATCACGATAAGCACGTCTACATTTTTTGGAGTTGCAGGCTTTGTAGCTGCATGAGTGAAACTAGAACATGTTTTGACCGGTGAGCTCCATGAGTCGGTCGGTTAATTTTTGATTTTATTTGGGGGCGGTAGAGGTCAGACAGAGACGCACAGGGGGGTTTTAAATGGATCGATCCTCTCTGCACACGCGCCGGTTTGGTTGGGTTTGGGGGGGGGGGGAGATTCAGTGACCGTCAGCACACGCGGGTGAGGAGGGCAGGGAGGAAATAGAAGAATGAAGCCCAGGGCGGGAGGATCTTGCATGACACATTCATTGACAGGCCTCGGCTCCCATCAAAGTTCCGATAATCCGGGGGGAAAGCTAGGCAGCTGTGGAGGCAGCATCGGCCTCCTCGCTTGCATTACACTAATCAGAGCTGAGCAGGTATTGAATACTGTGTAATAATGGTTGTGCTAATGTCCAGATGGCCAGTGTAGATGAGTTTGGCGATGGCGGCAGCAGCAGCAACAGTCAAAGTTTCCATGTTCAATGTTCAATGTAGTAAACGTCATTTGATTGTTTGAATTTGATGATGATCTTTCGAGTGACGGCTCGCCCGCATTCACATTCTGTAACTTATTCCCCCCACCCTCTTCTTGACAAGTAATGATGATTTGTCCAGCAAATAATGGTGAATGATGATGATGATGAACATGAAAATGAAAACGATGTACAATTTTAAATCATCCTAGACAGCCGAACCCTTGTGGCTGGTAATACCTATCGCTGCCGCAAATAGCCGCCACTCAAAACGCCACGCTTGCTAAAAAAGTGACACAAGAAAAATAAAGAAATAAATGCATAGTTGATGTTCAGACAGGTTGTGGAAGAAAGCGAAAAAGAAGAGACAGAGAGAGAGAGAGAGAGAAAGGACAGTCATCGGGTCTCAGCCAGGAGGACCACGATGTTGTGCATCGTCCACTCAAATGTGAAAGGCATCATCGTCCTTTTGGTAGACCTCGGCGGACTCTCCCCCGAAGAAGATGGCTCTCCTCTTCCATGCGCCTCGCTGAATAAAGTAGCCAGGGTCGTCAGGAGACGCGACCTGCGGTCTCGGACGGGCACCGGCACCTGGTGTGTTCTCCCACAGCTCATGGCTGCGCTGGACAGCATCGTCTTCGTCGGGGGTCTCGTCCTCGAACCAGGACTTGCCCGAGTCCACACTCGATGCCGGCGAGGGCCATCCCTTGTCGTCGTCGTGGTGGTGGACGTCTTGTCCGCCGTGCTGGTGTGCGCCGCTGTGGTTCTGCTCGGCGATGTGGACGGCCTTGGCCTCTCCCAGGGAGAAGTCGAAGCCGTGATAAGCCTCGAGCGAGAGGCCCGAGTCGGAGTGATGCAGCCGAGCTGGGCGGCGGGCGGTTTCGTGGCCTGCAAAGGACCGCTTGGGCCGCAGGACCTGCAGTGGCTGTCGCTCGTGTAGCCTTGCGGGGGGCTCCGGGCCCTGGGCAGCGACGGGTGGGTTCAGCTTGAGCGGGTCCCACTCTATAGGCGGCCAGTGCTTCCGTGCCAGGCCGCCGTCTGACGATGATGGCCGCCTTGTGATGATGGGTATGCTGCCGCTGCGCTGCCGGACGGAATGAACTTGTTCGGATTGTTGAGCGTCGATGAGATCCATGGGATGCACAATGCGCAGTTTTTTGTGGTGGTGGCTGCGAGAGCGGGACAACATCCCGTGGCCAGTGTGGCCGACCATGGTGACGGAGGGCTGGCTGGTGACGTGTGGAGTCTGTGAGTGAATGTAGGGACAGCCTCGTGGGTGGGCTGAGATGACACAGAGAGACAGAAAGAAAGAGTGTGAGAGACTCTTGTCCGTTGTGGTATATGTGTGTGTGCAGGTCCGGTTCAGTGTTGTGGTTGACTTGTCTCGAGATGATAAGTCGCCAGGTAGAATTATGGCAACTTTATTGTACACAGAGAGAGAGAGAGAATGAAAAATTCGACGTAAGAATTGAACAGATGACAGGCTGGGGGGGCCGGGCGGGGATGCGATCTTGATATATCTTCTCCTCAAAAGCTTCCCGGCCAATCCGGGCTGTGTGCCTTGCATGCAGCGCACACTAGACTAAGTAAGCTGCACGTAATAAGGCGAAGGATACTTCGCCAGAGGTACACGTTCTTTTTTTCTTGCGAATGACCTGCTAATGGCACGAACCCAGAAATCTTGGCCCTCTAGTTGTAGATCGTTACGACGCACGAGTGTCATCAGCCACACACCCTCTTCCTACTCGAACCGAACTAGCCGGGCACCGCAACCTGAACGCGTTACTCCACTCATTGTGCACACACCATCTCTTTCCCACTTTCTTTTCTTTTCTTCTTTTCTTCTTCCCCTTGATCGGGGTGGGGTCTTGTTCTCCTCTTTCTCGGCGTCTACTTCCTTACCAGGGTCGGTCAAGATTTCCATGTTGCACATCATGGACAACAACCAGAACCCCCAGTCTTAGTGGTCGAACAGGGGGGAGGGACCCTGGGTTCTTTGATCTTCAGCCCTTAGAGTGGAGACATGCGTCACACGCTTGATATAGCAGAGCCACCGATCCAAAAGGTAGCCAAGAATGTGGGCCCTCCCTTTGGTCATCGGCCGAGCTTCCCAAAGCCGACGTGCCACATACACCAATGAATGGGCTGCACAGGAGAACGGCCAGACGGGGTAGCCTGTTTAGACTGTCCGTATTCAAAAGAAAGTTTTTTTTTGGTTTTGGCAGCCAAGCTCACAGCAGACAAGTCACCGATTTTCCTTCGTCATAATCTTTTCTTAATGCCAGTGGGCCTGGTCAGGATGAAATGACTTTCTAGAAGTCCGGTGAGTATTGGGAGAAAGCGAAAGAAGAAAAAAAGGTTGGGGCCGTTACGACGTAACCGTGGAGCAGTTCTAGTGGGGCTGAAGAAGACTATTGACAACAAACATCCGTTTTGTTTTGCTTCTTTTTTATACCCTCCTCAAACCTGTCTGTGTATTTTGCTATGATGTGCTGCGCTTGCGCTGCTGGTGGAGGCTCACCATTCTGCTCCCTCTGTCCATTGACACAGCTTCTGGTTCTTTTTTTATTTTTTATTTTTATTTCCTTATCTTCCTATTTCATCATAACTACCCCAGGAATTCAGGCAGGCCCGGGCGCTGGGCCTATGCTGGTAAATGATGAACAGGGGGTGGCAAGTTGAAAAAGTTTGGGGTCTTCTCAAAGCAGGCAGTGATCTGTCGATTCCTCTCTCACGCAGCGCGTCGTGTCTACTATGCGTGTGTGTGTGTGGGGTGGGTCGTGTGGACGACTTTGGGCTGACGGGGAAAAGCTGACCTTGCTTGAGAAACAATACCAAACAGCCGCCACTTTCACTGTTTGTGTGTGTGCCCAGAAGGTAAGACCACCCAACCCCCCAAGCCACCCAGGGAGTGCTGAGCTTGGCGTGTGCTCCAGCTAAGCCGCCACAAGAGCCCTAGTGCGGTATGGTCCTCAATAATCACAAAAGTTCCCGTCTGGGCGAAATGTGTGTGTAGATCGCCTTACCTGCTGAATATAGCACAAAAGCTGATTGTATTCTGCAAGTCCCGTGCGTTGTGCGTTGTGCTATGTATGGTAAGCAGTGCGTACTCTACATGTAACCCTCCGACGGCATCGTTCATGGATTTCTGCTGCCACCCTACCGGCGCGTCGTCCCATCTATCCATGCAGGTTAAAATCGTGCGACCATGACCATGTGGCCCGCGATGTCCTGCAGGAAAAAAGTGGTGGGCGCCAGGCAAGGCTGCGTCTCGCTCGATCGCCTATGGAGCAGGTAACTCCTGTACATATCTTACGTACTCTCTGTACCATAGCACACACGCACAGACAAAGACGCCAGCTATTTTACAGCAGTGATCGCTGCAGTGCCATGGTCATGACGCGGAAAAAATCCTTGCGACCTGCTTTAGCGGCCCTGTAGGCATGGTCCGCCCGTAATAATTGGACTGATCGTAGGCGGCCACATTGTCTCACCAGCGGCTCAGCATCTTGTTCTGGCGGCCCATCAGGATCAATCCAATGTTGATCAACGTGCCTGGAAATACTTAGGTATTGCGTATGCGCGACAGGATCTCGGACTACTGCGCGAATGTGATGATTGGGTTGGTTATCCAGTATCTTGATGAGATCATGGGGGTGAGCGCTGGTGTTTCAAATCGATCCATCTCGTGTGTCCCGAACGATCATCATAAACAAGAGCCGCGAAGGCGATTGACGTATTCATACACCAACACAGACACACACACACACACACGAATGTTCATAAGCCGGTTGTGTAAGCGCTGTTCCTCCCTCATCCGTACCTGGTGGCTGTTTACGACAGAGGCTTGGTGTTCCGTTTCATCGGAGATTAGGAGCAAAAGCGTGTCTTGCTATCGCGTCTGATGGCATGTGTGTGACAAGCATGTCTCGTCCCGCCCATCTTCTTCCTTTGGTTTCACACGGTAAAACGTGGAGGGAGTGGAAAGAGAGAGACTTCATCCTGAAAACCGGACAAGTAAAAAGGAATCAAATGAAAAATCGGATAAGCTGCACTCAAACCTGCGGCATACGAGTGCTGAGCCTTGTGTGCTTGATCAAACGCGTCCTCGAGCTTTTCATCCATCATGAGCTCAGGAGCATCTTGGAAGAAAGGCTTGGATGTTATTGATGTTGGCATGCTGGATGCTCCTCCAATGATTGCGTTGCGCTCGGGGCGGAGACTGGTGCCTTGGTTTCTGAGTCACCACTCCGCCTCTAATCCCTAGGCAATTGGCGTCCTTCTTCATCGCCTAGCAGGTAGACTCTACCGAGACATCGTTGGTTTTGGTTTCGTTCACCGTTGACACCTCATAGCTTGACGCGGCTGCACACCCTCGCAGAAAAGGATTGCCTGGGGTTGCAAGTCAAGGTCAGATGAAACAAACGAGAGCTTCTCCCTTGCCCCAAACTCAAATACTCTTCTCTTTCTCCCTACAAGGTCGAACACCATCGAAGTCCAGGCCTGAACGCCGCCCCCCCCCCCCCCCCCTCGGTGCCTTGCCCGCCTCCCGGATGGAACAAATAAGTGACTGGTTCCTCTGTTGACAGCGACGATTGTTTGTGCCATGGCTCAGATCGAGTCAGATTGTGCAATGAGGCGCAGCCGAGATGCTAAGGGCGTCCCAGGGATTATCTCCTCAGCAGAGAGCTTCCGAGTTGGTTGACGCGTCCTGAACACAAGGGTTTTCGACCTCGATCTAGACCTGCGATACCACTTTTGTCTTCATTAATGAGACACTCAGAGCATGTTGTTCGAGGTTGGTCTGTCGGCGGTACGACCAAGCCTGACAAGCATATTTGATATTCGACATCGATTTGGGTTCTTTCGAAACCTGGGCGTGGTACTGGCGTTTTATCTGCCCTGCCAGCGAGCCAGGTGGTCGCCACTGTAGCCTTTCATCAAGACTTTCCTCTTGCGTTCGAGACCTTCTGCATCTTGTACTCGGCTCGGAATGCTATGCGCTTGACAGGCTGAATAGATTATGTGATCATTCGTGACCAATATGTGCATGCGCGGTTTCGAGTGTACTATAGGGTGCCGTCGTTCTCGCCCGGTAGTCGCTTGACACGCTTCTGCTCCCAGTCATCGAGGTCCTTTGCGGCAAGTCTCTGCGAAAGAAAAACAAAACAGTCTCTTGGTCAGCAACAGGAAAAAGAAGAAAGAAAGAAAAAGAAAAAAAACCTCCGACAAGTGGTAGCAAGCAACCACAACGGGGGATCCGCTGGAGAAAGCTCTCCCCGACTTACATAGTACTCGTCCCGGATATCCACCTTGCGCCCTGCCTTGCCGACGCCCAATTCCTCCTCGCGCGTCATCTGTCGTACTTTTCTGTCGTGCCTCTCGTACCGGATAGCCGTGGCAGGCGTCAGGACGAAGGACCCCGCGACGATGATGGCCATGAATGGCAGCCCGAAGAGCAGGAAGGGCCGCTTGGCGAGGGCGACTCGGTACCGCGCTGCAATGGTGCTGGACTCGGCAGCGGAGACATACTTTTTCTTGGGGAAGACGGCCATGATTTGGAAAACCAATTTGGCTGTGCTCAGGAACAGTGGAAGATATGGCGTGTATCGTTATCGTGTTGTGGTGGAGAGGGCGAAACTCTTGAACGTGATGCGATGCTTGAAGCTACCATAACTGCATGTTTGAGGCGCTAGGCTCAAAACAGACTAGCCGTGCCGACCTCTATTAGAGCACTGTACTTCAGTAAGTACTGTAAGTCAAACCGCCCCCCCCCCCTTTCCGGGACGGAACGACTGGCCCATAATCCATCCATGGTGAGGATGAGATTTTCTTCATTTTTCTTCTCTTTATTCAATCGAAAGGCCAGCGAGACTAAAGCCTCAAAGCCTGTCTCCACTTGCAGTAGCGTGCGAGTACAGTAGCGGGAACGTTTCAAGATTGCAGAGGGTATCGGATCCGGGTACTCCGGTAGTACTACACCAATTCCTCCGCAACAGACTCGTGTGTGTGTTTCAGTGCGCCATTATAATACAGAGTGATGAGGCTTTTGCGTCAGTGGCCTTCCTTCCACTCAAGAAAACTTCACTCTGTAGTACGCCATGGATGCCGCCGCGGGTGATTCAACGCCCAGCCCATTCATATGGCTCTGGACACTGATCGCGGCCCTTGACTTGTGAGTAATGATACTAACTTCTGACCAATGACCTTGAGACTGCTTCGTAACTTCTGTAATCAATGCTGACTTCGAAGGCAGTCATTTTCTCGCCACCTTCTTCTACAACCAATTCCGGCCGGTCCCATACCCCAAGCATGATTTCTCGGGGAAAACGATCCTCGTGACCGGCGCCAATGCCGGCCTGGGTTTCGAAGCTGCACGGCATTTCGCCCGTCTCAACGCGGCCAAGGTCATTCTGGGATGTCGCGACGCTGAGAAGGCCCAGCATGCCAAGGCTGAGATCGAGCGCTCAACGGGGCGGCCCCACGGCGTCGTGGAAGCCTGGCCACTCGACCTGACTAGTTTCGACAGCGTCAGGGAGTTCTGCAGCAGGGCAGGGAAGCTCGATCGTCTTGACGCAGTCGTCGAGAATGCCTCCGTCGCCATGGTCTCCGCCGAGGGAACCCTCGCCGAGGGGTTCGAGTGCACGATCACGGTGAACGTCATCTCCACGTTCTTGATGGCGCTGCTTCTCCTCCCCACGCTGAGGAGAACATCGGCAAAGTTCAATACCCTGGCCAGGCTGACGATAGTCTCATCCGAAGGTCACATCATGGTAAGAGAAAGAGGAAAGAACAAAGAAAAACCAAGATATTGCATACGCATCTCTCTGGCATGCGGCTTACGGATTCTACAGGCGCGGTTCACCGAGAAATCGGCCAAGAACATTTTCGATGCTTTCAAGTCAACCAAGGTGCCTCCAGACCGCTATCAGACCTCCAAGCTGCTCCAGCAGTTCATTGTCCAGGAGCTTGCAGAAGACATGTCCAGCCCCATCAGCAACACTAAAGGCTCAGTTATTCTGAACACCGTAAACCCAGGATTCTGCCGTACACTGCTGTTCCGGCACAACACGTTTCCAGCGTCTGTTGCCCTTACGGCTATTTCCTACCTCATCGGACGATCGGCCGAGGCAGGGTCAAGGGTGCTGGTAGATGCTGCAGCCGCCAGGCCCGAGACAAATGGGAAGTGGCTAGACACGTGTGAACTCCGGGAACCCAGCGCCTACGTGCGGAGCGAAGAGGGTGAGGAGATGCAGATTCGTGTGTATGAGGAATTGATGCGTATATTGGAGGAAATAGAGCCAGGCATCACGAGAAATATTTGAAACAGCGAAACTGGCTGGGAGCCATACGCCCCCGAACTATGTAATAGCACGTGTTCATGTTTGACATGAACTGAGAGAAGGGCAGGCCCAGTATTCAATAACCAGCACTGGATAATCCTCGCAGCAGATGTATGAGAATGCGGTTGCAGGGTGATTACGTAGTATTGCCTTTCTAGAGCCGTGTACATGAAGGACTTGTGTCATAGACGTGGAAAATACAACATACAACTGGTGCGACCGCACTTGAGTCATTGATTTTACCACGAGAAGAGTCTAAGTAGAGTTTTTGTAGAGGTGACGGTAGTACAAGGCACAACAAGTTGTGTTCGCTTCAACAAAGATGTCTGCCTTCCAACAAGGCGTGGCTGCTTCCAGAAAATCATCGGGCGAGACCTTGTTTATTTTGCTCATGTTTCTTCTTCTTCTTCTTCTCGGCCCGAGGTCTAGCACGGACTGGGTAGGTATTTTTTTCAAGAACAGACAGAGAAGACGAGCCAAGTTAATCAGTCCTGGATGAGGGTATCAATTCACTAGTCAGATTTGTACAGAATTATGTTGTTCAAGATTTAGTAGATGGAACCTCAGATCTCTGCCGGCTCCGAGCACTTCCAGATTCGTCCTCCTCAACAACCCCAGAGTACTTAAGTACTTATCAGACATTAAGCGAATTTATTACCCACACAACCAGGAAGAACCGAGGCCAACCTCCAAGCGGCGCTACCGCACGCGGGTGATGTTCAAATTCACAAAGTTCTCGTTGACACCATGCAGACCATCTCCACATTCACTCCTGAAACTTCCATCACTGTTGGTCGGATCACGGCCGATGGTGATGCTCATCTCCGAGATGGTGACCCAGCCGCCGCCGTCTGCGCCGCAGCTGTCCGTGATGAGTGCATCGGCGCGCCAGTACTCGTTCACATCGCACGAGGTGGCCGCAAACCCATGGTTGCAGTAGTAGACCTGGACGGTGCCGCTGCTCCACGCCAGCGCCCCGTCGCCGTCGACCGTGTCGCCGCTGATGTCGCAGGAGCCGTACAGACCGGACGTGCTGGTCGAGGTGACGGCCGTGTCGAGATCAGCTGTGTAGGCGGTGTCGCCCTCGTCGCTCAGCTTGCGGCCGGAGCAGTGCACCACAGGGTCGGGAAAGCCGTTGACGGTGTCGAGTGTCTTTGTCGAGTTGAGGCCACCATCACGTTTCGGTAATTGTATGGATCTCTGCCGTGCGATTGCTCCGGTCACAGAAGAGATTGCCGGCGCGCCCAGGCCAAGGACGGGGAGGAGAGAGAGCGAGAGGATCAACGAGCGGTAATACATCTTTGGGAGACCTGCCCCGGCTGAAGCACAAAAAAAAAAAAAAAAAAGAAACGAACGAATGAAACGAGTGGGTTTCCAACCGGGGAAAAAAAGAATAAAGAAAGACAAGATCTGCGAGGAAGATCGATGAGTGATGATATGGGCCAACAAGAAACAAAGAGGCAGATGGGACGATCTCATGGGTCTGCGGAGGTTAAATAGATTGGACCACGCGCCAGACCCATGTCCTTGGACCCACGATGAGGCCCGTAGGCAATCCTCATTGGTGTCGCTGTGAAACGTCCCAAGAACCGCATGAACAGAGGCCAGCAGGGTTTCAGGCATTCTCGGTACGAACCGAGAAATTAAGGCCCTGTAGACGCCTTGCTCAGCTCCGCAGGCGCCCAATCTTCAGCCAAATGTTTTTCGGGGGGATCCCGGCGGATTCTGTTTGTCCATGTGTTTGTTTCTTTGTTTGCAAACAACGATATGCCTCTTTGGTCTTGTGCAGTGTCCATCACTCCATCGATGATCTCTTGATCGATGCTTGCCAATGTCATGTTCGTAATACCAGGCCAGCCTTGCAGGGCTGATACGCGGCTGAGGAGTAGATCTTCCAGGGTGCTGTGTCTCAAATTCAGGGACAAGCTAATGCACATAGTAGACGTGAAATAAGGGCTTCACGAGCTCGGGACTCGCTCTTATCCCTCGATTGGGGCTGTTCCCACTCACCACCCTGGAACCGGCAGCAACCCGGCATGAAAATCAAACGGCTCTGTGCTTTCCTAATCTCTTTTTGCTGGCGTATTCGGTTCAGCTGCGCCTCGTCGACGGTCTGCATCAAGAGACTAGTCTGTAGGGAATGCTCGGAGCAGGTTTGATGACCCTGGATCATGTCGCCGGACTGCCCTTGAGGAGGTTTGGATGGCTTGCCTCCCTTTTCAGGAAGTATCCACCACTCATGTACACAGCAGGCAGGTGTATCGCAGGATAAGCGCCGGTTCTCTTACTGTTGCTGCCGTTGTTGTGCGGAACCCCTGATGTAACCCGACTGCAACGCCTAAAAATAAACAGAGGGCATCTGCCGTACCTGCTCCAAATGACCATTGTGGCTCATTCTTTCAGGGGCAAGCTCTGGCCGTGAACTACATACTGGTGTAAGTCAGGATTTGAAGATCATGTCATCTGACAGCTGCAAAGACCATTCGTGGATTCCTCCGGCCATTAGGAGTATTCACTTCTTCAGCTGTCGCACACAAGAGGAACCATCAATCACTAAGAAAGAGGAAGAAGAAGAAAATGGAGAAGAGTGAATCTTGTGCCAAATTAGTGAAGAGTGTGGGGGGAGAGATCTGAGGACACTGCAAAATTATTTGAAGGAAGAATGCCGCAATCCATGATCTGGTCCCGCCATAAGAATGTCTGGCTGGGGTCGAGCTTACAAATATAATCTCAGCTCAAATTCGACGAGGGCCTTATAGTGCCAAGGTAATATACAAGTACTTTTGTATTCATGTGAGTAAGTATTGTAAGTAGTCATGTCTCAGCCAGTCTTGGCCAAGCACTTGAAAGCACGCAGTAATATCACCCTATGGACACCACTCACCACCTTTAACATGTCCGGCCACTTCTCCGTGTCTATGAGAGCGCGCAATGAGCCTGTTGTACGGTGCTTAATCATGATACATTTGGAGTTGGCAAAGTATTGACGTTCAGGTGAGCTCGTAACACCGTTATTTGGCTGCCTATTCTTTCGGATGCGGGCGTTGAGCATACCTCTCTCACTCTCCAGTCAAGTGTGTATTCATGTTGAATTTTTTTTCTTGCAAAACAAGCAGCTGTAGAAATGGATATACAATTATGCCTATCTTTGTTGGACCCTCGTTCTCAGATGCCTGCGTTCGCATGCTCTGTAATCAGTGCTGAGGGGAAGTGGAAGAGGTAAGAAAGCGGATGGATGGCGCAATCGTGTGCTCGCCCCAACCACACCCAAAGAGCGAAGATCCAAGCCCAATGGGATCCTTGTGCCTAAGACACGTCGCAAATCACCAGGATAAAGCTGTCCTCGTGAATGGCTCTCGCCTTTGACTTGTTGTGATCCTGGCTTGCTTACACCCGATGCTCCATGGACACTTGGCCTATCGCAACATATTCGCAAGACATTGCTCACTTTGTTTCATCATATTCTATGGGACCTGGCCATTCAAATCCCATCTTTCTTGCCCCTATCTTTGTTTCTTTTCGAGCTGTTGCAGCTGCTTGAGATATGACAACGTGAAGGTAGGTGGTAGAGTCTAGCTTATCACCTACGAACCCTCTGCCCGGCTGAGGAGGAACTCCACCTATACTGCACGAGATGCACACCACCATCTTGGCCGGATATCGCGAAATAGCTTGAGGATCTCGCAGAGTCTTGATTTATTGTAACTGATGCCCATGGAGTCCCGGTCCTAGGAGCTGCAAGTGTGGACTGATTATGCCCAGACCATCAAACTAATCCTTGGCGAGTCTGGTCCAGACCTAGAATCACGACGCATCGCCACCTTGGCGATTTCCTAGACAATATGCCTTCTTCTTTTAACAAACCGACCGCTTCACATATTCAGCATCGCGAGGCTGATGTGCTCACACCACTCCTTATAGACAACATGGGCGCCGAGGTCAAAAATCCACACGACATACGGGAGTCTTCCCCGGAATCCCCTCGTTTCAACACAGGGAGCGTGAGTGACTCTTCAGATGAGAAAACTCCACCATGGTGGTCATACATTTGGGTCAGTAGAACTTTTCCAGCACATGCATGACACGAGGTGCTTGGACTGAACCGTTTACTACAGGATTATGAACCATCAAGGACTCCAGAAGAAAGGAGGTTTGTGCAGAAGCTGGATGTATCCCTTCTGACCATTCTTTGTTTGGGTTATTTCATCAAAAATCTTGACCGTATGTCTTATCTCTGCCAGCTGCTCCAGCCTTGTGTAATTGTGTTGTTCTACTCCATCCCGTACTATCAAAGTCCTCGGGTCATCTTGCGAAGAAACATCCACGAAACCTCAGAATAGCTAATTGAATTCCAATATACTAGAAACAAATATCAGCAATGCCTACGTTTCGGGAATGAAGGAGGATCTGGCCATGAACGCGAACCAGTTGAACCTGATTGACGTTGCGTGGACATCAGGCTACGTGGTTGGGCAGCTGCCCTCCCAGTTCATCCTCACCAAAGTGCGCCCTTCGGTCTGGATACCTAGCTGCGAGCTTATTTGGACCATTCTCACCTTCACACTGGCCGCCGCGACGACCAGCAATCATGTCATTGCCATACGCTTTTTTGTTGGCCTCGTTGAGTCTATCTTCTATCCGGCTGCCCACTTCCTGATCGGTAGCTGGTACAAACCTAGCGAGCTGGGCAAGCGAGCGTGTATTTTCCATGCAAGCTCTGCCGTGGCTGGCATGTTCAGCGGATATCTCCAGTCCGCCGTCTACACGGGCCTCAACGGAACACTTGGCAAGGCGGGCTGGCAGTGGCTCTTCATCATGGACGGTGTGATCAGCCTGCCGATCTGCTTGGCTGGTTTCTTCCTGATTCCAGATCTGCCCGAGAACTCACGTGCATTCTATCTCACGACCGATGACATTTCTCTGGCTCAAAAACGTATGGAGGAGGTTGGTCGTGCGCCTCGACGGAAGCTGGGGTGGTCCATCTTGAAACGAGTCTTTACGCGCTGGCACGTCTGGGCCCTCACGATCCTGTACATTATTTTCATCAACACAGGCCCCTCTTCCAGCATCAATCCCTTGTCTTTGTGGATGAAGGCGAACGGGTGGTCGGTTACCATGGTGGTAAGTTGAGATCCTGCTGTACATTGTTCCTGTCAGGAGAGGGAAAGGAACTTGGACGACGCAACAGAATCATACTGACAGACTGCCCTCTAGAATATTATACCCACGGCTCAATACGCTGTGCAGCTCGTCACAACGGTCGGATTCTCCGTCTTCTCGGACTACTTGCGAAATCGAGCGGCCATTATGTCGATTTCGACATTCTTCGGATTTTTCACCTCGCTATGTCTTGCCATATGGACGATTCCAGTCGGTCTGAAATGGTTTTCGTTCTTCCTGTCGAGGGCTGCTGTAGCCTATGGACCTCTATCCATGTCGTGGGCCAACGAGATCTGTGGAGCTGACGCTGAGGAACGTGCTGTCGTTCTGGGTATCATGAACGCATCAGGATATGCCTTCAATGCTTGGCTGCCGCTGTTAACTTACCCTGCAGTCGATAGTCCTAGGTTCAGAAAAGGCTTTGCCTGGAGCACTTCTGCTTTTGCAGCACAGGCAGTCATAACCTGGACTGTTTGGGGGCTGCAGAGGCGAGAAACGAAGAAGAAGTTGGGAGTTGAGGCAGTCAACCAGCAGACTGGTGCCTGAATAGATTTAGCGCAGAGGGTGCTGGAGAGAAATGGGATGGCAGCAGCTTATGGTGGGACCTACAGAGCACTGCCCAGTGGGTTGTCCCCAGAACCATCACTTGGTCCCCGTGTCTAGCATTCATCGGTTGTTGGAATCTTGACTGTCCTCTGCTGAGGATTTGTTTTGGAGGAGGGGAGAAGCAGATTTACAGCCACTATGGTTGTCAGAAATACAGACATGAGGGCTTGTAGTCACGTGGGGCAAGCCATGGATTTCTCTGGATGGGTTCATGTTTAAAGTATCTGCACAACAACCAGCTTCAGATACTTAATACAACTTCATCTGCACTCTCTAAAGATCCTGAATATACTAAACTGGTCATCTTTCTAGATGCCTAAGCCTGATCTACATGTGTTGGGAGTGTACTCTCTGTGTACCTCGTTTCCCCACCCAGCAGGCGCTGACACTACCATTTTGCGGTGCAGCCCAACAGCTGGCTTCCTAGAGCTCCCTTCCTCAGCAGTCATCCTGCTGAGAAGTCTAGTAGGTAGGGCAGTTTCTTTACAACTTTCTCATGTCATTATGGCCCAATGGTTTAGGAAGTTCCTTGGTAATCAAGTGCAGCTCCCTCTCCTCCTCCTCCTCCTCCTCCTCTCCCACCTAGGCCTCTTAGTCTGTCTCTGTCTTTACTTCGCTCTTTCAGTTTGTATCTATCTGTGTCTATCTGCAATTCGCCCCTGCAGTCTGTCTTTGCACTTCTTAGTCTGTCTTCTACTACCCCCACATCTGACATGTACCTTTCTCAGACTGTGTTCTGCCTCTATACCTCAAATCGCTCCTTCAGTCTATGTTCCTGTCCTTCTAGGTACTTACTTCCCCTTCAGCTTGTGTGACTGGCTCTCCATGTACCTGCACCATCAGCCTGTATGTATCTTCCACGCTGTACTTCTTCCCTTGCTTTTGCAGCTCTGTACCCTCCTGTGTCTCCGTGCTGTGTCCCTTCCTCTTGGTGTCTCTGTCCTGCCTTTCGCACCTTCGCTCTGCTTCCACTTCTACCATCACCTCCTCCCCTCCCTTCCATATATATATCTGAACGTCTCTCCTCTTCTTTCTCTCTTTGCTTGTTTTCTCTCTTCCTCTCTTCCTCTCTTCCTCTCTTCCTCTCTTCCTCTCTTCCTCTCTTCCTCTCTTCCTCTCTTCCTCTCTTCCTCTCTGCCACTCTGCCACTCTGCCACTCTGCCACTCTGCCACTCTGCCACTCTGCCACTCTGCCACTCTGCCACTCTGCCACTCTGCCACTCTGCCACTCTGCCACTCTGCCACTCTGCCACTCTGCCACTCTGCCACTCTGCCACTCTGCCACTCTGCCACTCTGCCACTCTGCCACTCTGCCACTCTGCCTCTGTGCCTCTGTGCCTCTGTGCCTCTGTGCCTCTGTGCCACTCTGCCTCTGTGCCTCTGTGCCTCTGTGCCACTCTGCCTGTGAGGATGTGAGGGTGTGAGGGTGTATCTCTTGTTCTTTGCCTCCTCTCATGTCTCTTCTGGTCCTCCTCTGATTCCTGACTGGATACTCCTGCTTTCACTCTAGAAATGTACTACAGTATTCTCCCAAGTTATTCAGAATTATGTCTGAACAGTCTGACCCCTTTAGTTTATGAAGCTTTTGTGATGCAATGCCTGCAGGCTATACTTGCTTACATACTATATGCAGTGTTCCTGAAGGTTTGGAGCAATACAGCCCTCAGAGATAATTGACCCACTAGGCCTTATTGTATATGAGTGATTCGAGTGAGTCGCTGACAGCGTCATCCCGGTGCATATTTATAAACTTCTATAGCTAATTCTAAAGTGCAACTGGAAATTGCGCTGATACCCCGAGCATGTACCTGTTGAGTTAAACTTCCCGTCCTTGAGTGTACAGCACACTATATGCTGACAACGTTTGTCCGATTACAAGGATAGCAAGTATGTTACCCACCAAGTGTCTTTAGAGCCCCTTAGAATGTCCCTAGTTTATCCTCAGGATGTCTCTATATTATCTCAAAGATATCCCTATTGTGGGACGCAGAGATCATTCTTTCACCGACTGGATGTCCCGGGCATACCCCTAGAATAATCTCGAGAGGTCGCTCTCTGGTCGTTGTGAAATATCATCTGGTCCCACAAACTTTCCACTACTGGCATGGATACTTAGTCAATGCTTAGGGGAAGATTTGGAGAAACACAAATACTTTTGACTGGGGTTGTCCTGCAGCAAACAAAGTGCATGTCTTGCCTGAATTCAGCAGGTTACATTTCCTTCTCAAATGAATACCATCCCATGATCACACCGCGCAGGGTGCAGGCGACCACCTAGACGACCGCCTAGGACCTGCTAAGAAAAGCCCAGGGTCACATATAGTGCATATGATCTTGCGGGAAAAGTTGGTGATCATCTGGTATCAACTAAAGTGTGGTAGCATTTGGAACCGACATTAGATACGGGTTGAACGGATGATCGGCATGCATTAGATACATAAATGAATCGATAGTCCACCCCAACCCCAGGTTTTATTCCCTGTGTTTAATTTGCCCCTGCTGCTGTACCTGCATATGCCGGCGCTAGGTGTGTCCAATGGGAACTGCCACCGAACCTTATCGAGGCCGTTTTTCCCAAGGATTGCGTGTGACCATAATGTCGGTTGATCACTGATGATGACCTCCAGGGCAAGACACTTGGCTCGGTCTGTGCAGCCAGCTACTGCAGGCTTAAATGAAAGTATCGACCCAAGCTCGAGTAAATCCACATCAGCAGGCATGCTGGTCCCGAGGGTAGAATGACAGGTCAGGGACAAAAGACCGGTCTGAGACAGTCAATCAGGTCTCCTATAAGAAGCACCCCGAGGATCACAGTAATGGTGTGGTTGCGCTCGTTGTTCTTGGCAAGGCCTAGACTGAGCAGTGTGAGTGACCACTTTACGGGTCTTGAATATCGGCCACCATGTCCGTCACCGCTGCCCTCCTGTCCCTCGTTGTCTTTCCGGTGGTGATTGGTGCTGATCATACGAGCACTCACAATCCCACTGCTGTCACTGCTTCTCATGGTCCCATCATCCCTTCTTACAGCCATGCGGCTGCCACCACCACTCTATCTGGTGTCACCACCGCGACCGTCTCGTCATCCGTTGCAGCTTCAGCAACTGCAATCTCCAACGGAACACTGCCCGCGTGCAAGCCAGTACAATATGCGTTTCCGGCGGGAACTGGCGGCAACGCAACGCGAGCAGCTGCCGTGAAGGAGGGATACCTCTACGCCTGGGACGCATATGCCGAGTATGCGTTTGGATATGATGAGCTCCAGCCCCTGAGCGAGACAGCTACAAATGACTGGTGTAAGTATTCTGCAGAGATGAAATTTACTCGTGTTGGGTGTTTGGAGAAAGCCTCAGTGATTAATGACCTGACCTAACCAAAAAAAAAAAAAAATTTCACAGATGGATGGGGTGTCACGATTGTTGATGGCATTGACACTGCCATCGTGATGAATTTGACGGATGTTGTGGCCAAGCAGTTGTCGTTCATCTCGACAGTTGATTTCAGCACTACGTCTTACGGAGATGTCGAGGTGTTTGATACAAACATCCGATATTTGGGAGGACTTTTGTCGTCTCATGATCTGTTGAAGAGCGGTCTGTTCCCAACTGCCAGCTATGATGAGGCAGATATCGATGCTCTTCTTAGCCAGGCTGTTGTCCTGGCCGACAAGCTCGCATATAGTTTCGACACGCCCAGCGGAATAGCGTCCGTGGATCTGTACGTGCTCTCAGGAATTCGTTCCTTTTTACTTCTCGAGCCTCGGGTCACAGATCGCATCGTTGCAAACACTCCACGACATGGCCCAGAAGCTCTTCTCTTGGTGATTGTGTTTCAACAGAAAAAGGTCAATTGATAGCTGACAAGGCTGAACAGGAATTTCATATCCGACACACCAGTTGAGGGAACTTATACAGTGACAGCAACGGGGGTCACATACAACAGCACCAACACGGCCTCAGCAGGCACCTTCTTGCTTGAGTGGTACAGGCTGTCTGACCTGACAGGCAACGCGACCTACAGGCATCTAGTTGACCGCGGCGAGTATCCTCTTGTGCACCCCAGCCCTGCGCCTGTCTATCCTGGTCTGGTCGGCACACAATTCGACACCACAAGCGGCGAGATGCTCAACTATGCCGGTGGCTGGCACTCCACAGTCGACTCATTCCTGGAATACCTCATCAAAACGTATCACTACAAAGTTACAAACACAACGTACGTTTTGGAAAGCCCCTGGCGAAGACGATTTGCCACCTTTTCTTTTGTTCTTTTTGCATAAGCCTCAGGCTCTTTTCCCTTTTCGTTCAAGTCATTTGAAGTCGACACGAGTCTTGAAGTCGAGGTTTGTACTTGATGAACAAGATAATCTCGTCTTGAACAAGAAGAGAACTCCGCAAACGTGCTCTGCGCGGAAACCGATTTGCTTCGCAAGGAAACTATAGCTGACTTGTAACACCTTTCAGCACCTTTTACAAGGACTTCTGGCTAGATGCAGCAGCCAGCACGGCGAGCTACCTCGCCGTACACCCTTCCGGCTTCCCGGACCTGACCTTCATCTCGGAGCTCGACGACAACGGCACGCTGACGGACTACATGGACGACTACAGCTGTTTCATGGGTGGCAACCTCCTGCTCGGTTGCAAGATCCTCGGTCTTGACTCTCTGTGCGATCTTGGCCTTGCCGCTGCGGACGGATGCCATCAGACGTACAACACAACGCTGACTGGCCTCGGTCCCATCTACTGGGGCTGGTACGACAGCGCGACAGACGAGCAGCCGTCAGAGCCGGATCGGGATGTGGATGCTGCAACGCGCGCGTGGGCCGAGGAGTATGGATACTTCATCGAGTATGGTGATGAGGTGTACGCAAGCTTCCCCGAGTCCATCGAGAGCTGGTTCTACGCCTACCGTATCACTGGCGAGCAGAGATGGGCGGACTACGTCTGGGACGCGTTTCTTGCCATCAACAGCACGGCAAGAAACAGTGTTGCCTTTGCGACGGTGAACAATGTGAATATGCCGTTTGGTGGAAGCCAAAGCAATAACCTGGACTCGTAAGCAACCCCTTCCCCCCCGTCCTCTGTCCCCCCCAAATTTCTTTTTGGTGTCCTCTTTTCCAGAAAGGATAGTCAACCTCTCACTGGTGCTGTCTTCTCTCGGATTCAACCTCATCACGTGCTGATTTGATATCGAACCCCTTAGTTTCTTCTTTGCCGAAGTCCTGAAGTATATCTACCTCACATTCGAGGACCCGAATGTCGTCAACCTAGATCAATTCGTCTTCAACACTGAATCTCATCCTGTGCTAGTGCAGTGTGGCATTGGGGACATCGACAATTACTAGAAAGCCTGCACATTATGTATATCACGAAGACTCCAATGTATACACGAAACATTTAATGCGTATATAGGTATTTACATAATTTCAGTGGCAGTAATACATGCCAGGGAGTCACACACTCCTGAACCAAGCATCGCAATCTCTGAATAACTCTACGAAAAAACCTGTTAGACAACGTGAACATCTCCTGCACCTAAAGTTACTTGGTTATGTGTCATTTTCATTTGGGCCCTTGACATTTTCTTTACTGAGTTGGCCATTCCAGGAGAATTTGAAGTGTCTTCTCGCAAAAGTCGCCCTTGAAGAACACCTGCAAGACCGTAGAGAAATATTCTGCTTTTTCGCCTGTGCTGACCCGCGAAAAGAGGGTCATGCAGGCTCTGAACTTGGAAACCTCTTTCGAGCAACCAAAGAGTTTAGTGAGATTTTTCTCCTTGCTTTCCACGACGGCCTGTATCGTGGTTCTGAGACGCGACGCGAGGATTTCGTCTTCTAGATACGACTCCGCTTCCCTGAAATCCTTGATACCGTAGAATCTGCTGTTAATACTCTTACCATATCCACTGCGCGAGCTGTTAGCATTCGAACTAAAGTTCCATGAAAGGGTGTCTGTGATATTCCTTGCCCATATGAGCTGCGCAAAGCATAACAGAGGAAGTGAGGGGGGGGGGACGATAAGGGAAGAAAATACTTACAAAATCTGAGGGAAAATGAAACAAATCCAAGGAGATCTTTTTTGACCTCCACGCAACTCGACAAGAGCCCGTTCGTATTCTGTGACCGACACGCCAGGTATCGGCGACGCTTGCCTAACCGTTCGGTCCTGCGCCCGGATAAATCTCTCAAGATCCATTGCGAGCGCTCTTCCGGGTAGTAATTAACGTCTGCCTGGCAGATAACTGGTCTTGGTGAGTTGTATTTTGAACTCTTAATGTTGGAAAATCTGTGCAAATTAATACTGTCACTTGCAAAACCAGCAAGTGCAGTGCCTTTGATTCAAATTCTTTGAGCCCTGGCTCTGCAACAATGCAGCTTTTGATGACAGTGACACTAGACTTTGTCATATGGAACACAACAAATGCACAAGGGGCAAACCTGAATAAGAGCAAAGCCGCTCGAGCAAAGCTGTAAAGGCTCCTTTTAGGTAATGTGACACGCTAGTTCTCCCAGGCTGTGTCGAACGTTCCGTATGGTCTTTGTTGGCACTGCTGTGATCTCGAGCATTAAATGTGCAACATGACTATTGGTGTTTGACAAACAATTTTCGTGGCCTAATGCTGGAGTGATGACAGCACATCCTATCCTAATGTAAATGTCTCAATCAGCTATGCATACAGATCCCCAGAGAGCTTCGCCGGTCTGATTAGATTGAAGTGATTAATTGAAGGCTTATCCCATCTGAGACATTTACACACTGTCGGACTAAGTAGAAAGGATAGGACTGGGAGGGCCCATTGACGAACTCGGACTGATAATGTTGTTTTCAACTTACAACATGCAAGCACTCGAAAGATGGCCGTTCTCACAGCAGCCTGGAAAGAGAAGTCTATTATACTAGTCAACGACATACTTAGCAGGTGCAAGAACCCACGCATAAATTATGCGACGGATATTCTCTTTTCCTGGGCTTGATGGAGATGTGTAACTGCCCATCGGAGGGCTTGAACTATGACAAAGTGATGAGATGTAACCTTTCAAGGTTTCCTCTATCAATCACAACTAAGTGTAAGTGCTTTGCCTTTCTTTTTCGTCTTCCGCAACTCACTCAAGATTTATCTGAGTATCTACAGCGTCTAGCACACCGTAGAAATCAGATTTATGTTCTACATTAAAATAATTATCTAGAAGAGCATACACCATCCTAAGGATGATTAATAAGTTAAATGACTTTATGATACAATGAGCCATTCAGCGTAGTTCCTAAGATGCAAAATCAGACAATGCCATAATTTCGCAGTGCCCATGCACACTAGACTTAGGGCGTGCGCGCTGTGTCGGTATCTACAAAGTTCCGTCCTTCCAATAATAATACCTCCCAAAAGAGGGCTGATAGGCTTAGACAACAATCAATCTCCAGTTGTTCTAACGCATCCTGGTCGCATTATTTCCCACAATTCCGCAGGCGGGGAGCCGAGAACGGGGTTAGGATGGCATGCCCGCAGTAGACCTCGGGGCTGATGACCTGCGCCCTCTGCACCTGGCTTCCACGCAAGACGCTCGGAGGAACAAGCACCATCCAGTGCCGACCAAAACAAAATGAAACGAAAACGATGTGCATTAGTGTGCGATCCCTCAGTCTTATCGCGTGACGTGAATTTCACTCGAGTCTTTGCACCATCGGTCTCTAGAAGGCGAAGCAAGCCTCGCATGAGGTCGGACGGAGGAAGACACCGGAGTCTCCGAACCTGCAGGGCAAGTCGTTGCCAAAGTTGAGTACTATATCATCACCGCAGTCGCCTTGGGTAGCAATGGGAACAAGATCTGAGGCAAAACCTTGCATCACCGACAGACTTCCTAAAAAAGTGTGTCCTGCATCGCAACAATGGCTACTCCTTCCCCTGGCAAGAGACCAAATTTCTTGGTGGTTGTGGCCGACGATCTCGGCTTCAGCGACACAGGTCCATATGGCAGCGAGATTCCGACCCCGACGCTGGACAGGCTCGCCAAGGAGGGCGTGACCATGACAGGTTTCCATACGGCATCTGCTTGCTCGCCGACGAGGGCCATGCTACTCTCTGGCACGGACAACCATATCGCTGGGCTCGGCCAGATGGCAGAGATGATGTTTGCTACCAAGGCATCGTACTGGGGCAGGCCTGGATATGAAGGGTACTTGAACTTTAGGGTGGCTGCTCTGCCTGAGATTCTGCAGGATGCTGGGTACCACACTGTGATGTCTGGAAAATGGTAAGTACAACGACTGCACTTTTTATTTCCTTGCTTCAGCGTCGAGTATTTTTTTTCTCTTTTTATCGCTATTCTAAGACCACATTCCGAACAGGCACCTTGGTTTGAAAAAAGAAGTCTGTCCACATGCCCGCGGCTTCGACAAGTCCTTTGTCTATCTCCCTGGGGCGGGCAACCACTACAACAACGAGCCTCAACTAGAGAACGTGGGCTCATTCGTCATCCCAGCCCTCAAGTCGGACAATCTCTGGATGCGCGACAACGTGGTCATCGACCGGAAGAAGGACATCCCAAAGGACTTTTACTCAACCGAGAGCTTCACAACCGAGATGATTCAGTATCTCAAGGAACGCAGCCCAGAGGAGAAGGAGAAGCCATTCTTCGGCTACCTGGCGTACACAGCACCGCACTGGCCTCTGCAGGCACCTCGCGAGGTGATCGACAAGTACAAGGGGCAGTATTCGGACGGCCCAGAGGCCCTCCGCCAGCGGCGCCTGGAGGCGCTCATCGCGCGGGGCCTGGTCCCCGCAGATGTGGAGCCGGCACCAATGGTGGGAGAGAAGGTCAAAGAATGGGCAGAGATGACGGACGACGAAAAGGCCCATTCGGCACGGCGCATGGAGACGTATGCGGCCATGGTGGACCTCATCGACCAGAACCTGGCGCGGGTGGTGTCCTACCTCGAGGAGACCGGGGAGCTGGACAACACGCTCGTCATGTTCATCTCGGACAACGGCGCAGAGGGCAAGCTGCTGGAGGCCCTGCCCGTGACCCAGGGGATGCCCCTGGCCAAGATCATCGAGAACCATTACAACAACGCCATGGACAATATCGGAAACGCCGACTCGTTTGTGTGGTACGGCCCCCAGTGGGCGTGTGCGGCGACGGCCCCGTCCAAAGGCTTCAAGACGATGGTGACCGAGGGCGGCATCAGGTGTCCCTGCATCGTGCGGTATCCCAGGTTCGCCCTCTCGCAGGGCGAGGTGACGCACGACTTCACGACCGTCATGGACATCCTGCCCACGTTGCTGGACATGGCCGGCGTGTCACATCCCGGGACGAGCTTCCGCGGTCGCGAGGTCGTCCTTCCACGCGGGCGGTCCTGGGCGCCTTTCTTGGACGGCAAGATAGACAGCGTCCATAACAATGAAACACAGGCCGTACATGGCTGGGAGCTGTTTGGTCGCAGGGCGATTCGCAAGGGGAACTGGAAGGCTGTGTATGTGCCGGCACCGCAGGGCTCCGAGGAATGGGAGCTGTATGACTTGTCCAAAGATCTGGGCGAGGTCCACGACCTGGCAAAGGAGGAGCCAAAGGTGCTGGAGGAGTTGCTTGAGGAGTGGGAAAAGTACTTTTCCGAGACGGGAATGTATGATCCAGGGGTCGAGCAACGCCAGAGCAAGTGGTGATGCGCAGGCCAGGGTTTTACTGTGACTACGTCTGTAGAAGTTTATCTTGCACATAATGATAAAACAGATCTACCTTGCGCGATGCTGATATCGAGGCATCGTGATATGAGCAACCTTCGCCCTGATAACGGACTACTTACATGATGACAGCGGTGCCCTCCTTCTCTCCGAACTCAGCTGGCAAGATGCCTTGGGAGCTCTTCATCTTCTACTTTGGGCTGTATACGCTCATTGCGCAGGCTGCGCAGGTATTGCACAACATGAATCATCTTCGCCTCTCCATGGAGTACGGGCGTCACGGCGCCCCAGGATTCCTCATCATGACAATATGCTCGATGTTGTGCTTGGATGAAGGCACAAGACATGCGACCTCACCAACAGTCCGGACTGAAACAGCAGTCGAGATAGGCTCGTTCACACGTGGGGCAGACAAATCAAATTTCACGGAATACTGCAAGAGAACAAATGGATGGTCATAACTTCATAAGTTTCCAAGAATGCCTGTGTACATACCGACGCCGATAAAAAAAAAAAAAAAAAAAAAAAGGGCGGGGGGGGGACCACCAAGTACTATCTCGTGCCCATCTTTCTCGCTACCATGACATGACTTTTTTGTGTCGTAAATTCGTAAAATGATCAAGAACACATGGCAGACATGTGCACACGCACAGATACTACTGCGTCGTGCAAATAAAGAACAAGAATGGGGCAAAGTAAAAAGGAAAAGAAAAGAAGAAAGAAAGGAAAGAGAGAAGAAAAAGAAAAAAAGAGTGCAAACCTTCCCTCTGCGTCTCCTCTGTGGCATCTTGCTCTCGAACAGCGTTTCCACTCGTAACTCCCCTCTTCATGGCCAAGTTAGATACTTGGCTGACATTGGCCCCCTCATTTCTCCTTCATCACGCGTTGCAGTCATTACCAATCGATAATGCGTCTCTCTCCCCCTTATTTCCACCTCGACAATCTAGCGTGTCCTCTAGGCCGGGACCCAATGTCGCAGGATAGATTGTGACAAAGAAATGTAAGAGGTTGAGGTTGTCATCGAAGTCGTCAAAGAATCATGTCGATGAATCAGTACCGTCGGTTTCGGTCAAAGACAACCTCCCTCTCGACGACCCTCTCACGCTCATCATCCCATCTGTCACGACGATCGCGGCGGCGGCGATCACGTTCCATTTCCTCGCGCATTTCACGCTCGTACTGGATCTCTCGGATGCGTTCCTTTCTGCGGGCGCGGATGCGGTCCGAAACCTCGACCAGCTCCAGCACATCCTCCTGTGTGTCGGGATTGTTTGAATCAGTAAAACTTGTGCCTGAAATAGACGACGATCCCTTGCCTGTGGGGGTAGAGATTGAAGAGGTAAGAGAATAATCTATATACTCACATATTTCAGGTACTGCATGACGTAAAAGAACAACTCGGTCTCTTCGTAATCATAGCCCAGCTCTTCGACGGCCTCTTTCACAACGAGATCCTTTGTGATCTCGGTCCACATGTCTCTCGTCTTGGGGGCAGCAGCTGGCGGGGGTGCAGGCGGAAGGCTGGGCCTCAGGCTGATGCGTTTATCCGTGACCCTCTCGATCTCAAAGTCGCGCTCGCGGTCCTTGTCGTAGATCTGCACGCTCAGGCGGTCTCGCTCGCCACCGCGCGGTGCTGGTGCTGACCTGTCGTAGTCACGCTCAGAGATGACGGTAGTGTTGGAGGACGAGGTGGGCGGCGATGCAGGCACGAGGGCACCGTCACGCTCGGCGATGAACTTGGCCTTGCGGGCGCCGTTGTAGCGCTGCCAAGTCACCTCGGCCGCGCCTCCACCGACACCATCCATGCGGACCCTCTCGGTACCAGGCGGCACATCGACAAGGGTCCAGTCCTTTGTTCTGCCGTGCCAGGCCTCACCCATCTCGCCACGCGAGTCGATGCGGCCTGTGATGCGCTCCGACTCGTCCTCATAGTACTCTGAGGGTGGAGCGGCTGAGTGGGATCGCGGCCGCGCGGATGAGCTTCGCCGCTCGTGCTCGATGTCGACTTTGAGCCTGTCGCGGCCTGAGGAGATCATAATCTCGTCATCGTGGTAGTATCCTCCCCGCTGCTGGCGAGGCGGCTCGGCAATAGCAGAAGAAGGTCCTCGTCGAGGCCGTTCGTGAGAGGAGGAGCGGGCACGCGGACGGGACTGGGAGCGTGTCTTGGTGATATCAATCTCGGTGTCGCCGCCTCTGTGGTAGATGTCAATATCCGTCTCTCGTTTCTCCACCCTACTCCGTGGAGCAGGTGGTGGCGAAGGCGGGCGTGCTAAGACAAGTCCTGTTTTATTGTCAACGTTAGTAGGTTTCTAGGTCATGTCGTTTGTCTCAAGGATCACATGACAACGAAAAGAAGACAGGAAGTGAGAAGAAAAGAAAAGAAAAGGAAGCAAGAAAGAAAGAAAGAAAGAAAGAAAAAACACGAAGGTTGCAAGACTCACCATGATCAATGTCCCTGTAGTGTGTAATGACCTCCCTCTCGATTGTCGGGGCTCGAATGACTGCAGGAGGGGATGGGGGAGGAGGAGGCGAGGGGCTAGGCGTAGGCACACGCTCTCTCTCTCGCTCAACGATCCTGAGCCTGCTTCTCTCGACCTCGGGTGGCGGAAGCGGCCTGGGAGATGGCGACCTCTCCCTGTCGATGATCCTGGTGCGCACACGCTCGCGCTCAAAACCACTGGGAGGAGCAGGAGGGGGGCTGGGAGAACGCTCGGGCCGCTCGATGAAGCGAGTACCAAGACGCACCCTGTCGAGGGCCGGTCCGCGGCTGGGACTGCGCACCCGCTCACGGGAGCGATCGATGACGCGGATCTCCTCCCGCTCGCGAACTTCAGGTGGCGGCGGCGGTGGTTGTGGTACAGGGCTCATGCTCCTCGCCCTTGTCTTGGTGACGATCCGCTCTCTAAAGACAGGAGGCGACGGCGAACGTGGTCGTGGTCTGGCCCGCTCGACGGTCTCGACGTCACGCTGGCGCAGGACCAGAGCACCGGCCTCGGAGCGGCGACCATCCTCGCGCATGAAGGCGGGGACCCGTGACTCGACCTCCTCGCGCTCGCGGATGGCTATCTCGGGAGCGCTGCGACGAGGCATGGGCATGGGGCTGGGGCTGTGTGTCCGCCTCTCTTCTCGGCGCTCATAGATGAACTCCTCGTCCCCGCGAGGAGGTGGTGGACCCCTCCTGGGTGGGGGGCCTCTCCTGGGAGGCTCGTCATCTTCATAGTAGACGTCCCGTTCTTCGTAGCGGCGATATGTATCGGGCATTGTGACTTTTTGTGTGTATGTGCAGACGGACAATGACGCAGTAGTGGCAGCTGGGGACGGGGGTTGGGCGTCAGCCGCTCGAGGGTGGACCAGATGATGGTCGGATTCCGATAGTACGGTCTTGGAGACACACAGAGGATAATATGTTGTGTATATATGTGTATGAAGTGTCGATGCACTGGGAAATTGAGGTTAGACAACAGGTCGTGCTGAAATGGATTCGAGGTTGGGAATCAAGTTGGTAGACGTACACAAAGCGTGACAGACAGGCTACAGCGGACCTAGTATAGCTAAGCTGGCGCAAGGCTAGCTAGCAGGTGATGGTTTACGACAACCCCGGGCTGAATGAACGGTCTCAAGAACGCGAAGAAAAGAGCCCTTATTTCGGGTCCCTTGGCTTCGGGCTGCTCCCGTCGGATATCCTCGTGGTGGTGGCTAGAAATTGTGGCCTAGGGCTATGTTGATCAGGCCTGGTTCCTTTGCAGGTGATCGTCAGACTTAGGCGACGAGGAGGGGTTGCGTTCTTTAAGGACAAGTGATGATGTAGTAGTATGACGGAAGACGCACGAAGACGTGGCCCAACCCAGGCTCACAAGTGCCGACTAGGACAGCACAGGACAGACCGAGTTGCAAAATTGGGCTGAGGAAGGGCAAAGAGGAAAAAAAGGTAAAACAAAGAAGAAGAAAAAGAAGGGGTCCAGAATCAGGAATAAGAGGAGGTGGAAAAAGATCAGCCCAAGCAAGGTAAAAATAAGTGAGGCAGCGTAGGAACAAGGAAGGGACCTAAAGGTGGAGAGAGGGAGTTGGATCCAGACTTGCAATTGGAAACTGTGGAGTGAGTGTTCGTCGAGAGTTTCACGCCTGGTCTTACTGAGGAGGAGGAGGAGGAGGAGGAGGAGGAAGAGGAGGAGGCCGGTAATCCTTGGACCGATGGGGGCTTGGCCTTGTCTGTATGACCACTGCCTGTTTAGTCGTCTTCTTTTCTTTTCTTTTCTTTTTGCCTTCCTGATCCGGTCAATTTATCTGACAAATCTTGGATAGCGATATATAGGTCGAGCCTCAAATCAGAGGGATTTTAGAGAAGCATAGAGAGTAGTCTTTTGACAAAAAAAATAAGGTGGTTGCTACCAAGTCCAGGTGAAGATGAATCTTGCTTGTGACTGTCTGACTGACTGACTGCCTGGGCATGGCACCACGGCAAGCCACCCTGGGAGAAACGTCGTCATCCTACAGCTAAAGCGACTGCTGCAACTGGTCGACGGTGGGTCACTGCTGCGATCACCACCCGCAGTCAAGTTCCCCCCCAGCCATGCTGCCATGCTTCGAGACCCAGTCACCATCACCCCTGGACCGCCCGATCGTTGCAGTCTGCGCGCGTCTTGTGTGTGGAGCAACGATTGGACTGACCATAAATGATGTTACTTAAGTAGGCTGTAACACCTGTCCCTCCAACCATCTTCGGGAAAGCCATCAGCACCAGTAGTAGTAGCAGCAGTAGCAGCAGCCCAGTGCCACCTCAGCTAACATGGCACTTGATCACGGTCATGCCCAGGTTGGTGTGTGAGAAGAGAACTTGCAGATGATCCCCTCTGCCGTGGGCGGAGCCTGATCCGAGATCCGCTGTCTGTTACTAATTAGAATACTGCTGACGGGCCTCTCTTTCCCCTACTGGACCCCTCTTCCTTTTGCATGTACATGCATGCGAATCCAAATCTCAGCAGAAGAGAATTCTCTCGTCAACGATACTCTGAAGACTGCCATGATATTACTCGCGTGTGTGCGTGTTTCAAAGGAAATCCTCTTTTGTGCATCGACACCCTGCATAAAAAAGACGAGTATGGTGAGTTTGCTGCTATCTTGGAAAGCTGGAGGATTCCTCGAGGCCCCATCCTCTGACCCAGCGGGCCGTGGTGGAGGCCCTATCTGTCGAGAGATCCGACGTCACGTATTTAGAGCTGACCAGCCCACATGTCCTGCTCTTCCCAGCCAACGAGAAACGAGAGAAGAGAAGGGGAGGGGGAGGGGGCCGCCCTTGCTTCTTCACATGCTGCGCACAGTAGAGGCGGTGGGGCAACTCCAACCTGGCTGTGTGCACAGGGATGTGGGGGTGGGTGGTGCGAAAGTCGAAAGCCCAGCAGCGACGCAGCAGAGAGCAGCCAACCGTTCCCCTGGAGGCGAGTGAATGCTTACCGAGAAAAACACCGTGAGTGTAGGTGCTTCAACTCCAAGTGTGTCCACATAACCTAAAAAAATAAAAATAAAAATAAAAAACATTAAGGCAAATAGAAGGCTCTGTCCAACGTATGTACTCATCAAGGAGGCTTGCATGTCCCGTGCTACAGATATTGCATATCCCAGACCAGGTCTGCCAAGCTAAGTAGACAATCAGTCTTGACACCGACCGCGGGGCATATTTCTCCACTGAGGTCGCTGACGCAATCGTGCATCGGCGCCTGCGACAAACCGGTGGATATCTGTTTGTGGTGGCTGGGCAAAAGCAGGCTGACTTGACCTGACTGACCACTACCCTGTCTGAGGAGGAAGAAGAAGAGAGAAAAGAAAGAAGAAAAGGAAGACGAAAACAAGATCAAAAGAAACTTCGGGATGCAACCTTTCGTGACAAATTGCCTGGTTCTGGAGACTATCCTGCCATGGTTCGAGTATGCCGAGAAAAGAAGACCCTGTAACACTGCCAACCTTTTTTTCATATTCCGAAGCCGCAACAGATATTCCCTGTTCCCCTACAACCCCTCACTCAACGGACAAGGGGTTTCTGCTTTTCTTGTAGAGGCCGGATGGGATACGAGATGCAATATTCAACGTGGTGCTTTTGAATTCTTATTGGATTTTGCCCATCTATGTGACCTCGTCAAGCCAGACCCCTCACCACCAACTCTGCACACACTAATACGACCCTCCCCACTGAAATGTCTCGGCTAGGTGCTTCTCAGCAGAATGGATACGGGATCATTTGGGTTTCAAGCTCTGCACTTCACCTACTTGATTAGCCAGTTCATTAAATTTGCTTCTCTGTAGTGAGGTTGCACACAGCTGGAGCTGGAAGATTCCATGCCGCTCTGGTTGATGCTCTGGACCTGGAAAGCAACCCTGAAGCAAAGTACTTCCTGGGGTCTGTTTTGACTGAACTTGAAGCAGGGAAGGCCTGATCCCCTTATCGGTCGGTATTTCCCGTGTTGGTCCACAGAATCAGCTGGGCTCACTCAATAGATTGATTTATTTTCTTGTGCTATTGGATGCCTCTGTGTTCTCATGTCCACTGTCATTTTGGACGGTGCTTCCAACACAGTGTCATGCAGGAATGGTATGGTAGACCCGGGATAACCACAAGCGGGGGTTCTCTCAAAGCAGAACTCTGCCACAGCCATTGATGTGAGATGTATGTACCATGAGTATACTTTCGAGATCATGAGAGGTGGAGATCAATGATGTATCACACAAGAGCCTACGAGAGGCACAGTCACCCACCTAGGTCAGCGATCATACGTACTTCGATATGATATGTTATGTCATGACATATATCATCTTTGAAATATCACTTTGTATTCTTCATATGACAAGACTTACCAGTTGTGAAAGTGGACAATGCATCTCTCGTCTGAGAGCAGATTTACCATCAGGGAGCAGAGGGTCGCCACACAACATGTCACTACATCGAAAGCCCAAAAGATCTCAGCCTGGCATTATTGAAGCTGGTCTGCACTATTCTATGCAGGCTTACTGTGCTTGCAGAATATGCTCTGACCCTTGCAATCTGTTCAGAGACTTTTTGAGGCTCAGCATCCACAAAGAAGATCATGCCATACCCTTTTTTGTTCCCTTCTTTTTCTTTTCTTCTTGTTTTATTCCTGCGAACACGCCACTCAAGCTCCTAAGAAATCTGTCCTTTAAAATCTTTCGTTTCCCTTGAATTTTTTGTATCAAAAACTCCCCCCCTCCCCCGGTGGGGCCCCTTTATTGTGTTGGTCAGGCTGCTAGACGGAGTGTGATAAAAGCAATAATATGAGATGAGCTAGCACATGCCTGCAGAACCATACAGTACACTCATGTCACACTGGCATCCCCAGCTAGGCTTCCACACTTCGGTTTGCTACATGCTGGGTATCCCTTCATAAATGTATCAATACGAATTCCAAGTGTGAGTCAGAAAAAATGGCTCTGTTCCTGCACTTTCTTATGCTTCATCTGTGGGTGTGGTAAATTTCATCGTGCAACAGAGACTGGCATTTTTACTTGCTTATGTATATTTCCTCAGGAGCAGACCTTCTTGGAAATCCGGAGAAGCCCAAACATGCATGCGCAAATGCTTTTTCTTTTTCTTTCTTTTTCACCCTCCTTCTCTGGCAGCATATCAGCTTAGCAAATAGTTTGACACTGCTCCAGTGTCTACCCCGTGGTTTTCTTGGCCTCCTAAGGTCTTATTCCAGGATGTTTCTTCTCTCCAGTGCTACACACAGGTACGCGCCTCGAACGCCCCACCCGCCCCCACCAAAGAAAAAACAACAAGTGATGTCTCAGTGACCAAACTTTATTACATAACAAGGGAAGCAAATAGAAACGCAGCTTGGCATGAGGGAAATGAGAGCTACATCACACAAGATGGTGCCTGCAAGAAGCCAGCGCATGTTAGTACATGTCTACTACTTAAGTACCTCACAGTAGTGAATATGCAAGCACGGCAAGCTATGCCGCTGGGACAAGTAAGTTGTTGCTAGAGTTATAGGGGTCAGCACCCGGTTGACAGGCTGCTAGAGAAAGCAGGGGGTTCCCTGTATGTGAGGCTCTGCCCCACCAATGTGCCTACAGCTCGCCGCCCTGTCTGCTACTGTAAATGGAAATCGCCCAGTCGCGCATTGGGGTTAACGCGCCTCAACCTTTCCCTGTGTACATTGTTCTATACAAGTGCAAATGAGCAAGGTGCCTAAGAGCAATTTCTCCCTTCTTTTACACCTGGTGCCCCTCTCCTGTTCTCTCCCGTTCACACACCTACACTTTCATCGCAAGCTTGCACGCCATGCTACGACTTTATCCTCTGGTTATTTCTCATGGTTCTCTACCTACAGTGGGCCTCATCACATAACATCCTCCTTGGGGGCTAGACTGTGCGTTGACACAGTCTGGCATAAATGAGAGGCACCTGGGTTTCTTCTGTACAACACACGCACACGCGTGCACACTCTAATTGCCTGTTCGTCAGATATTCGTACCGTTTGATTCCGAGGCAACCCAGCTCCATCTCGCCAGCTGTGGACCATACAGTAGCATCTTGAAAAGATGGCTCCTCCCATCCTCCCCACCGCATACGACAAGGGGGATCTGTACAATTACTACTGCTCCATTGACGACCCTCAAATCGTCAGGAATAAGCTCTACTCCCTACGTAACTATATAACCGAGCTTGAGGAAAGCCGCAACCCCCAAGCCCAAGCCGAAGCCCAACAAAGCATTCATCAGGCAGAAGAGGCTATCAACCTTCTCCGCCAACGTCTCAGGGCGATGGGGCAACAAGGTACCTATCATTTGAATCTCTCCTACGTCGCCACCTAGTCCACTGCTGAATAAGGATTCAGAGCCCTCCGAGAAGGAGAACAACAAGCCATCGGGCTCGACCTCGTTTGCCGACGGAGATGGCCACTACGCTGGTCCCAGTCGCCTCTCCACTCCTGCGAGTGCGTCGACATCTGGCACATGCACCGCGAGCTATGCCAACCTGGCCAAGCGTCCTCGTACTTTCAGCTTCGGTAATGACTATAGTAACAGCCACCAGAACAAGTCACACAAGACGGCCACTATTACCACCAACACCGACGACAACGACTTCACCCTCGCCGACGTGAAAGTGATCCTCAACCTCAATGATAGTGATGCCCAAGAGATTGTCAACAATCAGCAAGCAGCCCTTGCCCGCCTCAAGCAGGAGACGGAAGATGCGAGGATAGCCAGAGCCCTGAGCGAACAGTGGGCCAGAGGCACTCCTAGCCCAAGCGTACCTACAACCGCTTTTCACAACAGTAGAACAAGTGCTGGTCCCTCGAATGGGCGGCCTCTGCAGAATCGCATGCCTGGCGCATACGACTTTGAAGGCTTTGACGACGGTAATGACGACGACGAAGACCACGCCTTCGGCTTGCGCACCAATGGAGACCTAGCAATGGGCCATCCGGCTCGCCCCCTTCCGACCCATCTTCACAGCGCATCAGCAGCAGAGCAGGCAAGTCAAGCAGCTCTTGCCCGTCAGCAACGCCTGCGTCAAAGTGATCTTCTCTGTCAACCACGACTCGTCTTTTCCAGAGACCCAGGGTCCTCTGCTTCGACCACAACCGGCTTAGCCAATGCGGCCCCAGGTTTCTCCACTGGACTCAGTACTTTTGCTTTACCTGGTCTTCACTCTCATCGCCCAGGAATGCTAGATTCAGGCCTGTATCGTCCCATTCACGGTCTTCCAAACCCCAATACACCAAACACTGCTTTCAACCCTGCCAGCGGTGCCACTCCTGGTTCCACCATCGCGAATGCGATCGATCTTACCGGCAGCACCGACTTGGATGAGCCATTCCGCATTGGCCGCCTCGAGAACCTCCTTGATGGTTCACGAGACAACCAAGGTCAAAATACGCAAGGCAAAGCCGATTTTGACAAGACGGCAGAAGAGATCCGGGACCTCCTGGCAAACATCAGGCCTGATGAGGATATCCCAGTAAAAGATCACGTCGGCACCCCTGAGGCCATGAAATACCCTCTGTACCCTCATCAGCAACTCGCGTTAAGGTGGATGATAGACAGTGAGGAGGGAAACAACAAGGGTGGCATCCTCGCTGATGATATGGGTCTTGGAAAGACAATCTCGACCCTGGCCCTGATGGTCAGCCGGCGGTCGTCTGATAAGATCAAGACGAACCTCATCGTCGGGCCGGTTGCGTTGATCAAGCAGTGGGAAATCGAGATCAAGAAGAAGGTCAACCCTAGACACCAGTTGAGAGTGCTGCTATACCACGGCAAGGCGGCCACGTTTGAGACGATGCGCAAATACGACGTCGTCTTGACATCCTACGGAAAGCTGAGCGCCGAGGAGAAAAGATCTCAGACTTGGGAAGAAGATCACCCTGGTCAAGACCCTGCCGCCTCCGAGGATCTGGCAAAAAGCTGTCCATTGATGCACCCCAAGAGTAGATTTTACCGTGTCATCTTGGACGAAGCCCAGTGCATCAAGAGCCCCTTCACGTACCAATCTGCGGGAGCGGCGCGGGTGAGGGCCACTCATCGCTGGTGTCTGACTGGAACGCCTCTGATGAATGGAGTCTTCGACTTGTGGGCCCTCCTGCGCTTCCTCAACATTCGTCCTTATTCCTGCCAGTCTTCTTTCACCATCGCGTTTGGTTGCTTGACTCCAAAGTCTGACCGAGCTCGCGCAAATGTCTCAGAGGCCGCCAAGAACAAAGCACTGAGAACACTTCGCATCCTTCTGAAATCCATTATGCTTCGCAGAATGAAGACATCCATGCTTGACGGCAAGGCTCTCCTCACGTTACCCCCAAAGACGGAAGAAGTCGTGCATGTTGTCTTCGACGAGGAAGAGCGAGAGTTCTACACCGCCCTAGAGGCCAAGACCAAGGTCACGTTCGACCAGTATCTGAGCGCCGGAACTGTGGGCAGGAACTACTCAAATGTCCTGGTCTTGCTTCTCCGCCTGCGACAAGCTTGTTGTCACCAACATCTTAACTTAGACATCGACTACGTCGGCACATTTGAGACGACCAGAGACCAGATGATATCCCTCGCCAAGTCGCTGGGCGCCGATGTGGTCAGACGTCTGAAGGATACATGCAGAGAAGGTTTCGCATGCCCAATCTGTCTGGACGCAGTTATGGATCCGACTATTGTTCTTCCATGCGGTCACAGCAGCTGTGGGGAATGTTTTGCAACTTTCGTTGGAGCCTGTGACGAGAATCATCTTCGTGCTGGCGACGACCGTAAGCCTCTGAAGTGTCCCGAGTGCCGCGGTCAAATCAACACAAGGCACGTCATCAATCTGGCAGCGTTCAAAGCTGTTCATATGCCCGAGACCGAACTCGGTTCCGAGACACCTTCAAATGCCGGCGATGACAACTTATCCGTTGCAGAGCCTGCCGCAGGTCCAGCCGGTCAGGACAAGACCGATCGAAACGGAAACATCCAAGATGTCGTTGTTAAGGGTAATGAGAGCGACGTGCAAATGTCTGGCGGGAGGGATGTAGGCAGCAGCGACGAGGTCATTCCTGGACCTTCGACTGCCGCCGCACCCGGGAGAAACAACCAGCAGAACAATACCAAAGGCAAGGCGCGAGAAGGCAAGGGCAAGAACAAACTGACGAAGGTCGAGCCATACACTCTGAAGAGCCTCCGTATGGAGGCGAGGAAGAACTTGACCGAGTACAATCGCTACATGGAGTATCTCAGGACACGCTGGATGCCGTCGACAAAGGTTGACAAATGCTGTGAAATTCTTGAGAGCATCCAAGAGAGCGGCGACAAGACCCTTGTCTTCTCACAGTTCACCTTCCTGCTGGATTTGCTCGAGATCCCCATCATGCACCACCTTGGCATCAAGTGTTGCCGATATGATGGAAGCATGTCGCGTAACAAGCGAGATGCTGCCATCCAGGAATTCCAGGATCCCACTTCTGACACAAAGGTCATGCTGGTGTCCATCAAGGCTGGCAATTCTGGTCTCAATCTCACTGCTGCCAACCATGTCATTATCATGGGTAAGTCCTTGCAGTTGTGTTGTTCCTTGTGGTGATAACTTCTTCTCTCTCCTGTTGATGTCTGTCGCGGAACGGAATGAATGCTCCATGCTAACCCCCCAATGTCAAACAGATCCCTTTTTCAACTACTTTGTAGAGAATCAGGCAATCGACCGTGCCCACCGGATCGGTCAACGCAAGCCAGTCAAGGTGTACCGTATCCTTGTCAAGGATACGATCGAGGATCGCATTGTCGATATCCAGGACAACAAGCGTCGGATGGTTGATGCTGCCCTGGACGAGGGCGAGTTCAAGCAGCTGGGTAGAATGTCTCTCCAGGATATTCAATACCTTTTCTACGGCAGAGAGTGATGCATGAGGGTGTAGTTAGTGGTGTAGAATGGACTAGTCAATGTGTCCCATCGCAGCGAGAAGCTGACAAACGTTTTCCACATCGAATGTCATGGTCCCTGACCGAGAGACACTTCTCCTGAAGAAGTCGATTGAAAGAGAGAGAAAATGAAATGCTGCAGGTTTGTCACGTGCCCTAGTCCGCCGGTTCCTCAGCTGTGCCATGCTGGCCTGCCACGAGTATATACTCTCGAGGGATTAAAGGTGGTCTGAAGTATTCAGTATTCCCGGAATGACCGCACTCGCCCAAAACATGATCGATCACGTAGGTAAAGAGAGAGGAGTAGCCACGATGTAGTATGCTCGGCAGGGTCTCGCCCCATGTTATGATATTATCGAGATCTTAAAAAGAACCGTTTCCGAATCCTGTCCAGCGAAGAAATGACCGCGCTTGTGTGTCGCAAAAAGAACAGACATGCCTTCCTATAGCCCAATCCAACGCCAAACAACCGCGGTCCAAAAAGGCAACCTGCGGAATAGGTATGTACAAAAGGAAAAGAGAACCTCTCGTGGCACCTCTAAGACGAGGCGGCGGTGGGATTCAACTCGACAATATAACTCAAATCAGGCGGTGCCTTCGGGGTTGTCCTGGGCAATGACAGGCGCCTTGCCGCCGCCGCCCTGGATAGTCTCCCACGCCTTACCCGCCTTGTCCGTCGTCCAGCTCCATGCCTTGCCGAACTTATCCTTGGCCCAGTCCAGGGCCCCCTTGGCGGAATCGCCAATGCTCCCGAGCAGGTCTTTATCCCCTTCGCTGGGAGGGTCAACGCCGACGGGGGCCGACACTTGGCCTGTGGCGACGGGGTCCACGCCGAGAGCTATGGAGGGAGAAGATGGGGAGGTGTCAGAGGAAGGTGGTGTCGGTGTCGGTGTCGGTGTCGGGGTGAGGGTGTAGCTGGTTACGGGGTCGGCGGGGACTTCGATGGCGGGGACCTCGTCGTGTAGGCCGGTGGTCTGTAGTGGGAGGCGAAGAGTGCCGTTGTTAGGGGCCGGGGTGAGGCCGATCGAGTCACAGAGGATATTGTAGACTTCGATGTTTTCTAAGGCGCGCGTGTGTGTGTCAGTTCAGCTAGCACATTGGGATGCTCGATGTTCTGGTTGGAAAGGCCAAAAAGGGAGGGCTTTTGAGGGGGAGGGGTTCCAAACTCACGGAATGGCTCGACCCTGCTGCCCGGCTGGTGAGGAAAAGCAGGGCCGCGTGCGATGAAGATGGCTCGCATCAGAGGGTGTTCGTGATCGTATCCGTGCAGGCCTTGTGGGTGGTACACCTTGTTGTTCGCTTTGGCGTCTTCAATATCGAACTCCTTCTTGTCGACGATGGCCCAGCCGGTCTTTGGGATGATCCAGAGCGGCGCGATGCGCTCATTGTTAGAGAAGTGGTACCGTTCAGGCATGTTCACGTCGCGAAGATAGACGTCGAAGTTGGGGTTGGTGTTGGCCTTGTCAAGGAGGCCCTGGTACATTTCGTCGAGATCAGAGGGGTCCTTGGGTCGCAGGCCGACCAGGGGCCAGCCGTCAATGTGGTCCACCTTGCTAAGGTCCACGAGGTCTTCCATCTGGATCATCCGAGACACATCAGTCGTGGCCATGCCGTGGTCCGACACGACAATCACATTGACGATGTCGGTCAGATTCCGCGCTTCCAATCCGAGAAAGATGTCGTCGAGCATCGTGTCAGCGTTCTGGATCGTGGAGCGTATCTCGGTACTATTGGGCCCAAACTTGTGGCCATCGGCATCGACGTTTGGCACGTAGGCTGCGATCAGCTGCGGCCTCATGTCCTCAGTCCTGGCATGCGGGTCCTCCAGACCAGGCCTGTCTAGAAATTCAAAGATCCTTGCGACCTTGTTGGACAGCTTCTCTCGGCCGTTGTACTGGTCGATGAAGGCAGGCTCGACCCCGCCGAGATGAGCCTCGCTGCCAGGCCACATGTGGATCGCGGTTCGGATGCCGTGCTGCTCTGCTGTGACCCAAAACGGCTCCCCATTCCACCATTTCGACTGCATGCTGACATCCGTGTCTGTATAGTAGAACTCCTGTTGCAGTTTGGGGTCCCAGAAGCTGTTTGCCACAACTCCGTGGGCTTCTGGGTACAGGCCCGTGGCCAGGGTGAAGTGATTCTGGAGGCAGAGAAAGGAGAGGTCAGCTAGAAGCTCAGTTGCAAATGGGATAAACCAAAGCGAGAAGAGAAAGAAAAGAAAAAACCCACAGGAAATGTGACGCTCGGAAAGGACGGGTTCATATACAATGGCGACACGCCCTCTTTGACGAAAGCGTTCAGCCTCGGAGTCAAACCTCGTTGGAGGAAATCTGCCCTGAACCCGTCTAGGCTGATGATGAGCGTGGTGGGCGCAAAGAGCGCAGTGCCGTTGCTGACAAGAGTCTGCGCCTTGAACGCTGTGTTCTTGACAGACATCTTCCAGGCCACAAATGCCAAGACCGCAAAGGCCGCCGCGATCGAGACGTAGATCAAGGTCCATCGCCAACGATCCCTCCTCCGCTGTCTCTTTGCATCCGCCAAATATCGAAGACCGCGCCTGTCGAGCTCGTCGCTGTCCTCTCTATCGCTACAGCCAGCCGAGCTGCCCGTCTTGAGCCCGCCCTCCTCCAGCTCAAACATCAGCTCCCCGTCCTCGCCCTCGTGTGCCTTCTCCAGCAGCCTCTCCTTCTTCTCCCTCCTCCTCTGCCGCCGCTGCTTCCTGGCCTCGCCCCGCAGGTTCTCCGTCGATACCTGCTGCGACAGAGGATGGCTTTCTGAAGGGCTGATGGACCGGCTGCCTGCACTCCGAGGGCGACCACCACCGCCGCTGCTCCCAGACGAGAAGAGGTTGATGGGCGCCCGGATGGACAAACCCGACACTTTACGCTTCTGGCTTGACCCCCTGCGCTCACGCTCCTGGCGCCTGCGCGCGTCGGTCACGAGCTGGTCCATCTCTTCTTCCTCGAGCAGGACGATCCGGTCGTGGGCGCGCAGCTCGCGGCTGTTGCGGGCGCGGGCCTGGCGCTCGTCATCGTCGCTGTCCGAGTCCTGGTCGCTGCGGAGGGAGTTGGCGTCTGGGTCGTAGCTCTTGGCCGAGAGGAGGGAGCTGTTGGGGGACTTGGGCCGGTTGAGAGGTTTGAGGAGAGGCATTGTCGTCGTCGTGGGTGGTCTTTGATTGAGAGTCGAGGATGGGGTGTCGGAGGAGTTGTTCGGTTCTCTATTTGCGCGCGGCTTGCGCCCGCCAGCAGCTTGGAAGGGAGAGGGAGCACCTAGAAGATGATAATGGTATGCATGGCAAGTTGGAACACTTGAGGAGAGATGATTGTGATGCAAAAAAAATTAGAGGTTCTTGATTTCAGGGGGGAAGGAGAGAAAGGACTTATTTTACTTGCGAATTGCGTCTCCAATCTCTGTGACGCTGAATGCGTTATCAAGGTGGGTCAGGGTCAGGGCAGATGATGATGGATGGGCAGACATAGTCTAGTGCAATACAGCCCCCCCCCCCTCCCCCTGGTCCACTCAATCACATCTGGGCTGATCCCGGGGGCCGAGTACAGGGTAGTCAGCACTCAGCCTTGCTGGTGACGAATCTCCTTCTGCCATACTTATATAATACCCTCTTCTTCACTTTTGATCATTCATGAAGACACTTGCTAGGTGGCTGAAGCTTCAATTCCTTTGTATTTCCCCCTCGACAAAGATTCTCTCTTCAATCTAGCTCTTTGGCTCTCTGACCAAGGCAAGAAAATAATGATTTATGGTGCAGCCAGTCATCCTTAGTGGGTCGCTAACATCGAGCCTCCCATCATCACAATATAACAGGTACGTACAAGAGACACGGTATGTCTTAATTCAGAAATCATATTCAAAATGAAAAAATTATTCTATATTCCTAGGTCAGAAGACTAGACAGCCATACCCTGATGCACTTTACCTGGGCCAAGGCAACACTGCTGTCAGTTGCAATCTCGGGCTCGACAGTGAGAAATCCAGACATCTTGAGTATCCCGCCCAAGTAATCAAAAACATCATTCAGGGAACTAAATAGTCACTTTATGTTAAATAATCAATAGTTAAGACCCCAAATACTGTAAAATCTAGAATTGCTTTGATACATGTCATGCCTTCTCACTACTCGCAGACCCTCCTATAAATAGACAGGCTTGCATGCGCCAAGATCTGAGCCCGAGACTGCATTAGACTGGACTTGTCCTTGACTTGGCAGTGGGAGATTCCAATACAACAACCATTTCGAGCAGTACTATGTAATACCTCATCAACAGAGGTATTAATAATCCGTTGCCTCTCTCTCGAAAAATTGCAAAGACTCCTGAAAGCATGTCAAGTCTCAACAGATCTTGCTCAGTTTCCAAGGCAGTTGCTGAATCAGTCAATCCATACATATATATATATATATATCAGCAGTGAAATTCATGTAGCACGGACTTTCTTATGCCATGCTGCTGCTGCTCTCTCTCTCTCTCTCTCTCTCTCTCTCTCTCTCTCTCTCTCTCTCTCTCTCTCTCTCTCTCTCTCTCTCTCCCCCAGTAAGAAACAGGTAGCTATGGACAAAGTCTGCGAGAAGAGTAAGAGTAGCTACCTGGAGACGTCTCGTGTCTCCGGGACAGTGATCTCGAAATCAGCACCTACAAGTAATGAGTCGTTTCCTTTTTCCCTCTCCTTGTTCTACCTCGATCTTCCCTTTCAACTAGAAGCCACGACTGCGGCCATGCCATTATTCCCACCGCCCGCAAAATCTCCACTTATAAAAACAACAAGAACAGCTGCGTATGCCGCACAAGCACCAAAAATCTCGACCCTGCTCGCTGTCGTCATCGCCCGCAGCGAAACCGCAAATACCACAGTGAACAGGGCGATCAGGCCGATGCTCAGCTGCGGGTGTGACGAGTTTGTGTGATAGAGCGCATAAATGGGCAAGAATAACAACATGATGGCCGTGAGCGTCGTGATCAGCGAGGCCACGAGCTTGACACGCTCGTACGAGTAGTACCAGATCTTATCTGGTACCAGGTGCGAGATCATCGTTGTTCCCGGTGGGAGCGATGATGACGGTGAAGAAGAAGAAGAAGAAGACAAAGAGGAGACTGTGTTGTACTGGGGCAGCACGGGGGGCGGCTTGGTCCGGAAGAGGCGTGGCAGGGTCATATGGAGGAGCCGCGTGAGCACGTCTGGTTCGTCGCGACCTGTCAAAGAAACATAGTCGGAACCGCGGATGTGTGCCGTGCTCATTCTGAGGGGATATAGGGACGAGCTGGCTCCAGAAAGCATGGGGTATGTTGAGGGTGCGTTTCCTCCCGATGGTGTCAATGTCGTTGCTGATTTCCGGGGAGCCCTGTGGAAGTAGCTGGACATGGCCGTCATGGTCTCCTGAGAGGGCAGGTGGAGCGCGATCAGACTTGACTCCCGGATCAAAGCTTCTTGGTACTCCTTCAGCGTGGCCCGGATCCTCATTGCGAGGTCCATCCTTTCCCTCCACATCTTGTCAGGCTGCGTCCTCGTTACGGCACCATGGTCGGCTGGCGCCGAGTGAAAGGCCGCCTTTTCAAATTCCTCCCAACTCCCTGCACATCTTCGGATCCAGGAGCGGTGCTCCCTCGCGTCTGGTCTGTTATCGTTCTCGATGTCGAGGCTGTCCTGCATGTCGTAGCCATCTTGCTGTGCCTGGAGGTGCGAGAGTTCGCTCTGGTAGTACAAAATGTTCCTCGTGGAGAGTTTGTCGAAGCGCTTGTAGACTACAGACTTGTGGTCATCATCGGTGACGATGAAGCTGGCAAGTGAGCCGAAACCAGAGACATAAGTCTGGGGCGTGGCTTCTGGTGATCCTGATGCTGATGCCATGTGTGGTTGGCTGGGAATGATAGCATCGATGGCTTGCTGGCAGCCTGTGAAATCGCTCGGTGAGCAACCGTCTCGAAAATATTGGTTCTTGTAATTATAATGAGGCTGTCACTGCAGATGAGCTCTGCCTGTAAAATCCAGGCTTTACGTGCGCGTACGTGCTAATTGTCATGCAGGACCACGAAGATGTATATTATGGCTCACACATTAAGCTCCAGCATGCGCGGCTTACAGGATAACTCTTAGTCTCATGCGTCTTATAGGTTCACGGCACAGCCACGAGAGGGGCTCCAAAGTGCACTTCTCCATGCCCAAAACACAGCATAGGTGCCCAAAGTGATCTGAAGTGAAGCCCAACGGACCGAATGCTTACATACAGCCTGTAATACTGTGTAACCTCTTGGCCTTGTACTCACAAACACTCAGATATAAGCCGAGTCTGCCCGGATCACAATTTTGGTTTCTTGTGATGTTGTCGTTCTCTTCTTCTGAACCTTCTCTTAATCACCGGATAGTATAGAAAGGTTCAGTCTTACTGCATGCTAATAACTCCAACCGTTTCTTGTAATTGCAGTTATAGATTTTTCCATTCTCTTCTTTTCTCGTCACCACCATCTTCTGCCTCAACCAAAGAAAGTGATCTGAGCGAATCCCCTACTATAAATTCCTCTCAGGAGCAGATTGACCTTGCTTCCAGAGAAAAAAAATACCAAAAGACACAGATGTTTCAAATTTGTTAGAAAGAAAGGAGAATTGCAATGCAGAACGAATATTTCGTGCCTAGAGATGGCATTGACCGCGAGGTCATCACGGCGGATATATGCCGCTACCTGGGCAACGATGCCCTCGTCCGCCCAGGAACGTATGAAGAACCACAGACGGGCCAAGTCCTGCAAGGCTTCATCATCAAGAGCTCGCAACCTCTCACTGGCGAGATGGTACAGCAGCTGAAAGCCGACTCCGCACGGTGGCGGCAGGATGGAAGCGGCAGGGGTATGTTCGTGATAACTCTGAAAAGGGATGTCATATTTGTTGTATCGCGGACCAAAATTACTGACTGGTTGCTTTTCCATTTCGTCATAGCAACGCAACAACAACAACACCAGCAGCAGCAGCAGCAGCAACCTTCACAAAACGGTTATTATGCTGCCCGACCAAGTACTGTATCTTCGCCAGTATCTCCATACATCACGTCCGGCACTCTCGGTTCATCCTCAGCCTATGTTAGTAGCATTCAACCGGTTACATATTTCGGTGGTTGGACCCTAGGCTCGGCCTCTAGGGAGCGGGAGGCTAGGGAACGCGCAGTCGACCGCGCATTGAACAGTACTGCTACTTCTGCAGGAAACAGTTCACAAGTAGCCGCCGGCGGGCTGGGGACGTCCTCGCGTTCCTCCATAGTCAACGGCACGCTGGGTGCAGATGGTGAGTCAAATTGTCATCGGTCTTTGGCGTGAAACGGGTCATCGAAACGAGAGTGGTGGCTGACAGAAGGGGCACATGACAAGCTATGAGGGCGTCCTTCAGACAACGGCTTGAGGACCTCGACTGCGAGTGGGAGAGGGGACAGGTCGTGTGGGAGAACATGGCCGAGGACGAACGACAGCGGCGGAGAGACGAGCTAGAGAGGGCAAGACAGGATTACGAGAGGAGTCGTCAGGCCATCATTTCTCAGATCTCGAACCTGAGGACCTCGAGGTGAAAAGAAGAAGAGAGGAAAGGGGAGGGGGAAGGGAAGGGGAAGTAGGGTGGTCTTTTGCGCACATTATTCTCGATTTGACCATTGATAGAGTGACTGATGAACAGCGGATGAAACAGGGGGAAGCAGAAGGACATTGTAGAAGGAAAAGTGTGATGCGAAGCCACGCTTTGGTAAATTTTGTACATAAGCCTTTTAACTCAGTTAAATGGAAACTTTGTGATAATCATCAGCCCAACGTCAAGAATACACTTATGCAGTGGGTGTGATTATTTGGGCTCATATTTTCATGGCTTCGAGGACATTCGCTTGCAGTGATCGCTCACTTGCATGTTCTAGACGGGATTTCGACAAGATGGTCAAGGCAAGTAATGAACTCTTCTTTCCCCTTTGTCCCAGGTCTATCATTTTATCACCTAGAGTAGCTCGCATATTCCTTGTTGAAAGCCCGGCCTATCACCATGCGCCTCACCTCTGATGTGCCAGCACCAATCTCGTAGAGTTTTGCACTGTAAGTTGGGGGGTTTCTGGTTAGCAAAGGACATGCTCAAAACAATATGCCACCCGCCAAGCACAGTGAAGCTTACTCTCTCAATATCCTCGAGGCGGGCATTTCTTCCACGTAGCCCATCCCACCGAGCACCTGTATGCAGTCAAGGCCACACTCTGTCGCTCTCTCCGCCGCATAGAGGATAGCACCCGCACAGTCCTGCGTCCTGATGACCCCTTCCTCATCGACCACCCTGGCTGTGGCGTACGTGTAGGCCCTGCTCGCCTGGTACTTTGTGTACATATCCGCCAGCCTGCCCTGCACGGCCTGAAAGGTGCCTATGGGCTGGCCAAACTGCTTTCTAGTGTGGGCAAAGGGAAGCGCCACGTCCAGGGCCGCCTGCATCAGACCCAAGGGCCCTGCGCTGAGCACCAGCCTTTCGAGGTCGAGGCCCTCCATCAGCACGCGCACGCCGCCGTTAATTTTGCCCAGCACATTGGCATCCGGCACGAACACGCCGTCAAAGACCAGCTCGCCAGTGTTGCTGCCCCGCATGCCCATCTTGTCGAGCTTCCTCGCGCACGCGAAGCCCTTGGCGCCTTCTGTCTCGACGATAAAGGCCGTGATGCCTTTGCTCCCGGCGTCAGGCTCCGTCTTGGCGTACACGACGATGAAGTGTGCGTCAGGGCCGTTGGTGATCCACATCTTGCTCCCGTCCAGGACGTAGCCACCATCAACCTTCTTGGCCGTGGTGCGCATGCTCACAACGTCGCTGCCGGCGCCGCTCTCGCTCATAGCCAGGGCGCCGACCTTCTCGCCGGCGATCAGCCCGGGCAGAAAGCGGGCCTTCTGGTCAGCCGAGCCATTGAGCTGCAGCTGGTTGACGCACAGCTGGCTGTGGGCGGCGTAGCTGAGTGCTATGGAACCAGAGGCGCGCGACAGCTCCTCCATGACCACACAGTGCGCCTGGTAGCCCAGGGCCAGGCCGCCGACGTCCTCATCCGCCGTGATGCCCAAGAAGCCCGCATCACCCAGCTTAGCCCACATCTCTGGGGGGAAGTTGTTGGTCCTGTCGACTGCGGCGGCGACATCGGGATTGATCTCGCGCCGGGTGAATTCTTGCACGCGCTCGCGAAGTTCGTCCAGGTCGGCCTGGGTGGGCGGGACAAAGCCCTGGGGGTGCTTGGAAGAAGAAGTGGTCGAGGCATATCTTCTTGAGGATTTTGATAACGAGAGGGCATCAGCTGCTGGGGAAGATTGAAGGGAAGAATGAGAGTGGAGGAGTAGAGGGAAAGAAGACGAAGAGGATCTCGTCAAAGGCCGCCTCGCTGGGCGGACCAGACTGTGTAATAATAGTACTCTTGGGGAGGACATTGTGTTGGAGGGATAATGGAGCTAACCCAGTAACCAAGCGACTCAGTAAGTCAGTTCATGTGTATGGAAGGAGAAGAAGAAAAAAGAAGAGCAGCAGATTATCATAGATGAGGCCGAAATTGGCGAGTGAGGGTGAGTTGCAGTGAGTTGAGGCAGGTGCATACTGCAGTCGCGTAGGCTCGGCATAACGATGAACCAGCGAAACCCCCGGATTGTCAACTAGCGGATGACGTCGCTTAAACGCGGGCCGAGGATGGAGAATCTGGGGTAGTAAGTGTTTACACTAGTAAATTTACAGTACATTACAGTACGTTAGTACATGTAGAATAAAAGGAGAAGGTGCGTGCAGTGGGCGGCGGCTCTAGGATTCTCAACGTCGTCACCGGATCTCGGGACAAGCTTCCTCTTGTCCTTGTCCTCAGCAACGTGCCCACTACTTTTTCCTTCTCTTCCTTTCTGTTCTTCTTCATGTTCTGCTCAATGTAACAAGGTCTGCTTCACGGGGAAACGAGCCTCGACACTCCCCAGCCCAAACAATGCCGTTGTCCATTCGAGGCTCAAGACGAGTCATCATCCCCACAATAGCCCGTCCCTCGTCGTCCTCGTCGACCCACCCCCTCCTCAAGCACAATCCCTATTGCCCTGCTGCTGTCTCTAGGGTGGTACTGGTGCGTAGTGCAAGCACGAGACCCCTCTTCACAAGTTGTCCTCCTAGACAAAATGAAAGGGCCCCTCCTCAGAGCCAGAACAGCACCACCAGACGCACCATCGCGACCTTTACGCCTCCGTACCAAGCCCAGGCCATCTCCACGATCCAGACCGTCGTCGACCCCTCCAGCGATGACTTCAAGGAGAACCAGCGCGCTATGGACGAGGCCATGGCCCGCCTCACCGAGCTGACCCGCAAGGCATCAGAAGGAGGCCCACCAAAGGCCAGGGAGAAACACATTGCGCGCGGGAAGATGCTGCCGAGGGATCGTGTCACTGCCCTGATCGACCCAGGGACGACGTTCATGGAGCTGAGCCCGCTCGCGGGCCACGAGCTATACCCTGAGGCGGAGGTGCCCGCGGCGGGGATCATCACGGGGGTGGGCGTCGTCGAGGGTGTCACCTGCGTAATTGTCGCCAACGACAGCACCGTCAAGGGAGGGACTTACTATCCCGTCACTGTGAAGAAGCATCTGCGCGCACAGGCTGTGGCGCAGGAGAACAGACTCCCGTGAGGAAGAACAAGACCCGCCCTCCAGTCCCCTTGAACGCCTTCCCTTGGCTGTGGTTGATCCAAGAGCTAACAATGGAATGTCTGTGTGTTCCGTTTTTGCCCCAAATATAGGTGCATCTACCTTGTCGACTCGGGCGGTGCCAACCTCCCACATCAGGCAGACGTCTTTCCAGACCGCGATCACTTCGGCCGCATCTTCTACAACCAGGCGCGTATGTCCGCCGCTGGCATCCCTCAAATCTCCGTCGTCATGGGACCCTGCACCGCCGGTGGCGCCTACGTTCCTGCCATGTCCGACGAGAGCATCATCGTCCAGGAGCAAGGGCACATCTTTCTCGCCGGCCCGCCCCTCGTCAAGGCCGCCACGGGCGAGTCCGTGAGCGCCGAGGACCTGGGCGGCGGCAAGATGCACAGCAGCGTATCCGGCGTGACGGACTACCTCGCCGTGGACGATGCACACGCCCTCGTGCTGGCCAGGCGGTGCGTGAGCAACCTAAACTGGCCCAGCCGGACCACCAGTCCAGCAGCGGCCGCCAAGGAGGGCGAGGGGTTTAGCGAGCCACTCTATCCTCCTTCCGAGCTGCTAGGCATCGCCTCGACGAACCTACGCAGGCCGCTGCCCATCCACGAGGTCATCGCCAGAATCGTCGACGGTTCTGCCTTTGCCGAGTTCAAGCGCGACTACGGCACAACCCTGGTGACGGGCTTTGCGCACATCTATGGGCAGCAGGTTGGCATTGTCGCCAACAACGGGATCCTCTTTTCCGCGTCAGCGCTCAAGGGCGCCCACTTCATCCAACTGTGCGGTCAGCGCGGCATCCCGCTCGTCTTCCTGCAGAACATCAGCGGCTTCATGGTCGGCACCGACGCCGAGAGGGAAGGGATTGCTAAGAACGGTGCCAAGTTGGTCACAGCCGTTGCCTGTGCCGACGTGCCCAAGTTCACTGTTGTCGTCGGCGGGAGCTACGGCGCGGGCAACTACGGTATGTGTGGCCGTGCCTACTCGCCCAGGTTCCTCTGGATGTGGCCCAACGCGAGGATAGGCGTCATGGGAGGTGAGCAGCTTGCGGCCGTGATGGAGACGGTCGGCAAGACTGTAGACGTGGGTCTCAAGGACAGGATCGAGAAAGAGAGCGATGCTGTCTTCTCGAGTGCCCGGCTATGGGTGAGTAGACTCTTTTCCCCTCTTCGACGCCCCCTGTAGTCCAGGTTGCTGACTGGCAAATCGATCAAGGATGACGGTGTGATCCCGCCACAGCATACACGCAGGTATCTCGGATTTGGTCTAAAGGCTGCCATGTCAGGCCGGAATGAGGTCAAGCCTGGCGATACCAAGTTTGGCGTGTTCAGAATGTAGATGGTAAATCAGAACCCCTTGAGAAGACGACACTTTCGCAGGAAACACTGAACGTCCTCGAGTCACCACCACTCTGGTGATGTGATGGAAGCCTGTTACTCACCGCGCAGCGGTCCTGTCTCATAGCTTATGGTCACCCAACAAATTATATCAAATTGATCCGTGCCCCCCAAAGTCAACGCCAATGCTGGTGAATTGCGACGCCCACCGGTTGAGTGAGTGAACTGTCGTTACACTGCCACGAGAAGTTTCTATAAATTGCACGATCTTGGGCTGCCTTTGCTCGGTCTTCCTTTCTCGAGTCCCACCACGACCAACGGTTATGCCTCAAGTCGTTTTCTTTTGCAAGCACGCAGAAGGAATATTGGCAGCCCACTTCTCTCGAGAGTGAATCAATTTGCTCGTCCTGGCATCACGTCCCATTCCAGCAGACCCAACACACACACACGCCTACCCAGCCGCAATAATGTGCTTTTACGAGTACGACGTGTACGACTGCATCGTGTGCAAGGAAGTCATGCACACCAAACCCTACCTCCTGCTGAGGGAGCCTGGGGCCACGCAGTTCGAGACGATTGACAAGCGCTGCCCCACGGCCCAGAGGCTGGACATGTTGGCGGAAAACTGTCCGTTTGTCAAGTACAACAACTTTCCAAGGCGGATCCGGCTCCAGCCCAACCAGTTCTGCAGCAAGGTCTGCGAGGGATCATATCGGCGTGCCCACCAAAAGGCGAAGCGTCGTGAGGAGGCTGCTGGGGGCCAAGGTGGCTCCTGGAAAACGGCCTCGCACCTCGACAGCGGCAGCGACTTCAACAAATACCGTCGATCCCCGGCGCACAAGCGAGGCCGCTCGCCGTCACCTCACTCACGGTGGATGTATGACGGGTGGGAAGGGAAGCAGGAGGAAGGCCTTGTGTCTTTGCAGGACGACGGATACAGTAACTACTACTACGACCCCGGCGAGAGCAGCTGCTCTTCGTCCACCGTCCCAACGAAGCACCGCCCGCAGCCGTCGCCGCCGCTGGAGGACTTTCGAGAAGTGTATGAGAAGGCGTATGGCTGCGTGTCAGAGGGAAGTGTCGGGACTGCTTGCTCGAGGCACAGGTCACCGTCGCCCCTGAGCTCGGGAGATGGAAACGTTTGGGTGGGAAGCGGTTCCTGCAGTGAGATACGAGGACGCAGCCGGACTGTTCGGCCCGTGAATATGCCACCATCAAGGCACTCGGGGGAACAACCTGGTCAGGGAAGAAGAGATCACCCTAGTGAGACAGGAGGACATATTCAGACGCCTCCCTCGGTACAGACTCCACCAGCGCGTTGCTCGAGAGAGGGCAAGGAAGTTCACGGAGAAAATAATTGGCCTAGGGCTGGAGGAAGTGTCCAGAGTGTTCGCCCGGCACAGAGGTCACCATCACGACGCTCATGGGCTGAACTCAGCGGGCAGAATCATCGCTGCAGCCCGGTGGCCAACGTCCGGACTGTTCACACAGCGCCGGAACCTCTTGAGCGGTACGAGTGGTGAGCAAGAACCTTTCTTGTCAGTGGCTCACTTGTCTACGTTTTCCATTGATAATTTTTCCTTTCCCTTTTCTTTTCCTTCTCCTTCCTTGAAAGTAGCTGATCAGGAGGGAAAAGGAAACGGAGGGGGGGGGGGGGCCTTGAATCTAGCCCCATCTTTGAGAATGGCGTTGTGTATAGTCCGCAGCCACGAGGGCCATTATTAATGGATTGATCTTACTGCACCAAGGTCCTTGCTTCCTTTGATCCCCCAGTTTCGTCTATCCGGCAGTTCATTGATTAAGGCATGCCAGTGCTACCAACAACCTGTCAACATAATGTGCGATGGGCAATTTCGACATCAACCTGGTCTTTTCGAGTGTGGCTTTCCAGTCAAGCCCCAGAATTAAAGAAACTCTTACCCCCCCCTATATGAAAAGGTAAAGGTTTCACAATCTCCGTTCTCAATTTCTATAGGTCATGATACAAGCCCAATGAACTAACTCCCTTGTACTAAGCCAGTGCTGACAACGGGGGATGATGCATCATAAATGACCTGTCACAATACATTATCCGAAGCAACACACCAGGGCCCAAGAGGAGTTGGAGCCCAATCATCCATATGATGCCATGAGAAAAAAAAAGGAACTGTATAGAGATAGGATACACCCCACGAGCCATCCCTCCTCGAGTTCTAGGGTCCTCCCCAATAACAGACAACGTAACATGATGCATGCACGTATCAGTGCCCAATTTGCCCTGCCAGCCCTCCTTTCCCCCCCCCTCCTCCTTCTCTTCCTCTCCAATTTCTCTTGTCACACAGACCCCCCCTCCCCCCTCCATCATCTCCTCCTTCCCAAAACAACCATAAGCAAGCCACAGTAAGCCGGCTCTCCCCACAACGGCAATCCGTTACCCCCCCCCCGGCCGCCCACGCCGCAGCCACGTGCCGCTCCGCTGTAACGCTCATCTTCTCTTTTCCCCGGTGAGACGAACCAAATTACCAAACTCACTTGTTGCTTTTTTTTTCTTTCCTTTCTCTCTTTTTCCTCTTTCCAAGACAATTGCGTGATCCAGCCAACCAAACGTTCTATCACAGTCACATCACATACCTCCCTTTTTCTTTTCTTGCTGTTGCTGCTGCTGTTTCTTCTTTGCTTGACTTTGCCCCCCCCCCCTCTTTTCATTGCTATTTCATCTTATACCAATGGTTCCCCCCTCCTCTCCCCCCCCCCCAACTCTCCCTCCTTAAAGGTAGTCCCGTAAGAAGAAGAACTCGCATAGTGCTATGTATCGCTAAGCGCCGAGGTTGTAGAAATGCAATGCAATGTACCACTTCTTCTTCTTCTTCCTCTTCTTCTTCCTCTTCTTCTTCCTCTTCTTCTTCCTCTTCCTCCTCCTTACAACAAAAGGCACCGCTACTGCACGAGGAAAGCGGGAAGGGTGAAAAAGGGGCCAGCGTTCCGACTGGTAGAGAAGAAAGGGAAGGATGACGAGTGGAAGACCAGTGAAAAACCCCCCAGCGAGCCGCGTGTGATAGCGAAGTCGGAGATTGAGCGGTAAGTAAAGACAGCCAAGTACTGGCTGCCTGAATTAGCCAAGCCCCCCTTCCCCCTCCCCAGCAATCAGTCTGGAACCACTCACAAAGGAGGAGGGGGGGGGGGGGGAGAAAGGGGCGAGAATATGTTTGGAATAACGCAACGCCCTAATCGTACCTTCAAGCTGTGCGGCCTGATCGACGCCAGCCTAAGGCGGTGGGCCAAAAGGAGGGGAGAAGAAAGAAGAATAAGAAATATAATAAGAAAAGGGGAGAGGAAAAGGGGGGGGGGACGGGTTGAGGGCATCGTGATCACCAGCAGCTCTCCGTCCTGCCTGCCTGTATCCACTCCGGCTCGGCCGGTGTCTGGCCTGCAGTTGAAACTTGCCGGAAGGCTTGGGTTTCCATATATCAACAGAAACAATACGTTCTTGTCTGTCCGGGGACTGAGGGGCTTTCCCCCCCCCTGGCCACGAACGGGAAGGGTGCAGCAGAAATCCTATGCGGGATATGACTCCCAGCCAGCCAGCCACCTTGGCGGCAGAGGCGCTCCAGGGGTTTCATGCTCACATTATACTTTTTCAGCTCGTGCCCGTTCATCGTTGGGCTTCGACGGGGCCAATCTTCATACACGCACGGAGCACCTGGCGGGTTCGTAATTTCAGCGTGTTTCTTAGTATGTTTCTCTTATTGCCAGCTTGCATGCATGGACAGCAAGAGATACCAAGTATCATGTACAATGCGCATACGTCGTCGCATGCAGCAGCCAAGGGCGTCTCTGCCCTTTTACACTAGCCCCCTGAAAGTGTACCTCTTTTTTCCCCAGCCTCCTTGCCTTGCTCGCCGGTTTGGTCATTGATAGTACAGACTTATGATAAAAGCTCGCTTGTAAATGCCATTGATTGAAAGGGTGAAAGAAAAACCAGACCAAAAGGAAAGGGAAAGGAAGGAAAAGAAAGAAGAAAAAGGAAAAAAAGGAAAAAACCATAACGCTACCAGGCCCGTGGAGGCACCAGATTTGAGTAAGCCGGGACGTGTCGCTCCTATGCCAACGCCAATCCTGTTACTCTACTATCAGAAGGATAGCGGTAGTAATCATCTTCTTCTTGATCTAATGATATCTCGTGCATGATGGAAAGGTGATGCGCCAATGCCCATGCCATGCCATGCAAGTAACGTAGGAAAGATAGCCCCCATCTTTACCAATTTCCATTATCATTTTGTTGTTCCGGGTCGTCAGCTGACTCTCTGCCGAACAGTGCAAGGATGGACCTCTAGCCCTGTCTCTTGCCATTATCCTTGCCGTCGTCGTGCTGAGAGCTTGCACTGCCATTTCTTGGCCTATCGCCACTTCGTGACTTGTCCCGCTCCAGCAGCAGTGTCAGCTGCGACTTGGATCTTCCCATGGGTGGTGCCGGGGCTGGATTGGGTTGTGTGGGTGTGAATCTGGAGTCCAGGACTGACGTCTTTCGAATATCTGGCTCGTCGGCTCCCAGGGGCGGGAGGTCCTCGTCGAAAGGTCGTGCTCGCGGCGTCTCAAAGTCGAAGCCTCCCTTGACGGCGAGCTTGGACATGCCCACAACGCTGGGGGATTTGAAGCTGCCCGCTGAGACTGGGCCCGGGCTCATCCGCTTCGGCTCATTAGACTTCAGTCGGACCATAGCTGGTGCTGCACCGGTCGCATGCACGCTGGATGGCCTTCGAGGCACGTTGCCTGCCACACGTGTCTCCTCCGCCTTCTCCTTTGTGCTCTCATGGTTCCTGCCAAGACCCGTACGCTGAGGTGTCTTGCGCCCTGTTGCGCCATCCAGACTGCCAAGAGACTTGTTACTCGGAACAGGAGGCGAGTTAGACAAGACGGTTGTATCTGCTGCTGGCTTCTCTATGGTCGATTTTGCGCATTCACGTGAAGCTTCGGTGCTTGCCTTCGTTTTCTCTCCCTGAGAAAGGGGGGAAGACGTCCGCTTTGGAGGTTTTGCGTTCATAACAGTGCGAAGCCCCGACTGCTGAGGCCCTTTGGCCGTAGTCTGGTTTGTTGGTTCAGTTTCGACAGCTGGCAGCTTGCCCAGCTGTTTAGCAGAAAGCTGTGGCACCTCGGCGGGGGACGTCAGTCCCGACACTGCCTGTCTACCCGAGAAACTGTCTTCCTTGGATGCTGCAACAACGGACGACTGGTGGAGATGACTTTGCCTTGGCGTGGGAGAGTCCCCGTCCTTTACCGTAGTGTCGGAGCCAGCGGATCCCGTAGACGACTGTGAGCTCTGTCGACGCGGCAGGACAGGACGCCTCTTGAGTGCGTTACTCGATGCGACGAACTTCTTACCCGCCGCAGACTTTCTCTCCGTCTTGGATGGAGATCTGGTCCTGGGCGCGGAACGGGCGGGGACACGGTTCTTGCCTGTACTGTCCGACTGGCTTGCCCCGTTGCCGTTCTGCGGAGACCCGCTACTCTGTTGTGTAGTCTCATCTTCTTCTGAGTCTGGCACATCGACGAACCGTGCTGTTGGTCTCGGCCCCGAATTGGAAGGCCCCCTAGGCTTCTTGAGGATCGGGTGAGATGGCGGAGGTCTCGACGAGGATGGCGCCAGACTCTGGGGTAGTGGCATGCTTGTCTGGGCTGCCTGTGCTTTACTCCGTGTGTTTCTCGGGTCCCCATCCAGGGGCTGCTCCGACCGGTCGCTTTCGTGCATGCTTTGAGCATGAGGAATCTGCTCCACCGCGTTAGCTACGAGGAAAGATGGCTGCAGGGCGGCATCCGAGGCTCACTGGAGGACGGCTCAATGGCGGTGGCGGCACCGGTGGTCCCCTGAGGGGAACTGCTGTGGGACCAGATGCAATCTGCTCCCATAGCCTGGCGAGCGTCTTTCCGCTCAAGTGCCTCCTGTCGCTTCCCCAGACATGCCACCAGAAATTCTCAAGACGACACGCGGTGGGGTCTTGCAGTTTCTTGTACATCGAGGTATAGGCTGCCGGGAAGGGAAGAAAGGAAAGTCAGCATGCCGTATTGATATCTTGCATAGGGGACCATTCGAATTCATACCATACCAATGCCGCCGCACATCTTCCAGAGGAACGACAGGCAGCTTGGCAACTTCGACATATATTTGAGGAGAGTCAAACAGGAGACCGGGTGGCAGCAACATGGCCAAGACCTCGGCGATTTCTTCGGCAGCCATCTTGGAAGAATATGGGTTGATGCTTGACGGGCGAGCCTGATGATCGGTGGCTTCGATGAAGGACCGTGTAGGGGCACCGCTATCAGCCAGACATGATCTGCGAGGTCCTAAGATCTTCCGAGGAAAAAGAGAGTCTCTAGCGCAGGTCTGTGCCCACTCAAGGCCAGAGACGGCTGCTATCGTGCAGGTCAGGTCGGTTAATAGTGAGACAGGCCGAGCCTAAATGGAATATCGGACGCGGCTATGGGTCTGACGCGAGCTTTGAAAACGAGCCGTGTGAATCAAGAGATGATCTTGATTGGGGGTGTGGCGCAGCGTCCTCAACATGCCTCCTCGAATGGATGGGTGACTGACTGACTGACTGACTGACTGACTGACTGACTGACTGCTAAATGGGTCGAAAGATTGGAATCGCAGGCGGAGGGCAATCGATGCGTGATGTCTGAGTCACCTCGAGGATGGAAAGATAAAGAGGAGAGAAAGAACTCTGGCACAAAGGGGAAGAGATAAAAGTATGGAGGTGTGCAGTGCAGGAGGTGGTTGGCTGGCTGTGATGCAGATAAATTGCGTGGGATGCGAGGTATCGCGATCTGAGTAACAATGATGTAATTTTGGCTGCCTCGCCCTACACCGCCGGAACGAGGAGCTCAATTTAGATGGTAGGGCTGGGTGTCGTGCATTAGAAAGAGAAGGGGGGCCTGGCTTGCAAGTTGGAAAAGAAAAACCAAGGAAGGAAAGACCAGATCTGTACGGAGACGCCGACGCGTAAATTGAGTAAATGACGGGTCGTGACCAAGGTAGATGGATACAGAGCGACCCTAGACACTAGTAATGAGAGAAGATGGGAAGGATGCGGTGTAGAGTGCGTGTCCAGGCTGCGTGCTGAGAGATCGTGTGAGTGTGAAGATGTGTGTGGATGCGTTCTTGCCCTCTTTCTTTCCTTGTGTGCGTCAAGAAATGAGGGCGAACGGCGCATGCCCGATTTGGCAATCGACTTATACCTTCAAGCCGTAATGGCAACAAAGAGGCGTGCAAAGTTCTGGTGGTATTGGAGTTGACGTCGTTGTTCGGTTTTCTGAGAAGTGACAAATTCTCTCCACTACGGCGAGTTGGTACTGTCAGTTTCAGATGTGGACCCTAGTGACTAGAGTGAAAGTGAGGGGAAAAGATGACTTGGTGCCAAAGCCCAAGAGAGCCGGGCAATATGGTATTGAGAATGCAAAAGAAAAAGAAAAAGAAAAGAGAAAAAAAGAATGTGTAAGGGGAGGGAGGGAGTGAGGTAAATGTGTGTGTCTCTCTGTGGCAGAGACAAAGTAGCAGGCCTGGCCTAAGAGAAGGGCGCTTGTCTATCTGGTTGAGGATACCAGGACCCAGAGCGGCTCATCAATGATCAATATTCTCGAAGGGCAGGGGCAAAAAAATTCCAGCCTTGGGCCTGACCATCCCCCACTTTTCCCACAGGGTAATCAGCGATGAGCTGCCGCGGGAGGTGGGCCGCTAAGAAGTCCCTAAAAGATCCCAGCGGGCAAAAGAAGCAGAGCCCCAAGGATCCACTGTATAGAGCAAGATGGGGGTCATGGCAAGGTATGGTGGTGGTTCTACCCAAGCTGTTGAGGGAAGGGAGGGGCGAAGGGGGGGGGGGTCGTTGAATGAGATATACTGAGCACAGGTATCACAGGGTTGCTGTGTTGTATCCTGTTCTGTGTCGAAGTCAACTACGGCCTCAATTCTCTGGTGCTAGAGTACGGTGTGCTGTGTGATGATACTATTATGGTCTGAACCTGGTGCTATGTACCATAAACCTTGGATACCATAGTACTTTGCACCTGGGAAGCAAGGGAGGTCAAACCCCAGCGGGCTGGAACCAGGAAGGTCCCTGTAATTTCACGGCCCCTCTACCCTTCGACCTCACTCAAAAGCACAGTCCAGTCCAAAGTCGACCTTCTTCATTGACCTGGGTCATGAGTCGCCATGGGTCGTCTATTGCTACCTGAGTCGGCTGCTATCTCAATCCGGTCAGAGTTGCTTGGGTTCCTTCCTATCCTTTCCTTTTCGTTTTCTGGTGACGAACTACCACCTTATTACAAGTCATGTGCATAACATGCGGAAGCTGCCGAGTATGGCCATCAGTTGAGACCCCAAGACCTGGCTATGCCAGGTACTAGGGTCTGGGAAGGGGTCAGCAGAGAAACCTTGGAATGGGCGATCACGGCCATGTACATGCTACAGCAGCAAAGGGTTGTCAAGATAATGCTACGTACTATAGTAAGTACCAAACTACTTTGTAGACACTCCCAACTGCTGTGGTCAATGGAAACAGACAATTAGGTGTGAGCACGATCCTGCTTTTCTTTTCCTCTGTTTTTTTTTATTTTTTATTATTGGGGGTAGGACGGGAGGAATATAGATAAATGAACAAAAAGAATGCCAAGTCAAAAGCAGGCCTGCCGAAAGGTCTTCTTTCTTGGATGTCTTCTACTACTACCGTTTATCCCGTGTCGGCGTGAGACTTCAGGCCACGATGCCATACAACAGATACGCAGTAGCAGAGACAGTAGCATGTACCATATACCGCATACATACTCCAGATCAAATGAGCTGAGGGGAAAATACTCCGCACCAAGGGAGATACTTGTAGATCGATCTACACTGTCACGGGACCAGGTATGCAAGTACGGCCAGCCATACTAGCATCCGCATGCAGGAAGTATGTACTCTGACATGATAATGCTCCTTCCATGCTACTTTCCCATCTGCCACTTTGAATCCCCATATGCAGGGAAGAGCGGTTAGCAGGCGGCTAGGAAAGGAAAAGGAAGGGAAGAAGTAAAAACAAAATCATACCAATAAATCATGAAGAGAGAGAAAAAAAAAGAAAAAAAGACAAAGAGGCCACAAGGACGATGATCCACCTGTGGAAAGCAACCACTTGGGTCTTGTACCATACACTATAGTAGGGAAAATGGGTACATCGTGACTGTCGAAGCCTGGGAAGGAAGGCAAGAAGAACCAAAGTGTGCCAGGGCGTGGGTTTCATTGGTGGGGCTTAGTCCGTTGTGTACCACACATAGTAACTAGTAGGTGAGTGGCTGGGTACCTGGACAGTAGGTACGTACCTGACATCGCAACTTCCAACCTCAACTCCATCCATCCTGCCTGCGACCCTCATCGTCATCGTCATCCTCCTCCTCTTCTTTCTCTCCAAACCTTTTCCATCGCCACGGTTACACCAGGTTTAGATCTGACGCTGAAACTGCTGAACCACCTCACCCCATCTCACATGACCTGCTCCACATCCAATGGCATCGTCATCTCATCAGGCAAGCCTCTGTACGTTTGCGCATCTCGCGTCCACTGGCGTCCCTCTGTTGCGGGGCACGACATTCGCTTGTGAGACCTGATCATACCGCATCCTTTTTCCTCATCCTTTTGATTCATCTGTCCTCTACCTTATAGCCCTTCTTTGGATCCTTTACAACCTGACTTCCACCTCCAACTTCTTTCCACCCACCGGTCTCGTCGGAGGACAGGCCTCGGCTTGAGGCTGCCGATGAACCTTAAAGTTTCACGCCCACCCCTAGCCTTCCGACCCGCCGTCATCAGTTACAATGGTCCAAAGGAATACCGAGCATGGGCGATCACAGCCAATGGCAGCCTGGCACTGTTACATGGTACTACTGCTTCCAGCAGCACCCGCGGCACGTCAAGTGCTGTGACATCTCGGCCGTAAGAGCTGGGTTCTGTTCTGCTGCTGGTCTCCTATATCAAACGAGCTGGCCAGAAGTTCTCTGAAACTCTCGCGGGGCGTGCCGCAGGATGAGGCCTCGGACATGCCCTATACCTGAAAAAACACCCCCCTTTGGGCCTCGACAGGTTGACTCATTTACAGCCCCCTTCACCTCGGCCGTTTATCATCAAGGGGCACCCCACGGTCAGTACCTAGTCCCACTCGGTAACCTACAGAGGAAGCTCGGCCAGGGAAACCACGGACCTCATCATCTCCCGTTTTGGAACGTCGGGCATCAATCGTGGTCAACATGGATATTCGTCCCACACTGGATGTGCTCGCTCGGAGCGTGGGAGGAGATCTTGAGCACACTCAGGGGGCCCCCCAGACGACCCCACAGGCTTCGCCAGCTTTTCGGGTCCTGTCCTGTCGGGCCTTTGCATGTGAAGGTTCCGAGCTCCTCCGGCTGCCTGCACAAGCGAGCCCGGTTGATCCCTTTTGCCCCACGTTCAGCGCATGCGCCCTGCAAGCACCTGCACTTCCGCGCATGGATTTGTTCTAGAATCCTTAGGCATTAGTGTACTATGGTACATATTTCTCCTCCAGACGGCCCGCGGCTTTACCAAGCATTATCAAGCAAGGTTATGGTACCCTGGCCTCGGCACGGGCAGGAGCATGGCAGAGTGCTGACTGACCAGTAGTGGCCGCACGATATCGCCTTTTTTGTTTCTCTATTCTTCCCTTTTCCCCAGGCAAATATCTCATCAATACAGACACGCGCTTCGACGCCGACCTGTCCCGCCAACCGGTGAAAGATAGACCTCACGAGGCTTGCTACCGGTGACCAGAGTGGAAAACAGCGCCGCCCCCCCCCCCACCTTGGACCAGACATGCCGTCACTACCCGCATCGAAGCCACTGTACACTGCTCTAGCTTCATGAGTTGTTCTTGTTCTGTCTTTGAGAGCTTTACATTGATCAGCTGGATTTCTTGGGCCCACCAACGCGGCACATAGCTTGATGCGCACATCTCTCTCAGCGCCAACCAGGTCCTGCCGGGAGCCGCTGCCTGAGATTGTAGCACGAGCAAACAAGGGTCATCTCACGTAACTATGATACTTCCTGTTTCCTAGTACTGCGAGAATGAGGAAAAGGTTCACAGAGATCAGCTCTCTCGGGATCGTCATCCACTGGGAGCCAGCCCTCGAGCTCTACCCCTCTTCATCTCACCTGCTTTGTATCCAACGGCGTGGCGGCTCCGCGTTCGGCTGCTACAGTCCGGATTTTCATGGTCCCGTGAGGCCATGTCTCACCCTGCTCTGAAACAGGCGAGGTGTAAGGCATCGTGAGCACAAGCTTTCGGCTGCGGCAGCTATTGATACTGCTTTCCTCAGGCCGGCGGGAGAGGCTCGACCAAGCAGCTAGGCCCAAGATCCGGCAAAAGGGTCCTCGGAAATACAAGCGCCAGCCTTGCCCGGATGGTGTCGTCTGATCAGTTCCTGCGCGGAGAAAAGAGGTCGTGTGACCCCAGCCCCCCGGCGAAACATACTTACTACTTACCCATTAATGTGATCCCAATTGGACAAACACTACCACCTGCATCCCACGCGAAAGGGCCGATCGTTTGAATCTTTGGGAGTTTCTTCTTGCAGAAGGCACCGTCCACACTTGGCTCTCGCTCACTTCAGCTTTGGGGTCCGACCCGGCAGCCTCTAAAATATTCCTCTCGCCATCAACTACAGATTTATTTTACCCCTCGAGTTTCTATTATACGATGGTGACTAATTAGATCGCTATACCCCTCCCCATCCCCCCTTCTTCCCCTTTACCCTCTAGGAGTATCTATCTCCTAACCATCTTTCCTCTTTTCCAATTTCGGAATGTGCCTCCATCCCGGCCAGTCTAGCATTCTGTGGGGGTTGTGGGATGAAATGGATGTCTATGAAAGGAAGAGGACTGTCACGCACGGGTTCATGCGGGTGTGTTGTGTGGTGCCACATGTGGTCAGTGTTGGCTCCTTGACAGAGCAGCATCTCCGAAAGACAGGCCTGTCAGGCCTACAGTGACAAGCGCTTGTATGTAACATGCCTGCATGGACCGTGCCCAGCAAAGGACGGGGTTGATGTACTGAAAATGGATCTCAAAGCCACTGAAATATTGTTTTGTACGTGTCTGGGAATGGGGTTCAGGCTTTCGGCAAGCTCAGCTAATCTGCAGGAACCATGACGCCCAATCCAGCCTGACAGCTTTGGCGTCAGCGTCATACACACGTCTGAGCGGGAAGAGGTGGTGTATACATCTGCGTCACTTTGGGGCCGACCATAAACCTACCGTTCCTGGATGCCACCCACCCACCCACAAAGCTTTGGCATAACGTGCCGCCCCTTGCATGTCATTTGCCTTTTTTGCCAGTCTTCCTTTTAAGAACAAACGCAAAGACCCCATTTTTCCTCTTGGATTTTTGATAGTCCTATTAATCCGCCGGACTTTATACCGCCGGACTTTTACATTCAGCCCATAGCCTGCTATTGGCAATACATTTCGGTCAAAAGGAGTTGATCATACTGCCTTTCAACAAAACCACCCCACGCGGCCATCTCTGCCTCCCCCCCCCCCCGGGTGGTGGAGAATGAGGCCATTTCTAGCCTGCATGACCATCTTCATCCTGCGGGAGGCACCGCCCTGGCCGTGTCTCAGCACTTGACGTACCTTTCCCGACACCAATGGAACTCGCACGGGACTCAAGTGAGTCTTGTTGGCCGGCCGCGGGGGTGGCTGGGAAAGGGGTAGCCATCGATTTCCATCTAGAGGGAAGTGGCCAACGAATCTAAGAGTCGACGGGTCTACTTGTTTCCCTGTCCTTGACGCTCTTCAGCGCCGGACCACCTCGGTCAAGATGACTGGAAGCGCTAGATGTTCAATCGACAACACTAATGTTCTTCAGCCGTCCAGAATCGGGGAGGTTTTGCGAGTGTGCACATTGCCCCCTGTCAATGAAGGAAAGTAGTCGCCAGCCAGAGTTCCGAAGGGTATGAAGTTGGTACAACCGACGTTGCGCTCCACAGTGCATCTGGTCACGCGACTTGGCCTGCTGTGATCAGCAGGATGGAGTGAGGTGGCCATTACCTGCTAACCTTGCCAGCCCAATATATTCTCCAATGATATACGCTCGCCGGCTGCCAGCACCAACTCTAGGTGCAAGGGTCGGCATAAAGGCCTGAGCGACCGGTGAAGGCACTGCTCCGCAGAACCGTTGGATGACCGTGTTACATTTACCCTCCCAGCAACACAGTTTGGACCCCACCCACAGCAAGACGAGCTGTCGAGACGGCCTGCTTCCACGTGGATATACGTCTTCCCTCTGCTTTTAAGGCCTGAAGAATTGCCGAGGGACCTCCAATGGCTCTCGCTCTGTATTGCTATTTTCCCGAGGTTGAACGGCCTCTCGACTGTTCTGATGTATACAGCCAAGAAAATATTACAGGGAACGGATTTCGGACCTGCGGAATTACACTCATTGCTAAGGTAGCTTTTGGTCTGCCGCCCTTCCATCCACTTTCATCTTGTGTTATCTCGTGTGAGTCTCTTGAGGGGGTCCAATATGGAAGTGAGTACGCTATCAAAGAACATAGTTAAGGCACGGATACAAGACAGACTTGTCAAACAAAAACATAGAAGAAGAAGAAGAATCAACTAAATTGTAATGTTGAAAATTCGTCCTGAATTGATAGAAACCTATCTGAAGCCCAAGAATTCCCGAGAGCCCTGGTTCAAAAGAACATAAAGTTGAACGAACTTGGGAATCTGCCTCGCCGGAACAAGGATGAGATGTCTATAACCGAGAGTTTGAACCCGAGAACACTTGCCCAGAGCTTTCCCGGTAAATATTCCTCACTGTCCTGTCACGCGTGCGTGCTTCACCTCGGATTCGGAGCACATGTGTTCTGTCTCTGCATATTGTTCCGTGCATAAATGGCTTCATATTTTACTTATGCCGAGGGCTATTGCGGACTTCTGCTCGGCTTATTTTTGGTCTTTCTTTTCTTTTCTCCCCTTTTTTTTTAAAAAAAAAGAAAGAAAATTCTGTGTGTGTGTCTATGTTTGCTGAGGAATCAATTAATTCATTTGCCGGTGATTACTTGTGAAGTTTGATCCCGCGCGGGTGCCTCAAGTCACCAAGAGCATCAATTCTCTCGTTCAAATGTCAGCCCTGATACATCAATGCCCGCCACCGGCGAAGGGGGGGGGGGGTCGATTTGGGTCTTGTCGAGAAGCTCAACAATCATGGCATGGCACTCTTTCCTCGTTTTCCTAATTTTTCTTCTTCTTCTTGACGAGAGTATTGTTTGGTCAACAAGTATACATATACAATGGCGTCCTACGACACAAGATAGGATTAGATTAGAAACCAGCCATCACATGGAGCAGGGAAACAAGCAGAATTTTACTTTTTTTGTTCTTTTTTTTTTTTTTTTTTCTTTCCTTTTCTTCCTTGTTCATTTCTCCCAAGACCATGAGGAACGGGCCTTCTTCATCCCACCGAATTCTCAGACAGGCAACTCAAAACGCCTCCTACGTCCAGGGCGTTCAAATGGGCGTGGGGGGTTTTTGGGGAGGGAGGGAAGTAGGGGGGGGTGTGGCCCTCGCGCATGATCACCACCCCCTCAGCGCGCGGAATGGGGGGATCCGGAGGGCAAGGTGCCAGCCACCTGGCGAATGGAAGTAGACTTTTGTAAAGACAAAGAAGAAGAAAATGAAAGGGAAGAGAGGGGGGGGGGGGGGGAAACCAGGGAAGAGGGCGGAGGAGGGGTCTTTAGTAGAGCAGACGGCGTGGATTGTGCACATTAGCACGTTTTGTTGTAATTACATGCTGCACGTGTGCTCGATCGTTCAATTGCAGTGCGTTATATGAGTAATTATTGTACCAGAGATCTTAGATGCACGTCATAGAATGACGAGTGTGGTAAAGAGGAAGGGGATTCAAGGTCAAGCTGATGTGTCGCATTCTTTCTCTAGAGCGGAACAACATCCCGTGCATCTCATCAACAATGACGGTAAACGTTTTCGGTGGTGAATTGTCGCGATATATTACCCTCCCCTTCCACATCCGCCAGTTCCTCAAGAATGTCGAGGACCAGCTTTTCCCACCGTCGAGGAATACTCATCACGATGATGATCTTGTGTGATTCAAAGTCAAAGAAGGCGTACCTCGAGATCCCATAATTACTTTGTAAGAACTGCGTTGTTCTGTGTATTGTTTGTGAAGATTCTCACTTGAACTACGTTACTTACGTTCACCATCCTGGGGCCTGAGTTTTGAGCATATGAAAGCTAGACAAGGGCGTATAACACCTTAGAACTCCTCCGATTTACAAACAAGGCAGCAACAGGTCTTCTCTAAGCTCTGAACCCACAGCACCGATATCAGCATGATCAAGAGTGACGAACGGATTAGCATTGATAACGTCCATAAGACTGACTGCATGAGCCACATGCTAGCTAGAATTTCCCTGCCGTCCACGAATCCGTAGATTGAGAAAAGAAAAGGAACAGGCAAACCCATTTTCCGTTCCGTTCCATACCAAACACCACGCCTTGCGCACTTTGTTACGAAACCCATCCAGATCTCTAGGAATGTTCTTGGAAGAAAAGAAGAAGAAGAAGAAGAAGAAGAAAGCATTGTTACCGCCCAGCCATCTCTGTACTCTGCCTCTTCTTGGGCCTTGACAGATGAGGAGGAAGGATGATAACGATGGTGCTGCCTCCACCCACGCCTAGGTGACAGTATAGCCACCATCAACACGCAGGTCGGCGCCGGTGACGTATCTAGAGGCATCTGACAACAGGAAGGTGACGGGGCCCATGAGGTCCTCGGGACTGCCCATCTTGCCCTGAGGGATGAGAGAGGTCCACTGCCTCTTGAGGTCGGGATTGTCGTTGAGAATCTTCTCCGTTCTGTAAGAAATGAGGATGATGGCCTTGGTCAGCAGGCAAATCATAGAGATAGTGGTCTCTCTTTGGGGTAGATGGGGCGGGGAGCCAAGTAGAGAGGAGCTTACAGGGCTGTGAGCATGTAGCCAGGCGAGATGCAGTTGACGCGAATACCAGCGTGAGCCCACTCGACAGCCAGAGAGGCGGCCAGGTGACGAACGGCCGCCTTGGCGCTGTTGTAGGGTCTGGAGAAAGGGAAGAAGATGATCAGTACAAGGGGCATGTTTTTTTCCTATAAAAAAAAAGAGAAAAAGAAAAGAAGGGGGGGAAAAAGGGAAGAAGATCGACAAGGGAAAGACTCACGCCTGAGGCTGAGGCACGTTGACGATGGCACCACTCATGGAGCCGATAAAGACCATGCTGCCCTCGGCATGGCGCTCCATGAGGTGGCGGGCGACGGCGGTGGCGAACAGGTAGGTGCCGTCGACGTTGACGGCAAAGAGCTTACGCATGCGCTCAATGGGGTAGTCAGTGGCCTGGAAGTTCTCGGTGAAGCCGGCCGAGGTGACGAGCGCGTCGATTTTGCCGTGGGCGGCGAGAATCTCGGCGATGCAGGCGTTGACGCTGTCTGGATCGCTGACGTCGGCGTAGTGTGCCGTCACATTGGGAGATCTGGAGGGAGGAAGAAGAAGAGTTCAGCCCGTGTCAGCCTTGTTGGCCCCTTTGAATACTGCTGGTGTTGCTATAGCTTGGGGGAGGAGGGTGCACAAAAGGAGGGAGACCACGTACCTCTTGGCTTTGGGATTGTCCTTCTTGACCTGGTCCATGATGGCCTTGGCCTGGATCTCAGCCTCCTCCTCTAAAGTCCGTTTTGTCAGCTCATCTCGCCTTGTTGAAGAAAACCCAATTCGAGCCCGAAAAAAGAGAAACTTACTGTTCAAGTCCACAATGGCCAGGTCAGCCCCGCTCACGACCATGCCCTGGCCCATGACGAGCCCAAGACCCCTCGCGCCACCAGTGACGACGCCAACCCTGCCCTCAAGCGAGAAGGTAGCGAGGGTGGGGTGGCGACCGGCGCCAGCGACGGGGACGGAGCTTGGCAGCTCGTGCTCCTCAGGGTACTCGACGGTGATACTGTCATCAGTACGCGCAAAGGAGCCGGCGTGCGCGGGCTCACTACGGTCCTTGTTGTTGTTGTTGTTGGACGCCTTGACGCGGGTGCTGGTGGAGAACTTGTGGTTGCTGGCAGCAGCAGCAGCAGCAGCAGCAGTGGTAGAAGGGCTGGTGAGGAGTGTAGTAGGGCGGCTAAGGGAGGAGGTGGAGGAGGAGGATGAGGAGGTGGTAGACCGACGACTGATGGTTCTCAGCGCGGCAGCAGCAGTGCGGTGGATAGACATCTTTGTTTGTGAGGGAGATGAGGTAGGGTTGTTGTCGATGTTTGTTGTTTTGTGAGGTCGAAGTCGGGTTTGGTAAGGAGGAAAGCTGTCGAATCAAACTTGGTGCGTAAGCAGCAAGAAGATGGGGCAAAGATTATGAGAGGGGAAGTGGGAGGAAAGCCTGAGCTGAATTCAGAGACAAAAAGGCGTCGGGGTTGAGGTGAGACTGGAGGGGGGGAGGGGCGGCCTCTGTCGACCTGCTGTGAACTTGTGTGCGTGTGCGTGTATGTGTGTGTGTGTTAAAGTGAAGTAAGAGAATGGGCAGCAGCAAACTTCACGTGACAGAGCTGATCAATAGAATTGGATGCAATGTGAGGTGAAACTCGATAGATTGAGAGACACTGTGAATGTGTGGTGGCACTGATGAGGGGGTGGAAGCTGGTTGGTTGGGCAGTAGGCAAGTTTACTGTTCAAGTGAGTGACAGGGACTTGATGTTTGGTTTTTCATATTTATATAAAAACTCCTCTAGGGCTGGATCTAATTGGGAGATGGATAGGATTGTTCTAGATGCGTGACGTGTCGGTGGAGGAGAAGGACAAGGAGGAGAATTGGGTGTAGACGAGGGTGTCTGTAGTCCTGACCTACGAGCGTGACCGGCGCGTGTTATTGAGTCTGGTGATGGACGAAGGAAGGATGAATGGGGACCTGGTAACTTAGTCAGTTAGGGTCACGATATGCATGGAATTGCATGGAGGCTTTTACTCCCACCACTGACAGGGCACCTACAGCTTATTTCCTTTCCTTTCTTTTTCCTTCTTTCTCTTCCTTTGCCTTGCCTTTGTCATCTGACTACCCCCCTCCCCTTTGAAGGATGATCGTTTACTATGTAGGTAAAGCATTGTCCAACGCCTTTTTGACATCACCCTGTGTAGATCCATAGCTGCCCCCCTCCTCTCCCCACATAGATTACTTTCGTAGTAGCTAAAACAGGTCTGACAGTATAATTGGGGAAGAAGAAGGGTACTAAGTAGGGAGGGGGGTAGAAACCAATCCAATAAAGTCAAATTCAATTTTTTTTATTAAAAATAATAACACAAAAAATACTTGCCATAGTAGGTGAAACCTGCCCGCAGCCCTAACTCTCTTCTTCTCCACAGCCCCCCCCCCTGCTTTTCGTCGTATTGCATGGGGGATGGGTCTCTCGGCTGCCAGCCATGCAGGCAACGCACGCTAGTGGGGTCCAATCCATCCCCCGTTGCTTCTGCAGCATTGCATGAAACATACAAGTAGTATGTACCATGAACAAAGTACTTTGTACCTCGAACCCCACACGCTCAAGTAGTTAACACTTGGGGAACAAAGTTTCCGAAGACAAGGGCCCTGCAACATCAGTTGGGTTTTTTGTCGAATTGGGCCTGCGCTAGGTCGACCCGAGACGGCCGACCTCGCTCGTGGCCACACACACAAAAACACACACACACACACACACACACACACACACTCTCACACACACAGACACACAACAAACCCACCGCTCAGATGCAGCCCAAGGGGGCAGCAGGGGCGGGATGCTGGGTCGGCCGGTCGGTCTCGAAGCTATGCGTGCCGTGTGTGCGTGGGTGCGTGGGTGCGTGGGTTGAGTTGTTGGGCTCACATGACGAGGGCGACAGAGATCCGTCGGTGAGATTGTGGCTTAGAAACGGGGGGCCAAGAAGGAGAAGAAGAGGTATCGTGAGATTATGATAGCCTGGTGCGCTCTTCTGATCATCTGGCTGCATGGCTCCAGACCCTCCTCTCGTGGTGTGAGAGCCAAGGACATCATCGTTACACAGTTTCGGACCACCTCTGCACAGTTGATAGCGTGCCATGTGTGCAATCAATCAGTCTTCAAGCCACATAGCACTCAAGATTTCCACGTCCATTCACAATACATTAAGTGTATATTTTTATTTCGTGCCAACAACATATTCTGTTCTCTATCGTATCCCGTGTATAGAAAAGGGACAGAAAAGAAAGGAGAAAAAAAAACCAAAAGGAAATGTGGCCTGGCCCAGAAGCATCATCAAAAACGTGAGAACATCGTCCTCCATTTCGCCCTGATGAGTATTGTGAGACAGCTGACCCCGGGTATCCAATAAGAAGAAGAAAAACCCACGTCCAGTGTTTTATCCCCAACCTCCCGCCTCACCCAATTATACCAATACCGATACATAATTTGCCGCCCCCCCCCCCCCAACAGAAATAGAGATATATATATGTGTATTTCATGTGACAGATGAGAAAGTGAAAAAGAGAGGAAACGTGTGTGTGTGTGTGTGTGTGTGTGTGTGTGCGCGCGCGCGCGCGCGTTGTATGAGGGTCCATGAGAACATCCCATATTGTGACAGTCTTCATCCACCTATTTCCGTCTTTCACAACCAACAGGAAAACCTCCTCACATCATCTCCATATACAATCAAGACCTCGCAGCCCATTCGTAGCGAAAAGAACATGGGGAGGTCCCACCAGGTCCGGCGCGAGGGACGTCGTGGTGGTGGCGGCGGGGGTGACGAGGGTTCGTGTTCCTCGCATGATGCCTCCTACTCGTCGAGCTTGAACATCCTCCTCAGTGCCCCAAACTTCTTCTTCTTCCTTCCCCCCTCCGCACCGCTCATGCCGTCGGCGCCCTCCGATTTGGCTGTGGTATTCGTAGACTGTCTCCTCATCTTGAACCCAGGCCGTGGCAGCGCCGACAGTGACTTGGCGTGTCTGGGTGCGCTCGCATCATCATCTCCGTTTTCGGCCTGCGCGTCGTGATCCTGGGCGTCCTCCTCATTGTGGTCGTGGTCAAGATCGTCTTCTGCTGCGTTGTCTGGCGCCTGGGCTCCGTCGTTGCTCAGCGGCCATCCTCCTCCCGCCGCCCGCAGCGACGCGAGCTCTTCGGGTGTCCTCTCCAGGCCCGTGTCGCGCCGTGCCGCACTGTCTGTCAGCCTGGAGCGGGAAATCTTGCCGCTGTCGCCGCCGTCGTGTTTCTTGTTGCGCCGAAGCACCGAGGACATGAATCCGCTCCGCCTTGAAGACGGTCGCCCCGCACCGGTGGCACCACGACCAGACTGGTTCTGACTGGCGGCTGCTGCTTTTGTTGTTGCTGCTGGCGTCTGTTGCTCACCCTCTCCGTCTTGGCTGGCGCCCTCGTCATCATCAGATAGCTCCTCCTCTTCTGGCAGCGGTGGGCTCGGTGCGTCGTCTCTGCGTGCTCGCATCGTCTTGGGAATACCGCCAGTCAGGCGTGATAGAGGCTCCGCGGCGGCGGCAACCACTGGCCGACCGTCTCCTTCTTCATCGCTCGAGTCATCAAACCGGCTCACGTGTCGCCGACGTGAGACGCCCTCGTCATCGTCACTTGAATCATCACCAAACCTCGACGTCCGCACGCCGCCACCACTCTTCTTCCCCTCCGCTGACGCCCGGCCGCCAAAGTGACCCGCGAAGCGTAGGTGTTTTGTTGTACTCCCCCGCCCACCAGAGTCGTTCGAACCCCGCCTTCTATGGGAGGACGAGGAGGAGGCGGCGGCAGAGTCTCCACGCAGCGTCGTGCGCATCCGTGTTCCCATACTGACCGGCGGCGATGCGCCCGTCATCGAGAGCCGGCTGCTGCTGGTGCCGGCGTGGGGCTGTCCGTCCACGGTAGGAGGATCGGCGCCTGCACTGCGCATTGTCTTGCGGCTAAAACCAAATCCTGCGCTGGCGGGGCGTGCGCGCTTGAAGCTGCTCGCGCTCGAGTCGGACCCGCGGCGGCGCAGGCCCAGCTGCTGATATTGTATGGCGCTGTCGTTCTCTGACACGGTACGCATATGCTTGCTGGAAGTAGTGGGAGAAGTGGCCATGGGAGCCATGCCCGTGGCTGGCTGGTACGACATGGGCCTCTGCTGCTGCTCTGGCGCACTAGATCTCATAGACTTGCGCATATGTGCACCTCCCGTTCTCTCGGCGACGGGCTGTGATGGTCTCGCCTCTGGAGAACGCATCGATTTTCGTAGACGCGCCCCTCCATCTGCCTTGACGACAGGCGCCCGTTGTTGACGCTGCTGGGCTCTTGCGTCGGGGTGATTCCTCTTCTTCTCACTTCCCAACACATAATCTTCTACCAGCCCCATCTTAGTCCCAGGCTTGATCATGTACGTCCGGTCTGAGCTCGCTTGGACGGACGCCGCCGCCGCTGTTCCTGCCTTTTTCTGTTGGTCGAGGAGGGCCTTCTTCTCCGCCATCCTCTGCTCTGTCGACTTCTTGCGCCGAGGCTTCTTCGCCGCCGCCGCCTGTTGGTGCGGCACGTCCTCCTCGAGATCACCCTCGATGCCGGCCTCCTCGACAGCTTCCTTCTCCAGCAGCGCACGCTTGTCGGTGGAGAGGCTCCTCCAGTAGGCCTTGGCTGCCGCCCACGGGTCGTCGTCATCGTCGTTGCCTGGCTCCATAACTGCCGGCAGACCAGGTCCTCGCGGTTGCGGTGTCGGCGTGGTGACGACCTCGTCGCGCTGTGGCTGTGGCTGTGCTTTGTCTGTCACATTGCTGCTGCGAGACGGTGGTGGTGTCTGGACGGCGGAGACAGGGCTGTCCACAACGGCGGCAAGTGACTGGAACCCATCACCGTCGACGTCCGAGAGGTCCTCATAGGCATCGCTGTAGACACTATTTCCGTCAGACTCCTCTCCCTCCTCGTCGCCACCGTATATGGGCTCGTGGTGGTCATGAAGGACCGGCTGGTGGGTTGCTAGGACCGTACTCGGCGTATGCGTTGTCGCCGTGGTGTCCTCTGCCTGCGTGACAGGCTCAAATGCGGCCTCCCTAGCCGGGGCGTGCTCATCATCGGTCGTCTCCGTCTCCGTCTCTGGAAATTCCCCCGGGAAATGAACAATATAGGACGCGCGTCCCTGCTGCTGCTGCTGCTGCCGCCCTCCCTCATGTTCGTGCTCGAGGCCAGGACTCGGCTGCGTGATCGAGATGGTTGGTGGCAGTGCTACTGCTGCGTTCTTGGTCTTGGCCATCGTATCGCGGCTACCAAAGTCCTTGACATCCACCACTGCGCCCATACCTTCTGCTGCAATACCACGTGCTGCAGACCCATTGGACTTTTCTGAAGGGAGGAGGTCGGACACCGCTGGGGCCACCACAGTCGACGCCTGGCTGATGTGGCTCTCCTCAGCGTCAAGCCTGGGCGTGTCAGCCAGCAGCGCGGCATCGTCGTCGTCTGAGCTGTCCGTCGTGTCTGCGTACCCGTCGCCCTCGATAGACGTAACCACGGGTGGCAGCGGCTCGCGCACTTTGGATATATTGGCGCCATTCCTTGGCCCACCTTGCTCCTGCTGCATGATGAGCCCGCCCAGGGCGTGATCGCTGGACTGGCCAGGCGGTATTGGAGAGCTAGAAGGCTTGCCCTCGAGGTCTGGGGTCGACGGCTCAGATGCCTCCAGAAGGGGCTCCTGAGGCCTGACGAGAGGACGCTCCTCCGTCGGCCTGGGCGACTGCTTCCGGCCCCTGATGCTGCCGAAACTGGGCAGTGCAGGGCGTGGCTTCATTACTTCGTCGTCCTCGAGAGGTGCTGCTGCTGCGTCCTTCTTCTTGCCTATCCCAAGTGTGTTGTACCACGGCCGCTTGCTATTGGTGGAGGAGCTCACAGCAGCTGCTTGTTGTGCTTGTGAGCTCGGCGGTACAGGGCTGTCCATCTCGCCATCGCCGGCAGCCTCGCCAACCACGACGGTGTTCTCATCGTCGAAGCTGACGCGGACAGACTTCTTCCGCTGCGGAGGGGGCGCCACCTCTTGCTGCGTCGTTGCATCGACGGTGGATGTGTCTGAAGACGCCTCGCCTGGAGGTGACGCACCGCGCGAGGGGCTGCGCTTCAGGACGGACTTGCGAGGCGAGAGGGACCTCGCTGGTGGTTCGTGCTTGACCACCAGCGTGTCTTGGACGGGGCCGAAGCGGGCAGTGCGTACGGGGCTGTTGGACTGCGCGCGGCGGGACTCACGGCGGAGGTGAGCCTCTGTGCCTCGAGGCTCGACATGTTGTTGTTGTTGTTGCTGCTGCTGCTGCTGCTGCTGCGCCGTAGTAGTAAGAGCATTGGCCGCTTGTGGTGCTGTAGCTGTGGTCGGGGCTGCTGCGAGCTCAACAGGAGCTGTGGGCGGCGGCGGTGGCACATCAGCAGGCTTGTCGTCTGTGTTCTCGCTATGTGGTGGAGATGGGACGCCGTGAGTATAAACACTGCCCCTCACTGGAACAGCATCCAGAGCTGCTGCGGCTGCGACAGTCGGCTGCATCGCAAAGGGAGCCTCAAGTTCGGCGTCTGAATCAGGCTCTGCCTCGTTTTCTTGTTGTTCTTCCTCTTCTTCCTCGCGTACCACCGACGGTCGCCTGTGCAAGCCACCTTCAAGCATCTCAGGGAGCGGAGACGGGAAAACCTCGGGCGCATTGGACGCAGGCGACATGGAGATCTCGGTATGACCAATGCGAGGCTCTTCTGCTGCCATCCTTTCCATCTCCAGCCTCGGTGCTTCAGGGACGGCCTCGAGGGCGGGTTGTTCGTAGACATAAGGTTCTCCCTCCTCGTCCTGCTGCTGGACGTAATGTTCTTGCTGTTGCTGTTGCTGCTGTTGCCGTTGCTGCCGTTGCTGCCCCTCCCCCTCGTCCCCTCGATGAGACCGGAGACTAGCAGCGGCAGCCATCTGTGCCTCGCTAGGCACGCCTCCGTCGACGACAGCGGTGCCGCGTGTCCGCCCCACGGTCCCTCTCGCGAGATGTGATCCTGCTCTGCTCAACATGGACTTTTTCTTGGGCTTGTTGGCCGGAGCCTGGGCCGGAGCCTGATCCTGATGCTGCTGCTGCTGCTCAATCGCCAACAATTCGGCCCGCGGCACCATTCTCCTAGAATTGGGGTCGTAGACGAGCGCCTGTTGGTCGGACGCGGCAGCAGACGAAGGACGGTTTGTCGACCTGGCGGAACCGCCTCGCTGGGGGGACATAGTTGAAGCCCTCTTCCTGGGCCTCGCCTGCGGGGGGGACGACTGTACGGCGGCGGCGACGGCAGCGGGGGTGGGCGAGGCGACGCGGATGCGGGCTGGGTAGGAGAAGTTGGTGGATTGTCGGCTCTCAGGGCGGCCCTCATTCATCATCATCTCCTGCTGCTGCTGCACCATCCAATGGTTCGGTTGTGTCTGTGTCTGTGGCTGCTGTGTATAAGACTGCTTCTTGGGTTGCCCTGATGGTGCTGGTGACGACATGACCGCGTCTGAGGTCCTGACGTTGCCCAGATCTCCAACTCTCGCAGCGCCGTACCACGACCCTGATGGTTCTTTGCCCTGCCCTCCACCAGCACCAGCACCACCAGCAGCCGCCGCCGCCGCCATCTTCTGCGATGCGGTTCTAACTGGCGTGCTCACAAATGCCAAGCTTTTGGGCAGCGGTGGGCCGTCCCTTGCCCGTACTGCTGCCATGTTTACGCTCTCTGGGATCGCCGGCACGGGAGGCGGTCTCTCCATCTCGATCTGGTACGGGTTGCGAGGCGTGCCTCCGCTGCTCAGAGACCTCGGGTGGTGGTGGGCGGTGTTTCCTGGCGACGGCGAGCGGCGAAAGGTCCGCTCCGTCATAGACCCAGAGCTAGACTGCCTTCTGAGGCTCAGGGAGGGTCGAGACGACGCTGGTAGTGGCGTGGTCTGGCGGCTGCCCGAGGAGGAGGACTGGGACGCGCTACGGCGATGGGTGCGCTTCGTCTGGACGTCGGCGACGTTGGTCGGGGTCATAGGCCGCGCCCTGAGGGCGGCTGCTGCGGCGGCGGCGCTGAGGGTAGAGCTGCTAGACTCGCGACGGGTACCGCTGAAAGCGGACAGGGCAGCCGATGCTGCAGACGGGTTGGTGGCAGCAGCAGCAGGGGAGGAGGCATGAAGCGACTATATACAAAAAGCAAAAGTGTGTCAGTCAGAAAAAAGGCATCAGCGTGAAAAGACAAAAGACACTGTTGTGCAACATGACGGAAAGAGGGAGGGTGTATAAAGAAGGGAGGGAGGGAGAGAAAGAGAGGAAGGGATGGGAGGGCATGTCGTCTTCGTTCTGTTGGATTGATGAAGAAGAAGAAAAGAGGAGGAAGCCGTGCTCTAGGCGAGAAAACATACCGGATTAGGCGGGCGATGCTTCCTAGACCCAAACATTTTCTAATGCGTACTACCGGATGGTGTGTCGCATGATGGACGATAAATGGAAAAGAGAGAGAAAGAGAGAGGTGTGTGCGTGTGTAAGTGGAAGAGGATTTCTCGTATGAAGAGGAGGGAAAAGGAATGTTGTGTCAAGGGAACCAGATTAGAGAGCGGAAGTGTTTTCAGCCCCAAGACAGCAAGAGACAAGGACCGATGATGACGATGGGAGAGGTTCTCTGGATCAGGTTGGTTTGTTTTCGGGAGGGGAGACGGCGCAACGGGTTGAAGAGGATCCCGCCCGTCATGATTTGTTAGGTACTACCTACGTAGCACGATCATATGTACTACCATGGAATTATAGGACCATGTATAGTATACCAAGAACCCAAGAGCCAACTACGGACCGTCCAGGCCTCGATGGGCCCAGTTGCGACGAACAAGGGGCAATCAATGCCCACTTCCCACGGCCGTGCCGCTGCCAAACCACCTAATGGGTGGATGAGGATCCCTTGTTGTCACTCTTCCTCCTCAATCCTCGTTCCCCGTCATTCTTCTCGAGGCAGCTGAAGGGCTTCCCAATCCGGTCGGCGCACGGCAGATGCCCATCCCACTGCCCAATGTAGATAGAGACACCCGACCAAGGAGGAAACAAATCGATTCTAGATCCATCTCGGTAGTACAAAGTACTACATACAATAGTAGCACGTAACCATCTGCCATCCGGAAAGACTACTAAGTAGGGGCAGAAAGCTAATTCTCCACTTAAATGCAGTACCACCTGCATGGGAGAGAGAAAGAGAGTCGTGAGAGCAAAGAAGATGCAGATCCACTCACTGGCTGAAGACTGGTAATCCTAAATTGATAACCCCTGCGAAATCTGTTAATAGCCTATTTAACCACATTAGGTAGATTACCAGCTGCTTTAAGTATTGAGGAGGTGATTTAGTATCGAGAAGAAAGCGTTGGCACTGAGAAAGCGTTGAACGGGAAAAATGCTCCAGCTATCTCACACCGCTAGCAACCAAAAAACAGCGAAAGCTGGCGCTATGCTTAATACAAGGTGGCGCCATGACTATTAGGCGCTTTAGGTAGAGATGATTTCCTAGAACCTTCACCTTTGGCCAAAAGACCACAACCTACGTCATTATTACATAATTTGTCGTTTGTAAGATTTTCATATCAAGACATGGCACATTTCCAGAAGAGTGTGTTCATTGACGAGAGATGCGTATAGAGGAAAAGACAACCCAAAACTCCGTGATACCAGCGTGTCGCATATGGTGATGCGTCCGCCGTCCGCTGCAAACGATCCTCCTGGTGCCGCTGGTTGTCCGATGTCTCGCTTAAGCATCTATCCACCACTGGCCTTCCCACTGACCACTGGGCAGATCCAAAATCCTGGGCAGAAGCACGCTAGCCTTTGCCATTGCTCGCCTCCACACCAGCAGCTCGGGCCCCGGAAGCTCGGCCGCCTTTGGTGCCACCGTTAGGCTTTCGGCCTGGTCCAGCCGACGGGCCTGGACCAGTAGCACGGCCTGGTACAGCCGCATGATTCTTCTCTGCTGATTTGAGCATCGTGGGCTCGGAGTCAAGCTCGTAGTTTCCCTCCGCTTCGTACTCGTCATCATCGTCAAAAGGTTCACTCTGCGTGCCCTGGCTGTGCGTGGTGGTCACTGTAGGGTGTACCTGGTGCGCGTCGTTCGCTTGGTTGTGCAGATTGTTATTGTTGTTGACCTGAGCTTTGGACGGCGCCTTAGTTTTCTTGCCCTTGCGGCTTCTAGCCTTGGCCTTCTCCCAGACGCGACGTCGCTCTTCCTCTTGCTGGCGAGCCTTTCGGTCCTTGATTTCGTACTGGCGAATAAGCGCATATGGTGGGTAGCCGAATATGAGCTCATACTCGCAAAACTCGCAGATCCAGTCGTCCTCGTCGTGCTTGTGACCGTGTAGGATGTTTTGACGAGCGGTCTCCTCGCGACGCTTGCGAGCCTGCTGCTGCAGGTCTCGGTCCGCACGACGTCGCTGTTTCCGCTCCTGGGTAGCGGACTCGGACGCCTGGCCCTCCATGCTGCAGTCGGAGGTGGGTTCTTGTGAAAAGACACCTGAACCAGCTGAGCCAGCTGAGGCACTTGAAACCGTCTTCTGATGGGACGGGCGGACACGGGGGTGCGGGTAGCTTCGCACTGGTGGGTCGTACTCGGCAGGCGCAGACGAAGACACCTTGGGACCAGCTCCAGGCCACGACAGAGAGGAGCCAGGAACTTGGGAGTCGCAGGTAAAGGTGAACTGGGTTGAGGAGGGCGTAGGCTTGGCAGGCGACGGCTGCTGCAGGAGGCTGGTGGTGTTCTCCTGCCCTCCTGGGGCGACGAGCTTCTCTGCGTTGGCGATCGCGTTAGAAATGATGCCGGTGCTTTGCGCTTGAGTACAGAAATTTTGTCAGTGTGGATTCCCACAAGAAAATCCCACAAAATTTGTTGCCTGGAAAGAAGGGGAAAGAGGTCTGAAGAGGGCAGAAAAGAGAAGGAGAGAGGAATTAAAGGAAGGAGTCAGAGGGGCGGGGGGGGGGGGGGTCGTCGAAGCACGGCTCGTCCTTCAGGAGGAAATGTCGAGCGAGCACCTGCCTCGGACGACAGAGAGAAGGGGGTTTGGGGGAGGAAGGCGTGGTCCTAGCTTACCTGGCTGAGGAGACCAATTCGAGGAGCGAGTCTTGGAAGCTCGTCCCACCCAATTGCCGCTCACCTCTGAGAGGGCCTGCAGGGGAGTTCTGCCAGTTCTCACCCTTCCAAATCGGCCTCGACCTGGTCCCGATATGTTCTGACCAGACAGCAATGAGCTTCCAGACGAATAATAAAGTGCAGAAGTTGAGCTCCCATTCTCGCCAGCCTTGTCTTGAGGGACTGCTGAGCCTCCCGGGATAGAGTGAGCATCATTCAAACCATGATCGCCCAAGCCATGTGCACCAAGCATTTCTCCAGCAGTAGGTATCTTTCTTTTCTTATTATTAGTATTCTCAAAGGATTCGTATCCATCTGCAGAGGAGGCAGCTGAGGGTGGAGGCTGTGGCGAGTGAACCTGTCTGGCAGGCTCTGGCCGCTGCAGCAGACGCGCAGGACGGCCCAAAGACTCAGTTGGAGGGCGGGGCACTACAATGCGTCTCGGCGACGTGCCGTATGATTCTCCCTCAGCCGAGGCACCATGTCTGCGAGAGCCCTGGCGGCCCGCAAGCTCTGATTCCCTACTAGAGCTCGACAAATCCTCCTCCACAATGCTCCCCTTCAGACTGCACGGGTATGAGAACAAGGCGGACGCCGACTGGGGAGCTGGTGGGTATTGGATCGAGTCGGCGACCTCAGGAGACAGTCGCTCGCGGAGACGTCGCTTCGGCAGTGGTAGAATGGGACGGTCGGGGCGCTCATTTTCGTTGCTTGCGGAAGCGGTGGTGACACGGTCGGGGGCCATGTCTTCGTCGTGGCCTGCCCGTCCAGAGACACAACCACACAAGGTTAGTCCATATTGAAATATGAGGAACAGTGAGGCAAGTGCACAGAAGACAAGTCCAATGTTCTGGGGTGCCAGAGAGAATGAAGATAGCTGCTGATGGTTCTCAGATGATGACTGTGATGCCGTCTCCGACTCCTCACATGGTAGGAGGACCATCTTTGCTATTGAGTATGCGAAACAGGGCGCTGATGAATGTGAAGGTGGGTAGGTTTGAGGGCAAAAGGCATTGACTGGAGGGAATGGGAGCAACACATGAATAGCAAATTGCCACGGTACGTGCAAGGTGACAATGAATTGCTGCGGTGTTGAGCGAGTTGACAGGGGATAGTTGCCACAAGAACGTCTGAGGGCATCGATAACAACAAGTGAAGGTGTATACTGACCTTTCACAGCCTCAGCACAGCTTTTGAGGCTACAAATTTGCTCCCAGCACACCCCGACACATCAAGGTCCAAAATGAGTGATGGTACACAGGACTGCTGTCCCCTCCTGTTCCCCTCAACAGCACCTTGGGATTGCAATGCTAATGCAGGTGGCCAAGGCAGTGCAGATTGCTTTGTGCGTGTGTGTATGTGTGTGTGCGGTGTTGATGTGTGTTGACGTGTTAAAAATGCTGTCGATGTGGATGTGGTCTTGGAGGGGATGAGGGGCAGGACCATGGACAACCCAGAAGGGATGCAGGTTGACGTTGCAGATGGGCAGTAGCAGGTCTGTCAAAAAAAGGTCAGAACAATCCTCCGCAAAGTAGGCAGTTCATCATCTGCTGAGACCAGGGAAGCAAGTGCGCCATGGTTGACAAGCATGAGGAAGGGAGGAGGAGAGAGCTCCAGACTGCCCCTCCCCCTCCTCCCCTGCCCAGGCCAGAGGAGCATCATTGAGAATTGCGCCAGGGAAAGAGTCATTGGCGCCCAACAATGGGCAATGGCTTGTAAGAACATAGATGGGGAGCGCAGACATCTTCAGGCTTTTGGGGAAGCAGACACAGATGTTGAGGACAATAAGAAAGGATCTTGGCTGACCTTTATTGTATCCGACCTCTGCTTTGAGGAGGATCCGCTTCTGCTGGTGGGAAGAAGCAGTGTGCTCTGCAGGGCAAGAATAGAAGCTGTAGAGGCCCCAATATTGGAGTCCTCAAGAGGACGCAAGGTGGAGTAATTGCTGTCAAGTTCCTGGGAGAGATGTAGTCCTTCCGGGTATCAGAATCGCAAAAGCGTCAGGTTGTTGGTGGAGGGGGAGGTGGTGGTGCTGGTAGAGTCGGAATGGCGAAAGTGGTGGTGTCGTCGAGTAAGGAAGTCGGTAGTGGTTCCCAAATGCTTGGTCAGACAGGGTGCGCTACACAGTACACACGAAATAACAGTCTTGAAAGGGTAGAGGGGATCCTAGATGCGTGTGGTTACATAAGCACAGCAGATGGGCGGGTGGTCATCATGGGAATTGGTGAATCGAGACTCGGGCCTGGTGGTCTTTCCCACCCCACCAACACTGCAGTAGAGTACCATCGAACCGCCTCTCCACCCTCTTTCAATCTAGTAGAAGAAGCAGAAGGGAAGAATGGGTAGTTGCGGCAGGAAAGGAGAGAGTACATCTTTCGTGTGTCTGAGCAGTATTATATCCCAAAAAACTAATAAAAATAAAATAAAATAAAAAAGGATATAATAGCTTTGTGTTTCTTTTCTTTGTCAAGAATTTCCGTACTAAAGTACACATGTCAGGACCTAGCAGCCTTTGAAAATAAACCCTATCATCCACTGCTTCACTCTTGTGTCCGATATTGCTGGGGCTTCGGCAAAACCTCTTCCAGCTGGCCCCTCAGTTTTGTCATCATCATCCTTGACTCCCTCTCGACTAATGTACCTCCAGGGCCCTTCTCTAGGCCAGAATATGTTTGGAGAACTCGGTTGGATTTCCCATGCCAACCCAAGTCCTAGCTGTCTTTTGCACACTCCTTCTTCTTCTCACTTGATTTTGGAAAGTATCCATCACTCAAGCCCCTGATCTCATCAATACAACATCTGCCCCCCCCCCCCCCAAAAAAGATTTGGCATCAAGCCATCAAGGCAGATCTGCACAAGTCATATCAGACATGCGCTGATAAGATCTTCACTCCTCTCCCTCTTTGAATCACAACGTCAACCTCAACAAGATGGCTGTCTCCTGTGCTGGCTGTGCCGGCGTGCTGGGCTGCCAGCTCGGCGGGGTCAGCACGCACACTCTCGGGCTGGCCTGCTAAGCAGATACCTCCACAAATATATTCTGCCTAGGCCAACTTATAAGTCCATCCCTATCACCTGGTCTTCCCGCAATCTGTCCCCCCTCTCCAAACCACACACACACAAACTCACACTGGAAGAGTCCAGTACAGTGGCCAGACCTTAGTGGACAGGGACAACAAGCCAGCCAGTTTGCGGCCATGGCTGGCAGAACCCCTCCCCTCTTCTCTTTCCCGACCCCCTCCTCCCCACCCCATCATCCTACTTGGCACGTGCTGGTTTACCATAGTACATAGAATGTACTAAGCAATTACCCTTGTGCTTCTTACTATTCACCCCATTTACTACTCTGCAGTGCAGCGGATCGAACCATCCCTGTTCTTGTTCCGAGGGTCCTCCACTTCTTTTTCCAACCCGGTACATTGGGATTGAGCCCCGATGGGACCTGAAAGCTGCTCTCCGCTGGTTGTTGCTAAGCAGGCAAACAAGCATTGGTTTTTGGCTCTGACCTCTGATTTTCCCACTCATCCGCCCTTCTTCTTACACAACAATTGCGCCACTGCAGCTTTACTCCTCCCTCCCTCGACGTGTTCCTCTTGTTCAGTTGTTAGCATAGTTGACTTCATTTAGTCTTTTGTCAAGGCGACACTCCGTCATGGTGACTTAGCAAGGCAGTCTTGCACCAGAGCAGCAAACCTCCTCCACCTTATCCTCCCGTGTCTCGGTCTAGAATCGACTTTCCCAACCAGCCCACCAAATCCTCGACCGTCTTCCCGCCCTGCCGTCCCCCCTTCTACGACCGGGCCTCGCGTTCTGCTGTTGCTCCCTGTCGCCCCTGGAGCTGACGACCTGACCATCACTCCCTCCCTCGTCTACGCGCGCTGGCTGCTCGCCTGAGGGAGAACAAGGCCAATTCTAGCGTGTCGCATTCTTACCTTCCCCTCCCGCCCTCCCGCGTCTCTCTCCGTCCTCCCTTCCCCTCTTAGCCCTCGCGGCGAGACATGGCAGGAAACTCTCCACCACGACGAAGTTCACGTGCCAGAACGGTTCAGTCACAATCCACGTCGCTATCACAACACTCGTCTGCAACCTCCAGCCTCTCTGGTCGTCCAGAGCGGGCTACCAGATCACTGAACAAGGCGGCCTCGCCCCAGAAGTCCTCACCCAGTCTCTCGGACGAGCCACCCGAGGAGTCTGTCGCCAGCACCGACGACATCCCTACACGACGCCGGCGCACGCGTGCCCAAGAAATCGAGGAAGGCCACGACAGAGCCCCCTCTCGTCACACCACCATCGAGATGGCCGGCGACCCTGACGAGATCCAGGAGGACGACGAGGCCGTGCGCTGTATCTGCGGCTTCGACGACTATCCAGGTGCTCCGCCTGCCCACGACGACAAGAAACATGTATCGAAAGATTCAATTGACGTCGGCCCTGTCCTGCCGTCCGAGATTGCAGACGACGTGGCTGGCTTCTTCGTACAATGTGACATTTGCAAGATCTGGCAGCATGGTGCCTGTGTCGGCATTATGAGTGAGGAGGCAAGCCCTGAGGAATACTTCTGTGAGGAGTGTCGCAAAGATCTTCACAGGATACACATGGCCAGCAATGGGTCAGTTTTCGTCTCCCTTCTCATCTTCCCCCGCCTTCCGTCGTGGCGTTCTCATTCGCCTTATCGCTCTCCAGGCCTACCCTCTTCTCTTACCCATCGCTCAATGTCCCTTCAAACCAAACCTGCCAAATGACAATTTACGTCTGTGCCGACAACATTGCTGACATGCTCGCGCGCAGACAAAAATACTCAACCTACCTGCCACTCGTTCGCCGAAAGTCGACCACGCGCTCCCGATCCCCCAAACACCATGACACAAAGGAATCTAGAGAGACTAGGAGCGGCCGCCAGTCCTCGTTAACCCAGGCATCCAAGAGGCGGTCTACTATGAATAGCAGAGATGCAGCTTACGATGAGGAAGAAGAGCTGCGCCGGGCCATTGAGGCAAGCAAAGAGGAAACCATCTATGAGAGTAGCGAGAGCAATCAGCGACGAACAAAGCGAGGTCGCAGCGATAGCGAAGAGTATGCTGGCTTCTACCCCGGCCGAGCACTTTGTCATACATAGCTGACCCTCTCAACAGGAAACCAGAGAGCGCCAAAAGGCAGAGGACCAAGTCCAAATCGCCTTCCCCAATGGAGGTTGAGAACGATCAGGAGTTGGCTGGCGAAGATTCGGAAGATGTAGTTAACAGAAACGGATCCAAGAAGCCTCGAAGTGGGCTCACACGAACCCAGAGCACCCAGAAAGAGAGGTCAGAAAGGGAAGAACGCGAGCGCCAGAGAGCAGAGGCGGCTAAGAAGCGCAGTGGTCGAGCAGAGCGCCGGCGAGCTGATGGTAGCACACCCGCATCTACGATTCTTGTGAAGGGGCTGGAAACTCAAGTGGATACAGATTCAGACCCTTCAGAGGAACTGCCATTGGCATTACGGGCGGCAGCACATCGGTCGACAGCTGAGAAGGCTACGACGACGGCGGCGGCAGCAGCAGCAGCAGCAGCGGAGAGCAAGGCGGAGGCTAAATCAGCGCCAGAACCTCCTCCTCCCTCGTCCCAACCAGCTCCCGACACTCCTCCCGCGATCGTAACGCCTACCTTGAAACCGAAGCGAACCAAGAAGAAGGGCAGAAATCAGTATACCAAAGACAGGGAGGCGCGTGAAGAGACATCTCCTGCACGATCTCAGTCCCGCGATGCCCATGGACACGACGGCGGGCACACGCACCATGGCCGACCCGAAGGCTCGTCCAAGTCACATTCAAGGGCCAAAGGTGGATTCAACACCAAGGTATCCATGACTGACCTGAGACGCAAGGCACACGCCATGCTCGATTACATCTCTAGGACCCAGATCGAGATGGCAGGGGAGATTACACCACCCAACGACGAGAGCCGGAGACCGAGCGATAACACAGCGCCATCATCAATGACAGAGACTGCGACATCCGCAGGCGAGAAGCCATCGTCGTCTCAAACTGCCACGAACGGCAACTCCGGCAGATCCACGGATGCATCCAAGGACTTCAAAGATCTTTCTGCTATAGAAATGATGGACCACTTGACCAGGGATTTGGTCAAGTGGCAGAAGGAGTTCGCCTGATGAGCCGATTCTATGCCTACAACTTCATTGACCTGGGCGTCCACCCACACAAACCACAACTCTAACTGGAAGGAGAAATATGTGCTGGGCAGGATAGTAACAGTGGAAGGGTAAAAAGAGCGCTCCAGAACACGCCAACAATTCTTGAGGGAGCAGGGGCTTGCCCAATTCTGTGCTTCACGAAAGTATCGTGAGTTTATTATTATCTATTTTCTTACGAAGCAACGCTTGGAACCTTGGAAGACATGTTATTTTTCCTTCTTTCCCCGAGTTTGCGGCACAACCTGGGAATGTTGATACCCGATGGCGGGATGATACTCCGAACCATGGCCCAGGCGTTTATGATTAGGTACTATGGGTTGAACCTTATGTTGTTCTATGGCTACATTTTGTCGTCAAGTAATGCTCGCAATTAAAAGTATCCGGTTGGTTATAAAATCATTGTCTTCGTTTCTTCTTCGTGGACCAATGTTATTTGTCTGTTGAAATAGCTGGTGTTGGCCATGAACATTGAAGACAAGGGCAAAAGCAGAGAAAGTTGTGCCGTCAATTCATTATTCAACACTTACTGGCATACTTTCACCACAAGCGAACAGGTCATCCTGAGCTATTTAAAGTGACTTTTTGTAGTGATCTGGATCTGAGACGAAAATGGGCTTGAAAAAGGGAGGAAGAGGGAGTGGATGGGCTTGGAACCATTCATACTTAGATAGGCACCTACTTAAGTATGCAATCCAAATATTGAAGTCCTCATGGTTTATGAAGTTTGACATATAGTGACTGAGGAGGTGTCAGAAGAGCTGGATAGACTACACCTGATGTTGAGCTCTCTGGATGCTTCTCTTCTGCGATATTCCACTTCTCTCCTCAAACCCTAGAGGCAACAGCTTCCACTATAACTCCACATGCTGGCACTAGCTTGGACAATCACGACACAGCATATAGGTAATACTTAAGGATGCATAGGAAATCTCGCTCCATAAAGGTTTCATCATTGGCATCAAGTAGTTACTGCTTGGAACTACTCCCCACTCTCACTCCTCCTTGATCGACATTATCTCAAATCTAGACTTTCGATTTCCATGCTATGCTACAACAGCCTTGACTGTGATCTCGGGAGAATCACAGTGACTGGTCAGAGAAAAGATCTCTTCAACCCAGCCTAGTCCTTCGACCGGGACTGAAGGTCTCTGTGTGCTGGGGGGGGGAAAACCACTATTCGTCAGCCCTGTTCCCATGTTCGCTCTCATAGGATAACTCGTCCCCTGCACAACAGACAAGATAGAGAAGGATATGAAATTTAGTCAATGCACATACATATAAGCACCATCACACACTCCTGTATTACTAAGAAGCGCAGAAGGGAGTCGGGTAGCCGGCCGGCCAGACGCAGAGGTACCCAGCCGTGTCAGAGCAGCTGGCGGCCTCCTCCCAGATGCCGTTGCTGCAGACAACGATGAGGGTGAAGTCGTTGCCGCAATTGTAGCTGCCATCAGGGCTGCAGGAGGTGCCAGTGTCGACCTGGGCCAGGGCGGTGGTGGCCAGGACGGCGAGGCTGGAGAGGACACGGAGGAATTGCATGATGAAAAGATTTTTTTTTTGCTTTGTTGTGTTGTTTCTGTCTTCTTTGAAAAGAGTAGATGTGTCTCTGGCAGTGCGATGCTGATGAGAAGAATTGATATGGAAAGAGTTTGAGCAGAGTATCTGTGCCCGTATTTATACAAGTCGCTTCAGAGGACGGTTCCGATGTCCAAGCACGTGGTCTTGCCTTCTCGACGATCGCTGATACATTGTGTGTCTTCTTGATTCCATCGTCCTTGGTTCTTTTGTGAATAGTATCTTCTTACTGTGGCAGTTCTCTGTCCGTCTTGTCCCACCGAGGAAGTTGATCTGCAATGAAGTTCCGAGGGCCTTTGCGATCTCGATCATGTATAAAATTGTTGTTGTTGACTGGATGGGTCCAGACCGACAGACTACGCACATGCAGTCAGTTGAGACACTCGGCGACGATGACGATGACTACAGGCCCTTTTGTCAACACAAACATATATGTGTGGTCTTTTGGATGCGGCATAATACCGACTCCCGACATTTCCGGAGTTGATGTTCTAATTAGTCTCTGAGTCCTGATGATCCTACGTCTCATTGGGTGCTCTCTCATATGACTGTGCAGATATATTGAAGCCAGTCAGGCTCTATAAAGTCTCCGAGAGGCGGATCGTGTTCAAAGAAGACACCCACAGCCTTGAATCCTGGATGGTTCTACTTTCTGACATTCATGCCTGCTTGGACTAGGGGCTTGTGGTGTATCTGGGTCATGTTGTAACGTTTGAGGGCCTGTAACAAGTGTCTATGTCATCGAACCACTCATCTCCATTTACTAGATTCAATTTGCAGACATTGATTTGAGACTCAGTCACATGTAGGCCGACAAAAGAAGAAGGCGGGATAACGTTGAGATGTTACTGTTCCATCGAGAGCCAAAAGACCATACATACTACTTACCTGCAGTAAGCACAAAACATAAGCAATAAAACATAAGCAATACGGAGACCGTGCCGTTCTTCTGCTTCCGTTATTGGCAAGCATATGGAACATAGGCATACTTTCTTCTTCTCTTTTGGGCTGGTTCTCGACGATCACGTCGTCTCCGGGGGCCGTGCCGTCCAGTGTCGATGGTATACGCATTGGGCTGAATTTCACTTACGTACCATTTTCTCCCTGCGTTATAAGGCCGCTTACGGGGCTGTAACAGTCTGACCTCAGGGAAGAGGCGTGCTCGGCTTGGGGAGGCTGTTTGGGTTCTGAGGGGTGGGTGTGGTATCGGTCGAGATCCTCCGCGGTAATGCGAAGAAAGTCATGGCGGCTTTGTCGATGGAAGCCTTCCAAGAGGGAGATCAGGAAGAAAGAAGGAAGCGGGAAAAGAAAAGGGAAAAACCTCATAATATGAGATGAGAGAAGCTCACCATAAAGAGAAAATTGTAAGAAGAACATGAAGAAGAAGAAAGAGAACGCTTTGGGTTGACAGTCTGGTGTTCTTCACACGCACACGCACAGGGGGGCACACCAGCAAAAGATCATAGTTGCAAAAAGAAAAAGAGAAGGGTATCATTTCCTCACAAGCTCTTGCCGGCCATCTCACTTGGCTAGAGTCTACTCTGTGTCTGCTTTGCAGCGTTCCGCTCTCTCCTCTGCTCCTTATCCCTCTTCCTCGCCTGGTTCATACTCAATGGTGGCTCGAGACTTCTCCTTTTGGCCTGTTCCAAACTCGTCTCGCTGACCTGATCCAGCGCAAACTTGCCCAACAGCCCGTTCCGCCACCTCCTGACCACCCAGTCGGCCGCTCCCTCCAGGAACTCCTCTGACCCCTTCACCAGCTTTCCTGTGCGCCGCGCTACACCGCGCAGGAACTCGTGGACATCGTTGGTCGGCTCGTCGCAGTAGAGGCGATAGGCCTGGCCCGTAGGGTCGTAGCGGTTGAGGTGGTACAGTAGGTAGTCAGCGACGGTGACCCATGAGATCAGGCCGTCCTTGACGCAGCCAACGAGGGCGAGCTTGAGCATGGCCTCGGCGTCGGAGACGAACGGGACAAACACTCCAGGAGTGTCGAGGAGGAAGACGCCCTCGGAATCGTCGTCTCCGGCCAGGATGCGCACAGGTGTCCCGAGTTTCCTGGTGACACCGGGCTCGGCTCCTGTGCGGGCAACCCTAGAGGCGCCGCCCGGGTTGGGCCGCCCTTGAGATCGCAGGCGGTTGAGGAGAGTCGACTTGCCGGCATTGGGCATGCCGACAACCAGCGCACGGAGGCCCGTGAGGCTGTGGTGGTCGTTGGATATATTTCGGACCTCCTTGAGGAGGGTTCTGGTGTCCTTGGTCTCGGTGCCGGTGCCGTGAAACAAGACGACCGTGTTGAGTTCGTTCTTGTGGAACTTTTCGAGGGCCTGTATGATCCTCTTCCCTTCCTTCTCGGCTATGAGGTCCCGATGTGTGTAGACGATGATACGAGCGCGACCCCCAGCGCCGCCCATCATTGAACTTGGGCCCTGGTTCCCTCTCTGGCGGAAGTCTGTGTTGTACATGAGCGAGGACTCTAACATGGGGTTCCATGAGGTGAGTGGGACTCTCATGTCCCGACACTCGATGACGAGGCCAACATTGGAGAGAACTCGGCGCATACGCGAGAGGGCCGCATTGTGATGGCCCAGAAAATAGGACCGGACTATGGATTGAGATACATCAAATGTCTGCCGGGGGAGAAATGGGGAAGATGCTGCTGAGGTGATAGTGGCGGATGTAAAAGCGGTTTTGGCAGCATTGGCGGCTGCTTCGATCGTTGATGCGGCCATCTCGGGGAGCCTCTCCCAGGCTCTGAGCCCCGTAAATACCCTCATTCAATTGAAAAGTGTGTTCCCCTTGGCCTCGTTATGCTCATGACTGCTTGGGGCTGTCTCGATGTTTCTCGGTCAGGTTGTGGGCAGTAGCTGATTCTGTCTACATAAACCTGGGTAAAGGCAAGATTAAGTCCTTCAAAATTATAGATAAATGGGACAGATGGTACCTGAGTCTTTGGGAAAGTATGAAGAGGATGCAGAGAAGAGGGGGAAAAAGGTTCGTGGACGGGACTCTCTTCAGGTTGTCGTAACTTTAGAAGGCTTTAGTGAGAGTCCTCTAGATTGAATTTGATAGTCGTCGAAAAGAGTACCCCTAACCCTAGTCATCAAGTTAGCTCTCAATTCCCCCGAAGCGTCTCCGTTACGGCACCGACAACAAGCCCGACCTACGTCACAACCACTTATCGCTTATCGCTATCGCTATGGCTTATCACTATCAATCTACTGCGCAAGTGCTTCTGTAGTTAACGCTACTAGTGTGCGTTCCACGCCGGCCTATTCTCCGTACTACTTTACTTACCACTTTGCTATTTACAGCCTTTCGGAAGAGGACATCCATCCTCATTTCTTCTCCCAGGGGCCTTGCGTCAAGCCAGAGCTGCCACAAGAGAAGAGCCACACACTACATGATGGTTTCCATCCGACCAGCCCGCTGCCTAGGTGCAGCATTCTTGCGTCCTCAGAACACCGGTGGTGCCTTCAAGCTCGGTGCCCGGTCCCGCGCTGTGCCCGTTCGGCACAAATCCGGCCCTTACGGCTACACACAAGCTAAGGCCCTGGTCTTCTCCAAGCCAGGAGAGCCGGTTGATGTGTTGAGGTGAGTCTTATCCTCCAGTTTGGATCTCCCAGGTCTCTTTTTCTCTCTCTGATGGAGACGAGAAGACATACACACACAGAGAGAGAAAAAGACTGACTGAAGACTAATCAAACCCCTTCCAACACACAGCCTGCACACCCACTCCATCTCCCCCTCCCTCCCCTCCTCCTCTGTCCTCGTCCGCACCCTTGCGGCCCCCGTAAACCCAGCCGATGTCAACACCATCCAGGGCACCTACGGCGCTAAGCCCACCTACACCACCGTCCTGGGCACCGCCGACCCCACCTCGGTACCCGGCAACGAGGGCTGCCTCGAGGTCGTCGCCGCCGGCACCAGCGTCCGGAACCTCAAGAAGGGCGACTGGTGCATCCCCGCCGCCACTGGCTTCGGCACCTGGCGCACACACGCCCAGGTCGACGACGCCGACACCACCCTGCTCCGCGTCGACCGCGCCGGCCTTAACCCCACCCAGGTCGCCACCGTCTCCGTCAACCCCTGCAGCGCCTACCGCATGCTGCGCGACTATGTCGACCTGATCGGCCTCTCTGTGCGTGCCTTTCAGCGCGACGCCGGCGCCGAGGGCGGTGCCTGGTTCGTCCAGAACGGCGCCAACAGCGGTGTCGGCCGCGCCGCCATCCAGCTCGGCAAGCTGTGGGGTCTGCGGAGCATCAACGTCATCCGCGAGCGCGAGGGTGACCCTGCTGCCACAGAGGCCCTCCGCCAGGAACTGCTCGACCTCGGCGCCACCGTCGTCGTCACCGAGGCCGAGTTCACCGACCGGTCCTTTGCGGCGCGGCTAAAGGACGAGATCACGCGCAAGGGCAGGGACCCCGTCATGCTGGGGCTGAACTGCGTCGGCGGTAAGAGCGCCACCGCCGTGGCCAAGTGTCTGGGCGAGGGCGGCACCATGGTCACGTACGGCGCCATGTCGAAGCAGCCCGTCATGCTGCCGACGGGCCTGTTGATCTTCAAGGATTTGCGGTTCAACGGCTTCTGGCTGAGCCGCTGGGCGAATGAGGACCGCGAGGGCAAGAAGCAGACCGTGAACGAGATTCTGAGCTTGATTCGTGACGGCAAGTTCAAGGATGCGCCCGTGGACGAGGTGAAGTGGGACTGGGACACCGAGGCCCATGTATTGAGGGAGGCGGTGCAGGGCACGCTCGGTGGGTTCAGGGCCGGCAAGGGCATCTTCGTGTTCGGTGATACATAGAGAGAAGGTCTTGCCGCTCAGAAGCCAAGGGAAGACAAGACTTTTCACAGTGTACAAAACAAAAACAAAAAGAGGAAGCGCGCAGAAATGCTATGACAGCGAGCATGTATGGTAATTTTGAGGTCCAACGACACCAACGGCGGGTGGGTATCAACATTTATTTATCCCCTGAACAGAGCACCATCTCGTGGCCCCTGGGCCCCCCAGGAGACGTTCTCCCAATCTCTAACTCCGAACCGTTCATCCAAAAGCCCTAGTAGAAGAAGACAAGAAGAGTGAATAAGAAATTAAGTCAAGGTACAAGAAAGAAGGTTCCCACAGGACTGCTTGCTTGGAAGACGCCTCGTTTAGGCTCTGAAAGCCTGCGTCATCGCATGGAATCGATCAATCATGACGCCCGAGAACGCATACAGGTTATCATCAATGACCCTCGCGAGATGGCGCAGCGCGTTCTCCTCGTTCAGCTCTAGCTGCAGCCTCTCCTTGACCTTGACAACCGCCTTGTCCGGCTCGAGCCTGATATCCGGGATGTTGGCATCCACCATCAGGCTGAAGAGATTCAGGATCAGGTTGCTCGACTTGCGCAGGGCTGAATATGCCAAAAAGCAGTATTGCTTGAACTGGTTGTACTGCTCGCTGTTGGTCCCGCCCATGGCCTCCACCATCTCGTTGGAGATTTTCATGGCCGGCGCAAAAGGCTTCGGATCACGGCCCAGAATGAATCCAAAGTCTGCGTGAAAGAAGTGGCCGTCCGGTGCCAGCAGCAGGTTATCCAGGTGGCGATCGCCCACGCCCAGGATGTATGTGATCACGCAGTACCCTGCGCATGACCTCACAAACGCATCCATGGCCTCTTTACGGATCCCGAGAGGCGCATTGTCATCTGGATTATTCTGCTTGAGGTATGTCAACGCCACCGGGCCCTTATTCTTGTACTTGGTCACAATGGCCTGGAGGGGCATCGACGGGATGAACTGTGAGAGTCCTGCACTGGAGCTCGTGGCTAGAATCCTATATGGTGTGAGCTTGAGGTCGAGGTTCTCCTTCAGCAAGAGCTGGTCGAATAGTGTGATGATTTGGATCACGAGCTGATCCTGCCGCAGATCGTCTCCTGTCTTGAAAATGACGGGGTAGGTCGACCCCGTTGTGGTCCTGAACGCCACCTTGATGGGATGCAGCGATGATTTGAACACGACTGTCTCTTGTGGAGCCACACCCACGATCTGTACGGACGGGTCCAGAGGCAGGGGTAGCGGCGGGTCGATGGTGACGAGCTCATTCTTCGGATCTGCAAGGAAGTGCTTGACGCGATCGGTCCTCCTAGGAACCGTCTCGTTTGACAGCTTGATCTCCGTCGAGATCTTGGATAAGATGGCGATCCATTCGGCCTGCCGCAGCAGAGTTTTCCTCGTCTCCTGGCCGTCAGGCTGCTTCACAAGCTCGGCCATGAAGTCATATGCAATCTTCTGGAACATCTTTCTGACCTCCGGTGGCTGCTCGTCGCTGGTATCGTCGCACTCCACCATGACATACCAGTAAAAGTAGTTACCTAGGATGAAGTTGCTGACTGCGCGGCTTATGAGAAATCGAGCGAGTGACGAGTCTTGTATTGCATCCTGGTTCGAGTCAGTCGATATGTGCTCGAACTTGAGCGCCTGCACCAGCTGCAGCAGATACAGCAAGAGCTCATCGTCGTCTGCCTTGTGAAGCCGCTTCACAGCATAGGCCCTTACGGCCGTGTTGTCGAAGGTCGGGCCGAGTAGTTCTAAAGCGTCGTCGACATCGACATCGGTCCATTTAGCGAGCACTTGGACGGCCTGCTTCGACTCGCTCTGGTCTGTCCAGTTGACAGACTTGACGAATTTAGTGAGAGCTCGCTTGTCACGGGTCAGATGGTATCGGAATTTCCACACCAGGTCCTTCTCCTCGGGGGACAGTGGTTGTGTCGGCGAATACTCCAGGATGTTGTTGAGCTCGTCTCGGGTCTTCGCGTTGGGCTTGAGGTCTTTATCCATGATGCCGTGTCTATGTTGACTTCTCACGAGCCTCCTGTGCTTGCTCTCTGCCGGGTTGTCACGGTGGCCAACTTCTGGATCGTACACCCGGATGAGTCGGCCGCCGACTCCGTCCGAGTCACCCACCCCGTTAATACCGGGGCCATACATGACTTCGGGCGGGGGTTTTAGCTGAATGTGGGATTGCGACGCCGACATGTGCTGTAACGAGGATATCGGGGGTGGCGGGTACTCGTGGTCTGCGAAGACGACAGGGAAATCGAAGCGAGGTAACTCCACGTTGAGTGTGAACTTGGAAGGCCCAGGGCTCTGCTCCACCCCGTTCTCAAGCCTGTCTGTCTTTTCATCCTTCCTGGCGGCTGTAAGCTCTTTATGCGCCCGTGCTCTCTGCAGGTCCTTCACTGAGGTCCTGGCAACCTGGGCATTGCGCTTCTCGAACCCTCTGAACACAAGCTGATCGAGCCATTCCACTTTTGGTATCTCGCCCATCTCATGTTTCTTGAAGAGAACTTCCATGCGGTCCATCTCCTCGGCATCCTTGTCCACGATAATGGTCTCGTCCCTCTTGCCCGTCTTTGGTTTGTCAGGCCGCGCAGGAGTGGTTGTATTATCGCTGCCATCGGCAGTTTTATGTCTGTGGACATGGCACTTTTGGCGGCCCTTGTGGACCTGATTATCCTTGTCAAAGAGAGGTAGGGTCGTGCCTCCAAAGGGGATCGCATGGCCTTGGGCGTTATCGCCACCAGTCGGAGAGAGGTCCCAGATCGTGATGGCGAGATATGAGTTGATTGGAAGAGTCGAGTAGTTGATCGGTAAGGTAAGCCACTCGTTCCATCTCCTCTCGGTTCGGAAGGCTTTGTATGAGGTTTGTATGGGCACAGTCAGAGGTTTGGAACCAGCCCAGACCTGCACGGTAACATATAGATCGGAATGGGGGCTTGTATTCGATCCTATGTGACGAAGCTCGGGTTTGTCGAGAAGCGTTGAAAAGAGAAATGGGGCCTCGTCGCCATCAAGATTTATTCTAGTCCAAGTATCTCGTCAGCTACCTGCAGACCTGCACTAAGTGACAAGATGTCGACTCGCCGTCCGAACGTACATGCGGATCTTGACGGGAAAGTGCACTGTTTCCGAGCTCGCAAACGAGAACGGCTCCATCGTCTGTCGCCTCGCCATCACCAGGCAGGCATGTCATGTCGCGGTAGGCAGACCAAGGAAAAGGGACGAGTTGTGGTTTCTCACTACCTCGAGAAGCGGTGTGGACGTTGAGTGAGGTTCAAGAAATAAGCAACAAATCTTCTACCATATGTCGTGCTACGTAGTAGCTATACTACCGTATTGTCGGAGGCGTTATAGCTCATGGCACATGCGTCGTGCTCGACAAAGCAGGCAGGGAAGCAGGCACCCGCCCCCACTGAGCGTACCCTTGCTCGCCTTGATAGGTAGAGACCCCTGTAGACAAACCCCTGTGGCCACTACGAACCCCCTCCCGCTCCCCATCCCAAACCCACTATATACTTTCAATTAGCGACGCGACTCAATCTATCACGACGCGTCTCAGTACTCTTCTTTTCATCATCTATCTACTTTGTAGTTGAGACAACCGAATTCCACCGGGTTTTAGCACATCAAGCCACCAAACTTCTTGTATATTCTTCGATTATCCAACATCCTCCCCAGACCTGGGATCAGGCCAACTAAAAACATGTCTGCCTCATCCTCAGACGATGACCTCGAGGCCTATGACCCGGACCAAGATCTGGCCGAGCGGCGGCAGATCCAGCGGGGCATCCGCGCTTTGGAGCGTGACATGCTGGAGAAAGCCGAGGAGTATCTCGTCCCAAGTTCAAAGCGTATCGGGGAGACACTCAAATCTCTCAACGAAATTGCGAGCAATATCAAGCAGACCACCGAGGCTGCCATCGACTCCAGGGCCCTGCTGACCCTCGTCGACCTTAACCACCGCAAGCTCCAGCGCATGACCGCGGGCCACCTCAGCACTGGTGTAGACCCAGACGAGTTCGTGTCCAAGTGCATCACATACATGCGCAGGGCCAACGGGATCGAGGACGACGAGAATGAGGAGCTCACCTACACTCAGCGTCGTAGGAGGGGCGGCCCTGCTCTGAATGGAAATGGTCATGAGAATGATGGGAGTGATGATGACGATGATGCTGGTATGGATTACGAGGACGGTGCAGCTGGTGACACGTTGAACTGGTCGCACCTGGGTCGGTATGCGTGTGTACCGGCCGGGAGGAGACCACCGCTATCAGGACACCTGCTCGGTCCGCTGAGCGTGGAGAAGAAGACGCGCGAGGTCGTGGTTAGATCGGCGCCACTGCGGCTGCGCGACCTGCAGGAGGTGCGGCCCCAGGTGCTGAACACCGAGGATCTTTCCCAGAAGGAAAACGATCTGACGGCAATTTGTAATCAAATTCTGAAAGAGCTCAAGCGTGCGCTGAGGACCGCCATATCTGAGGTGCAGCGGGTTCATCAAGACGATACGATGGATGACCAAGACGTTGTGGCGGCCATGGAAAGGGTCGGACTGACCGAGTCTGGCAGCCTCGACTTGGTACGATTCTGCATCAACCCAAGGTCTTTTGGGCAGACAGTTGAGAACATGTTCTACGTCAGTTTTCTCATAAGAGAGGGAATGGTAGAGATGAAATATGAGGAGAATGGTCTTCCATCTCTATGTAAGTGTGATTTTGATCCCACAAGACGTCCTTCCCTGCTGGTTGGTCCTAATTCGACCTGCCAGGTCCGTCCGAAGCAGCCGAGCGAGAGACGCCAAATATCCCGAATAAGAACGCAATGAGGCGCCAGGCAATCATGTCCATCGATATGCCGACGTGGAGGGATCTTATCACGACGTTCAACATTAAGAAGTCAATGATTGAGCACCGTTATGAGGCCCAAGACCAACCCGGAGCTCGAGGGTGGTACACTTGATCACACCTGATCAGCTGCATCCAGCTCCACCACTTCTCAACAGATCCGAGATTGTAAACGTGGTGTTGACACAAGACGTGACTAGAATCTTGACGGCATTTTGGCAGGCCAAAGTATGGATGGGGTCTGTTGATTACTCTGTGATATACCTGAACAGGCCAGGGATGACTGAATTGATTACTCGGGCATTGTGCGCTTGAGATAGCCATTGAAGGAATCGCTACATATTGGCTTGGCTCCCTTATCACATGGCCAGCCTGGGCCATACTGCCAGCACAGACCTGTGGCTCGTGGCTCATCTCGGGTCGTGTCCAGCCAAAGTAAGTCAGTCCAGTCTACACAGAAGGCTACAAAGGCTCATGTATTGATCTGCTTTAATTCTGTTGTATAGTGTGAAGATTGTTCATTCCATACAGGAGCTTACCGCAGACAACTTAAGTGAATCAGAGTCTGTAGTGATCAAAGAAACGACAGTCTGCCTCCAACATCACACTGGCATCACTGCAACAGTGTCGCCTTCACAAATTTCCAGCAGAATAATTGTTGTTCCAACCCTATTTACGAGACTCTTTCTATTTTCGGGTCACTTTCTATCCATTCTTCTTTCTTCCTTGGTAAATATGGTGGTTCTTTTCACAAAGTTGCGGGAGTTTCGGGCGAGTTGGTTCAACCAAAATTATCCCTTTGGATCGTAGAAACAACAAAGACTTGACACTCCACTATTCCTCAAGCCTCGCCGTTTCCGTCAGCTTCTCACTGGAACACCACCGCAAGTTGGTGACCCTCCTTTATTCGAATACATCGACGAGCAAAAATACAAAGACAATGGAAACTTACCAAACATACATTTAGTTAGGGGGGTGTCGGTGGGCCAGGTGGGGGGGAGGCTGGTATGTCCTCGGCAGAATGGCAGACCAATGTCGCCGAGACGGTTCTCTCGATTTGTACTGGAAGACTACTCTGGAGACTGTTGTGAATAGGGGAGGTGGACTACAAATCACCAAAGGCACATTGGTAACGATTCAGGAGGCTCAGCATCAACAAGAAGCCTTCTCATCACTGCTGGTTTTACTTCCTTCTTGAGAGAGCCTGGCTTGGGCAAAACTCCATGTCAAGATGGCCGATCAAGACACCAATAAGCACCAAAGGCCACGCGCCTCCTCTCTATACAGTCCCCGGGCTGATCCGGACCGACCCACAAGCTCTGGCAGCGCGTCAACACCCTGGACGAGGCGCATGGAAGCTTGGCGGAACTCCAGGCCTCCGTCGCGATCTGGCATAGCAGACACAGGCAGCGCGCCACACACCCCGCATAGTGGGAGAATGTCCCTCGGCGGTTTCTTGTCGCAATACAGCCCATTCGGTCGGCACACCGACGTGAGCGGAAGCCCATCATCACCAGCGCCTGTGAGGGGCGGCATGAGTCTGTGGCAAGAATTGAGGGAGGTGGATGAGTCTGAGGATGCTATGACTCCGAGTGATACCAGAAGTCCTTCACTAAAGGGCAGCGATAGTCGATACGACCCCCCCAGACTGCGCGATCCTTCTGCAACGCTCTCCTCTGAGGACCGATCGCCAGCCATCGAGGCACAAGAGACCGAGTTCGTCAACCCTGCCAGCGACGTCCCCCTGCAGACACATCGAGGCGACCAACCGCGGGCGCCGACAGAACGCAGCAGACGAACACTACCGGCCTTACAGCGTACACTCAGCGACGTGAACGCCGCCATGACCCGTGCAATGACAAGCCGCGCTACCATGCTGAGGCCCCTGCTTGACCGCCTCCGCGAGGCTAGGCTGTTCACAGACATGGGGTCTCTGATGGACGTGACGCTTAGAGCACAGAGCAATTTCAGGCCTCTGGACATGGAAATCGTCGAGCAGTTCGCAGAAAGATTCATTGAGGATTTCCGGCACAGACTCGGTCACCCAGAGGCGGGGCCTGTTCTCCCCGTGGAGACACGAGATCAAGTTTTGGCCGAGATGAACGCCTTGGGCATAAGGATGAGGATCCTCATGACGGAGGTGGTTGCGAGCACCCTCCAAACTGATGCAGATACCATCCGGAGTATCTGTGTAGATCTTAATCGCTGCATTGGCGTGAATGCAAGCCGGCCCGGAAGCGCAGGGCGGGCACGGGCACGATCCGACGTTAGAACACCGGCTTTGACACGCAGGACGTCACAAATGTCGACACTCTCTGGGCCAGAACGTGTTTCTAGCTCGCTGAGCAGGTCGCTGGATCGCGAGCGGCTGTCTGCTATGTCGCACGCTGAACTGGTCGACTTCACCCTGGCGCGAGACCAAGAGCAGAACGATCTGCTCGACGAGATGAGAGATCACCTGGAGACGTATGAGGAGCGCATGATCAAAATCCAGGAGGAGAACGACACGGCGCACGAGGATATGTTGAATCTGAGAGCTGAGATCGACTTAGAGAAAGCGAAGGTGCACGAGTTTGGCAAACATGGCCTGGACATCAACGGCAACAAAGTGACTACGCCACAGCAGCGGGATCAAGAGCCTCGCGATCATGGTACAGCTCGCCTCGAGCCGAGAATTCGCTCTCGTTCGCCTCATAGCCAAGCACGGAGTAGCGGTAGTTTCCTCCCTTTTCCTGATCGATCAGCGTCGCCGCAAATCCTTTCGACGCCTACAAGGGAGAGAATCAGCTCGCTAGCAGCCCTTTTGGACGAAGACAACGACCAAAGAGAACAAGACTTTGCAGGCCTTCAAAGGATTATCGCGTTGCTGAACGATGAGGATGATTTGATCATAGGCTTCATCGACAGAACCGCTCAGCGAGCCGCCCTGTCAACCAGGACTGTTTCCGAATCGGACGCCACGCAATCATCCCCGGAGGTCTCATTGCATCGTGCGTCCACCAGCTCCGCCGCCGCCGCCGCTTCGGATGATCTGACAAAACAACAGCTTCAGACACGCCTCCGAATCGTGGAGCAAGATCGGGATGCGCTTCAACGCGAGAGAGACACCCTCTTCGAACGAGCGACTTGTAGCCACAGTATCGATGACCTCGGACCTAGAGACCAGGAGCGGATCGCTTTTTTCGCTGAGCGGGCATTAAGTTTCATTGATAGGTATCTGAACGACTTCATTCGGTGCAGTCGAAATCTGTCCCTATTCTCCAGGGTTGTGATTGAGGTGGGCAGGATGGATAAGGGACAGCAGACTTGTAAGAATGAGCTCCAAGCTTTGCTCGAGACCAACACGACGATCTCGAATCTGAGGCCGACACCGTATGAACGTGGACCTCAAGGAGATGGGCGATTCAACAAGCTGGAGGCATACCAAAACGCCTGGCTGCCTAATGTTGAGGAATTCTTGAATCACTTTGTCAAACTCTTTGATGATGTGCAAAGTCTGACCGCGAAGGCTCGAGCATGGGATCTTGCGAATCCTAGACCTACCCCAAATGATCAGCCAAGCGAACCTTCGGTGCACGACAGCGTGCTGAGTGGCCGCAGCCCGAGCCTCTTGTCACGCGCAACATCTAGTATCTCTGGCTTGATCTTTGGTGCCGAGGATGCTGATCAGCTATATGGATTTATTTCTAGAGACGCAGAAGGGTCAGGTACACAACAGCATCCTCACTGCAACGGCTGCGAGGCAGCCGTGGCATCCCCTGCGGGCATCTCCGTTGGCACATGCGGTATGGGCAACGCGGACGAACAGCAAAGGGAATCAGCCAGATCCCACAGCTCTGGTAGTTCTCGCGTGAGCTTCGCAGATACTCAGGGCCAGCTACCTATCACCACGAGCCCTCAATTTATTCCCAAGAGTATTCTCAGAAGGTCTTCTGCGAGGCCTCGGTCGCTAGATATAGGCCGTGCTAATCTGAGCCGACAAGGATCCAAGTACGCGGCCACAGGCACTCCGTACCCGTTTTCAATGCCGGAAGGCCATGCTGCACGCTCCAGCTCTACATCCTTGCTAGCAACGTTCAGTTCAGCCAGGGACCAACAATCAACTCGCCGCATTACGGACCATGATACCGCTGGGCATGGAGCGGGCGGGCCAACAATTGTTCAGCGGTCTGCTGACCTTGAGCGGCCGTCCTCCATGTCCCAATTCCCCGGAGGTCTGAGGTCCGGGGGCCTGTTGGGCCTTATCAGTCGGAAAGAATCATATAGGGCGTCTCGCGGGTCTGACTCTCCGCCTACTACAACTATCTCGGAGCAGGGCAACTCAAGGTTGTCATATCCAGCCTCTTATCCTGGGCCGCGTCAAGTACCGGCGGCTGCAGCATCCCTGGTCGAAGATTCTCACGGTGTGTTGCAGGGCTCACCCTCATCTCCACCGTCTCATCTTTCTTCCAATGAATCATCCTCCGGGGCCTCTTTCTACAGTGCACCGGATCATGACGCCGACAGGAAGCCTGAGGGTAGATTACAGGATAGAAGGAGGACCGCAGGCCAAGACGAACCGGAAGCAGGACCACCACAAAAAGTTTCAGCTCACGATGCAAGCACTCCTGCCCAAAGATCGACCTTTGAACAACGGAATAGTCAGAATGGCGAGGGAGCCCCGGAGCCTCGGCCTGTAGGAGAGCAGCGCGAGGACGGAGGCGCTGGAGGTGAAGGCACTGATGAACAGCCTGCTGCGCCACAGAAAGGTCAAGAACGAGCGGCCGAGACTCCAGCCGGACCGCGGACCCCTCTTGGTGATCAACCTCGCAGACAGTCGGGGTCTAAACAGCCTAGCAAAAGCGATGGGAGTAGCAGAGGAAGACGCTGGAGTGAATGGTCGGATGCTTGGTCGCCGCAAGCTCATAGCCCTGCACGCGCGCCTCGACCCAATCCTGAGTGGCAGTTTCTGCGGCTGGTGTCGGTTTTGTCCAGCTGGCTCACCTATCGGCAGCTTTTCAACCTCTGGGCCATCGTCTGGTTTCTCACGGTCCTCATGTGGTCCTACCTGAGGGTGGCTCTGGAGCTGCTGACAGTAGGGGTAGCGAGGCCGCGTCGCGTACGTGTCTTGCCGGCAGAAGAGATGCTGTCGCTGGTGCTGTGGTGCATCATCGTCGGTCATTTGACTATGCTGGTCGCGATCGGCGAGGAGAGGAAGCTGTGGCTGGCCGCCAACCCCACGACCGCAAGCTACCTCAGGGGATTGAGATACCGCAGGGCGTACCCCTGGTGGTCGCCGTACGAGGTAGATTTTGCATTCCTTTCCCCGGCCATGAAATCGTGGAGTGTATGGCTGCATCAGCTGTACTTCCACCGTGGTCTGGGGAGCTCAGGTAGCTTCGGGCCTGTGACCAACATGTCACCTATGTGAAGCTGAGTGCGAATATTACTTCAAGTGGAGGAGAGACGGGAGTGTTGAATCAACACGAGAGTAGGGAGGAACTTGTCTTAACATAGCGTCGTCAATTGCACTGTACAGTCTGTCACATGCTTCGCCTATGGTATGGTTGTACTATCAGTGCCCTCACAGTCTTTCGACAACCCTTTACCGTTCCAGTGTCCTTTTGGACCGGTCGTACCGAAAGGAGTCATCACCGTCAATGTAACTCTTTACATTCATCAATACAACCGAAGGTGATGGTTTCAAATCGTAGGCCACAAATGATAGTCCGAGCTCGAGACCACAGTAAACATCTGGCTCTCATGATCGCTGCATGGTGATGCTCCAGCAAGAGGTCTTGGGTCTGGGGAACGTGATGAATGTCTCAAAAAGTGCTCGAGAGCCTTGGTTTAGGGGGGCACGTGGACTTGCTTGGCTTCTACTAAGCTACCTCTGACCATCTACTTAGTGTAAGATTACCCCACGATCTGCGGGCCATCATCTTGGTGCTGGACGCTACCTCTGGTCCAGCCAATGTACGTAATATCCACCGTAGTAGACAATTCAGCAGTATCTTCCAACTCGCCAGGCAACAGAACAGTGTCCAGAATCCACTGATGATGGGCATCCAACTCATTGAGACGATGAACCAATCTACTGCACTGTAGGCACAGGATTGGCCCTCGCGAGGGGAATGAACAAGGTAAGGGTCAGCACGGCAGGGCACTCGATTGGACTCGAGAATGCCATCTGTAACGACAATGGGCTTCTTAGGTTGGGGTGGTGTGGGGGGCCCACCCTTTATCCCATCCAAGAAAGGACCCTTCTTGCATAATCACTGCAGCACAGCGAGAAAGAGCGATAATGCTGCGTACCCAGTGCAGGTGGTACCTGATGTGGGTGGGGAACTGATCGCCGTCTTTCCTCGCCGTCGCCGTCGCCACGGGCAGAACATCTGACAGCTGATCACTGATAGGTGGTGGTGGTGGTGGTGCAGTTGACTCGTGAATCCCTATCTGTATTCTATTTGATGTTTGGTCCGTTTTATCTTGCATCAGTAAGTACTTACTTAGCTATCTTGAATCGGGGTATTGTGTGGTCCCGTGCTTGTCAGCCTGTACGTTGTACTATGTACAAAGAAAGGAAGAGACAAGAGACAGAGAGGCGAACCTTGACCAGTCAGTCAGGTCGGTCTCCACGCTGCGGCAAGGAAAAGGGGTGGGAAAAGAAACGGTGAATCTTCTCAACTACTGTAGTACAGTGTCAACTATCCAGGCAGAAGAAGACAGGAACCACGTTGATGTGCATTTCAGCTATGATACTGCGGTCAAGACCGACTGGTACCAAGTGTTGTCCTCCTTCTCCTGCGGTCTTTGTTCCTCGGCTCCTTTTCATTCACTACGACATATGGACCACTGAGCACGACAAGTACTTACTTACATAGTCGATCCATAGCAAGTACTTTCAGTGCTATGGTAGTATGTCGTTCCGCTTTCGGACCCTCCGTCCCAAGAGGTGACTCCCTTCTCGTGGTGGTATTCAGCCATGTCAGCAGACCAGGCAGAGAGAGGAGGCAGAGCGCAGAACGACCAGGCCTGCCAGGCTATTGTGGCTAGGTACCTCGTAATCTCTCTACCATAGTAAAGTGCTGGCATCATAGGTGGGTCCCAGAGCTCCTCCTGGCCCCACCAGGGCGAGGCAGGCGCCAGCTGTCGTGACTCTTCCGTACCCCGGCCGGTGCTGCGACAATAACCCCCAGTGCCACTTCCAGTGCTGCTCCTTCCCAACAGCAGCGCTATACCCCCAGCGCCCATACCCCTACCATGCTGCCCATAGCACTATCCGGTACATAAGCTACCCTAGTCGCCCAGGAGCCAAGTGTTAGGCTTACTAGCCGGTGCTAGGTTCCTCAGCCATCGTCTGAGGGCGGCTGGTACTCCATACCCCGTCTCTGCACCTGTCCTGAGGCTCGGGCTTGCGGATGCACACCACCCTGCAAATGTACCTGGTACCTTTCTTACTAACCCGCTCTTGGCTCCTTGCCTCCCCCCCGGCCCTGGGGGTCCGTCCCAGGTAGGTCAGTCGTCATTCCAAGTGGGCGGCGATAACGAGGTGGTCCCGTGCCTTGTCCTTTATCGCTTGTCACAGTCGCTGTTGCAGCTTGTATTGCGCATGCGCAGCGCAGCCTTCCTGTTAGCCTCAAGCTTCCCCAACCTCCGACCTGACTCCTACTCCTCATCTATTACCCTCTCGCTCTCTCTCTCTCTCATCTTCCTCCTCTTTCTTCTTCTTCTTCTTCATCACCAACAACAACACAACCTGGACTCTCCATTATTCTTCCTTTTTGCATTACCTCTTGGGCTTCCTCATTCTTCTTATCCCCCTTTCCTTTCCTGGGCTTGCCTCCTTGCTGCCCTTTTGTAACCTGACCAGTCGCTGGTAGACCCACGAGCCGTTCCTTATCTCTCTATCTCCTCGCTCTCCATCACCTCATCATCACCATCATCACAATGAGAGGCCTGGCCGCCCTCTCTTTTGCAGCCACTGCTGTGGCTGCTGTCGTCCCTGCCTTTGGGACTGAGACCATTCACAACGGTGCCGCTCCTTTGCTGTCTTCCGTCAATGCCGAGGTCATCCCCGACCGTTACATCATCAAGTTCAAGAGCCATGTGACAGACAAGCACGCCAACGACCACCACGTCTGGCTCAGCTCCGTCCACAGTGCCAACCAGGAGGCCCACGAGCTTGAGCTGCGGAAGCGTGGCCAGTGGCCCCTCGAGGACGGTTTCACTACCTTCGAGGGCTTGAAGCACAAGTACTCCATCGGTAGCAGCTTCGCAGGCTATGCTGGCCACTGGAGCGAGGACACCATCGAGGCCATCCGCTCCCATCCTGATGTAAGTTTCTTTTTTCTTCTTGTTGTTCTTGTTGTATTTACTCGCCGGACCCTTAATCTCTTCACACTTCATGAGACAGAGAGCACATCGGCTGACTGAGGTTTCTGGTGACAGGTCGAGGCTGTTGAGCATGACACGATCGTCCACACGATGGAGTACAAGGTGGAGGAGTCCTGCAATGGCGAGACCGAGAAGATGGCTCCCTGGGGTCTGGCTCGTGTCTCTCACCGGAACACCCTTTCGTTTGGTACCTTTAACAAGTACCTGTACGCAGAGGACGGTGGTGAGGGTGTCGATGCCTACGTGATTGACACTGGTACCAACATTGACCACGTCGACTTCGAGGGCCGTGCTTCGTGGGGCAAGACTATCCCTAAGGGCGATGCTGACGCCGATGGCAACGGTCACGGTACGCACTGCTCTGGCACTATTGCTGGCAAGAAGTACGGTGTTGCGAAGAAGGCCAATGTCTATGCCGTCAAGGTCCTCCGGTCCAACGGCAGCGGCACCATGGCTGATGTCATTGGCGGAGTCGACTGGGCTGCCTCCAACCACCTTGAGCAGGTCAACGCCGCCAAGGATGGCAAGCGCAAGGGCTTCAAGGGCTCCGTCGCCAACATGTCCCTCGGCGGTGGCAAGACCAAGATGCTTGATGCTGCTGTGAACGCCGCCGTCGAGCAGGGCATCCACTTTGCTGTCGCTGCCGGCAACGACAACGCCGACGCCTGCAACTACTCGCCCGCCGCTGCTGAGAATGCCGTGACCGTCGGTGCCTCCGCCATCGATGACAGCCGTGCTTACTTCTCCAACTACGGCAAGTGCACTGACATCTTCGCCCCCGGCCTCAGCATCCAGTCCACCTGGATCGGCAGCGACCACGCCGTGAACACCATCTCCGGCACTTCCATGGCGTCTCCTCACATTGCTGGTCTCCTGGCCTACTTCCTGTCCCTCCAGCCTGCCAAGGACTCCGAGTACTCTCTGGCCGCCATCACTCCCAAGGAGCTCAAGAGCCAGATGATCAGCCTCGGCACCTCGGGCGCCCTCTCTGACCTGCCCAGCGATACCCCCAACGTGCTTGCCTGGAATGGCGGCGGTTGCAGCAACTACTCCGCCATCCTCGAGGCTGGTGGGTACGCCGTTCAGCCCAAGAGTACGAGCATCCTGTCGTCCGTTTCTGACAAGGTCGCCGAGGCTGGCGAGTCTCTGGCCGATAAGGTCGACAAGCTCTCCGAGAAGATCCACGAGCTCGTCGATGAGGAGCTCAAGGAATTCATGGACGAGATGACCATGTAAGGACCTGGGTTGAGTGATAGAACACCAAGCACCACGCGTTTGGCAGGATATTCATTATTGCCATCATCATAATCATCATCGTCATCATCACCACCCGTCAAGGGCGGGCTTGTCTTGATACAGCGTCGGGAATGGACGCGGCATGACACTCTGACGAGCAGGGAGCGGGCCGCCAACACTGACACCGCACATGGATGGGAGTTATCTTTTTTTTGTCTTCCCTTTTCTCGTTGTGTACGTGCATGCAGTCTTGTTGGCTTGGTCTGATTAGGCAGGGTTTTGGATGGACGGTTAAGAGGGTCTGGGCATATGTTCTCCATAATGGCACTCTCTCCCGCCCTACAACTAACTACAATACATTCTATGGTTTCCTTGTCTCACAAACCGTTCTGCCTACTTCTCGATCTGTATTTGACACAAGAGTTGTGTGTGCCCTTGTCAACAGATGTGTGTTACCGTGTGGTCACCAAGCGTTTTCGAATCGGTCGCGCCTTCTTCGAAAGTCACTAAAAAGGATAACCTCAACATGCTGTACGTTCGGGCTTTCCTCCCCAGACCATTTACTCTCCAGAAAGAGGCAGCGCCTTTGGTGTACTCAGGCAATGTTTGTTTTGATCTGTTCGCAACCCGCTCCACAGGGCCCATCAGAACCTCATCAGCCAGATCGCGGGCGGAGTTCATCCTCAACACAACGAGGCATCGTCTGTCGGAACGTACACAAAACTTGATATTCTTGAGTTACTTACACTACTCAATACACTGACGGTCTTACTCTGGCTTATTACTTGATATCCCCATCCCGAGGGCCCCTCCTTGTCTGTATCAGCAGTACTCAGTGTTGCTCAGCCTAGTCGTCCTCATTGCACGCCTCGAGCTTGTGCACAACCCCACTCCTCGTGGCACCCGGTCTTTTTGCCTTCCTCTCTACGCCATCATCGATGCTTCGACGACACAGTACCAAGTCCAAGGCGGGCCTCCAGCGGTGCAAGTCTACCCCGTCGGTGCGCGGCGTACCTCTTGAGCACATCAACGTCGCTGCTGCCCAGCGGGATGCAAAGCTTGCGGCTCTACAGGCCTTCTCCCGGGGTCAGGAACGTCACTCTGCCGAGGCGGCTCTTTTTCCTCCACAACAAGGCTCTTTCTATCATGAGGAAGGTGGCAGCCCAGCTCAACTGTCGCGCAATGATAGCGTGATCAGCCGGGACGGCGAGACAAATGGCCTGGCCCTGGGTCGTAGACACAGCGTCCGATTTGTAGGTCCAGATTCTGGCCTACAGACTCGAGCATCCAAGATCAACATGCGGAACGCCACCGTCGACAGAGACAGTGTTGTTACCTATCGCCGGTCTCTCCCAGGGCCACGAAGTTCGCAAGATATGGGCGGCATGCGCAGCAAAGCCCTCCAAGACGAAACGCAGGACATGAGATTGCCGGACCGAACTTCGTCCTGTGGGAAGACACTGGTGACACCAAAGACTGCTCTAAAGGAGGAATACCTCCAGGCCTTGGTCCCAGACACTCAACAATATACTCCGGAAGACGACATAGCTTCCATGCCATCCTCATATCGGCGGGTTCGCAAATCAAGGTCCATGTTTACGCCACACAATACTTTGACCAGTGATGATGCTCAGCCAGTGTCACTTTCCAGGATCGGCTCGACAAGCAGAACACAACAGGCTGCGTCTACGATGCTTCGACCTCGTTTCTCATTCTTGAACAGGAAAAATGAGTCCTCATTTGTGGCTCCATCACTCAGGGCACCCAAGTCGATGAGCTTCCTCAGGCACTGGCGAGGTCATACAGACGGAGCAGCACCGCCCTGCCAAGTCCCAACCCACGACAACCAACCAGCCTCACCAGAACATTCAGCCCAAGACTACTTCCATCGGTCACAAGATCTGCCTAAACCACGCAGACTCTCTGGGTCCATTGGACACAATATGAGCAAAAGTTTGAGGCATAGCAGCGCAAGTACCACCTCAGCCACGCCTGAGGCTACGGCCAGCATGGATACAAGTGCTCATGGGAGTTTCAGGGTCAAGGCGCGTAAAGTGTCATCTACTATGAAGTCCAGGATCATGAATTTATTCATGCACAAGAGCGAGGGCGATGCCAAGGTCCCACTCCAACAGGTTGAGGCTCGAATGAAGCATGTGTCAACCTCGTTCGATGAGGACGAGTTCGGGACGATTGCATACGAGACTATGGGTTCGCAGGCGAGGAGCCGCCTCTCCCGAGTTTCCTCTTGCGTCCCTTCCCTGCATACTGTGCCTTCAGGTGAGAGGTTGCGGTCTCTGAGAGGAAGCATCGAAAGCACTCAGAGCGAGGCGAGAAAGGTGTCGGAAGAGAGGTCTCGGGTCACAAGCTGGGCCAGCACAGAGGGCGAGACCGTCGTTGCCCATAGAGCGCAAGGGTACAGCTCGGACGAGTGGCCAAGGCAGCGACTCTCCGTCATCACAGAGTCATGTCTTCATTCACCAATCCCCTCGTTGGAGCGTCCAAGCATCAGCCTTCAGACCATCACGTCTCAGGAGGAGTTGGTCCCACCAACAATCATGGAGCGTTTGCCTCCGGGAGCAACAGTTGACAGCCAACGTGTCTATTCAGCTCTCATGAAACGGATGGGAGAGACACGGCATCTTTATGAAGAAGTGGTCGAGCAGCGCAAGTCAAGTGACACTTCAGATCCCTTCCGGACGTTGTCGCCTCCGACCAGTGAGGAGAGCAGCGGCAGAGAAAGTTCAGCCTCTTTTACTCGTACCCATGCGACAACCAGTGGCCATCCGGAGATCAGATACGACCTTGCGGAGTCATTGCGCTCATCTGAGGCAACTAGAAGCTCTCAGGAGACTTCCCACGGTCCTCAGTCTAGGTCTCACTCGACTCTCCCGCCTCCGTTGCATCTGGTCCCTGGAGGTGCAGATTTATGCCACCTGAAACCTATCATGGATAGAAGCTCTACATTCTTTGGAAGTCCGACGTCTCATCTCTTTCGAACAAAGAGCCCGTGGCGGAGAACCCTGCAGGAGGCTATGGAGAAGGCCAACACGTTGTCTGAAGAGCCTCCGGTCAACTCAAACGAAACCATCGCCGCCACCTCGACCACCACTGAGGCTGCGGATAAGAAGGCAGTGACAGACTCGGCGAGCAACTACTCTCAGGACACGCAGGTTTATAATTCCGCGACTGATCACAACTCGTCTGTCGCGGGACGCCCTCTAGTGGTCGAAGCAACTACTACCTACCGCCCTACAGGAGAGCGCCTAGCCTCCACTGCGAGTTCTGTCGACTGGAAGACAAGACTCTCCTTTGAGGTCGAGAGGGCGGAGGACTGGCTTCCATCCCCGACGCGGGTCAGTGGACGGGCGTCTGAGGTCGAATATGTCGTGCCAACGATGCCGCGAGCGTTTGGTCAAGGCCACGTACGCGAGGCAGCACAGATTGGGCCCTACGAAGAAGATGAGCACAGGTCAACAACACCTGCCGTGCGCATGCCCACAAACCCTACGACACCTCTCAGCAGTGTCGAGCCCAATATTAACAAGCTCACTCCTCAACAGCGTTCAGTCATGCAGACTACACCACCTTCAGCAGGGCCGCTTCAGAAGAGCGTGTTGCCAATATCCAAGACGACAGGTTCTTTGGGGGGAGATATGCCCTCGTTCGTGGCTTCCAGGGATGCTATGCGACCACGAGCATCACCCCTGGACAGCAACACTGGCTCCTGTGAAGAAGAGGCTGGGAAAGGCAACATCTCACAACTGAAGACACCAGGACAAGAAAATGTTGTTGAGGTCAGACAGGCAAAGTCACTTGCCCACGTCAAGAGCTATAGCGGACTGTGCTCCGAAGAGACGGGCTCGCCGCTCCGGCACAGAGGATCGCCCACAATCCGGTTGATGAGAAAGCAGGTCGCCAAACTAGAGCCCAACTCGGAGTCTGTAACCTCAACCCCGGAGTTCAGCAGTGCTTTTAAGCGCCACTTTGGGCCGCTGGCCTCTTCTCCACGTCGTCGAGATGACGTTGTGGACAAGGAGAACCAGAGCCCTACCAACAAGGCCTGGGGCCATGGCAGCCAGAGTATGGTGGATTTCTTTCTCAACACTCGAAGAAGGCAGGGGGCGAGTAGTAGTGACGGGCCAGCTTTTGTATGAGATGTTCCGGAGCAGGCCGGAAGGGTATGATCTGCATGTAGCATTACGCGATGGTGGTTTGTATGGGAGTGTACATTTCTTATGCGTGGCGGACAGACATAGGTTGGAGGTTATAGGAGGTTATAGCATTGTTTATGAAGACACGCAAACGAGCTGGAAGGGAGTATCAACTGATGGATTGGAGCCTACCACTGTAATGACGGGCATGGGGACGAGAGTGGGCATTGGGTAGTATTCGGAACAGAATTCGAGGGGCATCTCCATCATTGAACAGTACCCCACCTCCAGAAGAAAGCAGTGATCAATTTGTCAGCTGTAAAGATAGGACGGTAGCATGGTCACGACGATAACGACGAGGCTGAGCCTTCACTGCAACTGTCCTATGGTATATGTCCTGCACTTGCGGCACTACTTTGTTGCTATTGTACGGGGCCATTTTTCGGTTGAAGCCATAAGCTTTAATTGCGGTCCCTCTCTTGGCGCTTGTAGCTAGCCTGGCGCTTGCGGCCAGCCTCGGGAAGCCCTGGAGGTGGATACGTTCGGGTCTCTCGAATGGCCCGACTCTCTCTAATCATATTGACACATGTTGCAGTACCGGCCGGTACAGGCAGTGAGGTCATCGATTTTTGTCTCCTTCCTCATGGATGGACGTGTAAGTCTCTCCCCCCCGCCCCCTCTCAAGCAAGAGTATTCTATCCTGTGTAGTTCCAAATCGAATACAATAGCAATTTCATTTTCTGCATAGTCAGAAACGATAAGGAACACCCGCTCCGTGCACAGCACCGAAGAGAAAAAGGAGTAAGGTTACTTGCACTTCTTGGTTGCCAGGGCGCCCTTTTCACTCATTGTGGGTTGATCAGTGGAGAAGGACGAGAAACAAAGCTGGCTGGCCCCGTTGATGATAAAGCAACTATCGTTATCATAAGAATAAAGAAAGAAAAAAAGAAAGAAAAAAAGGTCTGCTGGCCTCGGGCTCGTGATGCCGCGGTTGGAGGAGGGTCGTCGATTACTGATTAACCTTGCTGGAGGTGCTGGGAATTCTAACGCGTGCCGTCTCATCTTGTCATCGGGTCTGGTGGGTCGTCTGCCTTTTTCTCTGTTCTTTTCTCTTCCTTTTTCTTCCTTCCTTTCCCCGTTTTCATTCATCATCAACTCATTACTACCTACCTACTTGTCATTTAGACGTCTCTCCTGTATCTGGTCCGGGAGTAACTACAATTGTTGACGGTCTAAATTCTGTCGTATAGTTCATTCCAACGCCCTTGCGAGCACCTGCAATAGCAGCGGCACCACCAGCGGCACCACCCACTAAGCAAGCCGCATTATACTACCGCCCACTGACATCAGCCCACCCTTCTGCCATTTCGGCTCCGGCTTTGTACTACCACCACCACGCCAGCAGAGGCCTGAGATTCTACTCTACAAGTCGTCATCATCATAAAAAGACGACGACGACGACGCCGCCACCTAGAGCAGCAGGCCTAGGTCCATTTGGTAAAGCGTTTCTACTTTTCCCGGCCGCGGCTATAGGGATTGGGGTTCTAGGTGGATACGTCTCTATCAATCCGTTCTCAACAAGTACATCGGTCTCTCCTCAGAATAAAGAGGGCAACAATAGCAGCAGCAGCATGTCGTCCAAGCTGATTCCCACCAACCCGGCGGATGTCATGGTTATCCGCGATGTCACGCCTAATGTGATCACCTTCTCGGTGCCATTCAAGCGGTTTGGAATCATTCCTATTGGTGGAAGGGGTACTGTTGGTGAGTCTAGTGTTGCGTGCTCAGTCACTTTCAAACGGCTGAGCGAAGGGGGGAAGGCAAGCGTGGGATGTGAACGAGACATGCAGTATAGCACAAGGTGGCGCTCGCTCCAGTGCGCCGCTTGGCTTCATGGCTTGCATATGGGCCGTGCGCTGATCGATATCTCACCTCTCTCATTTGCTTGCTGGCCACTCATCACACCCCCCCCCCCCTCCCTAAGGCCAGGAAAGTGAGACGAGCGAACCAGGTTATTGACATCTTCGTACAGTAAAATTGACATCTGGCTCCCTCGCCGTCTTCTCTCCTGTCGCCCTCACCCCGGAGGTTCAGTCCAAGCTGGCTACCCTGGGGGGCACGGTCAAGTACATCGTCGCCCTAGACTATGAGCACCACATTTTCATCACCGAGTGGCACAAGGCGTACCCCGAAGCCAAGATCATCGGTCCAGAGGGCTTACCCGAGAAGCGAGCCAAGCAATCGGCCACGGACCCAAAAATTGGCAACGAGGCGTTTGCGGTGGTGTTTCAGGCCAAGGACAAGCTCTCGCAGCGGATAGACGAGGAGTTTGACCGCGACTTCGCGTACGAGTACGTGGATGCGCATGCCAACAAGGAGCTGGTCTTCCTGTACAAGCCGGAGAAGGTGCTTATTGAGGCGGATCTGATGTTCAACCTACCGGCGACGGAGCAGTACAGCCGGTGTCCCGAGGCGGAGCGCAAGGTGGGCTTTCCGGCGAAGCTGTTCACCAGCATGCAGAGCACCGAGGGCGAGGCGAAAGGGATGAAGAGGTTCTTGTGGTACGGGCTGAGCAGCAGAGACCGAAAGGGCTTCAACGAGAGCATCGCGAGGATTGATGCGTGGGACTTTGAGACGCTGGTGCCGTGTCATGGCGAGACCATCGTGGGGACTGCGCGTTCGACATGGAGCAAGGTTTTTGAGTGGCATTTGACTGGTAAGAAATAAGGACAAGGTGGTGATAATGTGGATGATGATTGACTGTCCTGGGAAGAGAAGACATAATGAGTGGTGACGGTTTCATAACTTAATCTGTTCGCAATGCATGAGGGAGGCTTTGACAAAAACAGCTGGAAGAAAACGTGGACGGGGTAATGCGGTACATGACGAGAAGGTTGTAATAAAGTCAGTTGATAACATATTCTTCATCATTCCGACACATGTCTGAATATTTTGGGGGTATTTCCTTTCTTATTCTTGAACTAATTATGTGAGGAAGGAGTGAGGGAAGACGGGTTCGGTCTGGCAGCGATAACGATAAGCCCTCTATTTTCTGGGTTACACTGAGTAATCACATCGTACCTCTCGAACCTCAACTTGAGCTCAAGCTTCTCACGTTCTATACCCAGTTTTCATGAACGGCCCCTCTGCACCCACAACGAAACGCTCAAATGTGAACCCCCGCCATCCCTCCAAGCGTCCACTCCAGTACATAGGGCGTCTACATGTCCCTCAATGGCAGGCTGACCAGCCTGCGACCCGTCGTTGCCCGCCATGCAAACTGCCGACTGCTTGTGCAATTACCACTCGTCCGCCCACAGCGCCGGTGCTTGAACGAGTTTATACACAAAGGTCAGAGAGGGAGGAGAACAAGAAGTTCCTTACGCACAAGAAAAGCAGCTGACTTATGCAAGAGCAGCCCTCGACGCCGAATCCGAAACCACTGCTCCGCCTCACCAACCCAAAAACTCCTTCCGCCTCGCCGTCAAGGATAACATTGCGACCCTCCCCTCCGATGGCTCCACGACCTGCGCCTCGGGTATCCTGGCTGATCATGCCTCACCTTTCGAGGCCACGGTCATAGCCCAGCTCAGGCGACGCGGCGCCGTGGTCGTGGGCAAGACGAACCTGGACGAGTTTGGTATGGGCGGGCACAGCATGAACTCGGTCTACGGTCCCGTTGTGCAGAAGGGGGTCACACGCAGAGGGCCAGGGTCAGATTCTGCCCGTCACAACGATAGTGTTGGTGATGGTCCTGCGGACAGGATGCCCGTAGACTTCAGCGCTGGCGGCAGCTCTGGTGGCAGCGCCCTCGCCGTCGCCTCGGGCACTGCGGATGTCGCGCTCGGCACCGACACGGGTGGGTCTGTGAGGCTGCCGGCGGCGTACTGCGGAGTGATCGGGTACAAGCCCAGCTACGGAATGATCTCGAGGTACGGAGTCGTACCGTATGCGAACAGCCTTGACACGGTTGGCTTCCTGGCTGGGGATGTGAGGAAAATCAGGGAGCTGGTCGTGGAGGGGGGGTTGTGGGCGGAACATGACCCGCGCGACCCGACCAGCCTCTCGGTTGCTGCCCGGGCCAGGTGTGCAGCCTCGAGGGACAACTACCGAAATCCGGATGCGACCGGCCCTGGTGGGCCGACAGGGAGTGGGTCGTTGCGCCCGCTGACATTTGGCATCCCGTTAGAGTACAATATCGAGGAGCTCGAGCCGTGTGTCCGCCAGGCGTGGCAAGACACGGCTACCCTTCTGCGCGACAAGATCGGCGCGAGAGTTGTCCCTGTCTCGCTGCCCTCCACCAAGCACGCGCTCTCCGCTTACTATGTCATCGCCCCCGCCGAAGCCTCCTCGAATCTGGCCAAGTACGACGGCGTTCGATACGGTCCCAGACAGCCCGAGATCGAAGGCAACGGCGCGGGCAATGGCGTCCTATACTCGGCTGTACGGGGCCAGGGCTTCGGCGCGGAAGTCAAGAGGCGCATCCTGCTCGGCTCGTACACCCTCAGCTCCGAAGCCATGGACAACTATTTTGTTCAGGCACAGAGGGTGCGCCGACTCGTGAGGAGGGATTTCGACCGGGTCTTTCAGCTGGCAAACCCCCTGCTGGACGAGGACGATCAGCACTTTGACCTGGCGGACCTAGACGAGGGTGTTACCCTGGAGAACAAGCTCGGCCCGGCGCAGGTGGACTTCCTGCTGTGCCCCACCGCCCCAACGCTGCCGCCGACACTGGCGCATGTGCAGGCACGGCAGGAGAGGAACCCCACCGAGGCATACATGAACGACGTCTTAACCGTCCCCGCCAGCCTGGCTGGGTTGCCCGCCATTAGTATACCCAGGGGGGTGAAGGGCGCGTCGGTGCCTGGACCAATGGGTATCATGGGTCTGCAGGTGATTGGACAATTTTGGGACGACGCAAGACTGCTCGCGGCTGCAGAAGCTCTGGCGGCATTGGGCGAGAGCACTTAAGTAGTCAGCAACGGCCAGTCCACACCGACTGGCATGCATAGCAATGGCAAAAACATCATGTCCCAGTTCGAAATGTCAATGTTTGTTGTGCCTTCAGCCTCGGTGAGGGCGCTTCCACGTCCAATAGGTAAGTTGAACATATAACATACACCACAGATAGAGTCAAGGATATGATCTGAATGTATTCATCCTGAAGCAAAGTGGTAAAAAGAAAAGGAGAAGAAAAATCCAAAATAGATCGCCAAGGACCCCCAAGCCAGTCGGGGGAATCGAGTTGTAAACCCCAAGCGCGTGAGACGGAGTGGTTTAGACACAACGTTAGGTTTCTGCAGGCAAGCATAAACAGAGACCTAGCAGAGAGCCCAAACCCCTTTGGTAATTTATACTAAGCCTCGCAACTGGACGAACCTATTCATGGCAAGTTGATCCCTAGGTGAAAGTGGAAGGTTGGGGGGGGGGGGGGTGCAAATGAAGACGGGTCCCAGTGATGAGGCTTGCCCACGCGAGCAAGGTCACCTACAGTACCCCCAATGCCTTATGTCGACGCACAGGCATAGAGCCTGCCGTCATAGCTGGCCAGACTGTGCCCCCAGCTCCCAGCTCCCAATTCCCCAAAGACGAAGTCCTTGTCCATTCTAATTGTCGATCTCGCGGGTCCTGCCTCGAACGCTTCTTGCCGGATGAAGGCCGTCCATCCTGCAGAGCTTCTGTTCAACCAAGTCCTGCATGAAATGGTATCACACTTTTAAACCGCGAGAGGCCTTCTCCACGCAGAACCGCCATCAAAATTTGCAACGAAAGAGGAGTTCCAGGATCAACGCGTGGTCTTGGTGGCGAACTGCATTATGGCGAACATAGTGCCGTCCCGCCTCGTCGGGCAGCTCAATCTGGAGGGCTCGTCTCGGGTCGGAGCGGGGCAGGCTCTGCCTACTGCGTAGAATCGCTAGGGACAGACCTAGCTATGTCGAGGTTGTCGGGCCCGACCACCAGCGAGGTCAACATCGACCGGTCCAGCATAGAGGTTCAGTCGTGACCTGTTCGGACCCAGCCTTTTTTTTTGCTTCCACGGAACTGACGGTGGCCCCTTCGTGCCAACACCCCTGGGTCCTCGATGAAAGACGTAGAGTCTCATTGGGTAGACATGGTCTCTCCAGTATGATAAACTGCTTGCCTCGACCAGGCTTCCGATTCCGCACTGCTCTAGTGAGGTTACAGAGCCATATTTGTCTGCGCTCTTATCTTCAATGTCGCTCGAATATTCGTCTCAAGGAGTACCGTCTCGGTTGTTAGGCGTTTCTTCCCGGTCGACCTCCATCTGGCCCTCCGATCCGTCCTCGTCGTCATCACGGCCATTCCTCTCAACATCATTCCTCCTCTCTCCACCGTCTCCGTTCTCGCTGCCACGACCGTCTTCCTCCATGTGCGCGTCCTGGTCCTTCTTCTCCTCTACCTCGCCCTCGTCGTCCTCCTCCAGAAGATCCTCAATATCGCCAAGCGGGCTGACCCTCGGCTCCAGCTCATCCAAATCCTCCAGCAGGTCGCGGCTCGGCATCTTCCACAGGCTCGTGCCGCAAACCCTGTCCTTGACGAGCAGGTCGTCGACAAACTCGTCCATGTACGTCAAGGTGGTGCCGGCGCGGCCCTTGCGGCGTAGTTTCCTGCGGTCCTCGAGGTAGGGCTCCAGCAGGGTGTAGACGTCGCGGGCGCGGCGGGTCAGGCGGATGTAGAAGATGGCGAGGGCGCGGAGGTACTTGAAGCGGTCGCCGCCGAAGCGGAGGTACTCGCGCAGGACATCGTCGGGCGGCGCGAGCTGCAGCAGCTTGAAGGCGAGGCACAGGAACGGGGTGGGCCGCTGGGCGGAGCCGTATGTGCCACCTATGAAGTGCACGTGGTCGACGACACGGTCGACAATGTCGGCCTCGTTGACGGCGAAGCACTGCTCTTTGAAGAAGTACGAGTCGACTATGCGCTCGCGCACAGCCTTCTCCATGATGGTTGCCGGGTTGAGGCCATTGGGCGCGAGGGTGGCGCTGCTACCACGCTCGTCAAGAAAACGCCGCTCGTCGGCGCGGTGAGTTCGCTCGCTCATCTTGGGGAGGACGTCGGTCGTGGGATGGGGAGGGTTGGGAAGAAGTTCCTTCTCGTTGCCGGCTTAGTCGATGTCGAGTTTTGCCAGGAGGTGCCGAGACCAGACCAGCAGCAACAGCAACAGTGCAAGGTCGAATTAGGACTGTCCCAACAGCGTGGATGGCGTTGACCGTCTGATCGAGTCAGGCGGATCAAGAAGGCTTTGTACCCCGTCCCGTAGCTCGATTGCTTCCCCAGATTTTTTCTCGGCTGCGAACAAGGTCTGGATGCAAATATGCACGATGCACGATTGCACGCCATCTAAAAGCTGCAAGCTCCTGCAGAAGGGCGGGTCCCCCACCAAGGATGTACTGTACCGCCTATAAGTTGGAGGGTAGGTCTTATCGATAAGACTAACAGCAGCTCGTTGCTGTGGTGGCCTTGTTTGTTAGATTGCCTTATTGGGGAGGTGACGCAACCCACACCACCCCCCACGCACAGCCCCAGCCACCGGGGTTTCCCGCCCGTTGAATCTTCACGCGACGGATTCCATTTCATCAGCAGCAAAACAATCCAACTTGCTACACCCTCCCGTCTCGATGTTCGTTTAACTTTCGTTTAATTTTCCCGTCTCATCCCGCTTCGATGTCATACCTCTACACGCCTTGTGTATAAAGAACAACGCCAAATATAAACAATAAATCATGTTACTCACGTCGTCACAAGTTTCCGTCGCCATATCCTCCGCCATTGGTAAGTGCTGCTGCTTCCTCCCTCTCCCTTTGGGAATTCATATGTTGGTAATTACACCCATTTATTCATTCATAATGCCCCCGACTGACGTACCAACTCTTTCTTTGCATCAAAAACAGTCGTTGCCTTCACGGCTGCGCTGTTCCTCAGCGGCTATGTCATCCAGCAGAGGACCGTACGCCACCTGCGCGCTGCAATCAGGCCCGACTCGTCGCCGCAGATATACCTTCCCGACCGATTCCGAGATGACACGACCGAGCTGGCCGACGGGACGATTGTCATGCTGGACGAGTACGGCCGGCCGGTGAGGTTGAAGTCAGGACGAATCAGCATCGGAAAGGGCTCTGCTGCTGCTCCTGCCCACGTCGAAGAGATGGGCAACAGCGAGGACAACAATGAGCTTGATGAGATCATCGAAATTGAAGTCCAGGAGACACTACCAGAGCTCACGGACAAACAAGGCCAGGTTGTGTTTGCCGACGACAGCGCTGCACCCAGTTGGGTGGACGGTGACGAGGTCCGCAGGCAAGAAGAGGAGCAACAAGAACAAGAACAGCAACGACCAGCTCAGGAAAAGCCGGTCCAGGCGCCGCAGCCAGCACCATGGGAACTCAGACGGGAGGATCTGCCCGAGGATCATTCTGCTCCGAGCCCAAGCGGGGAGGGCGAGAAGCCCATCAGCAGGGCAGAGCGCAGGAGGCTGATCAAGGAAGAGATCCAAAGGCTGTCGCAGGGCGAGGAGCCCCTTTACTACCAGCGACGGCTATGGTGAGGAAAGTGATGTGGGACCTGAAATGGAAATTGCAAGAGGTTGGGCGGTCTTAATCTTTCTTGCAGCGAGTACATTGCTTGGGCATCTGTGTCACAACGCTGGCTTAGATACAGCTCTTCACTGCATGTATGTGTATATATGGGATCACAAGGGCCACGCTGACGGATCAAGAATTAACGAATTGATGTCTCATGACTGTTACTATTCCTTTTTGAAAACCTCCAATCAGTCTGATGCAATCTGCTTAGCCGATTTCCATTGTCCTCCTGTTCCCTCTTTCCCCGACTCATGGATTATTTTGATACTGATTATTCGATCCCGTGTCCAGCACAGAAGCTTCTTGATCGTTACAAAACCAGTAACTCAAGATGATTTCTTCTTCTTCTGAAACATGACCGCACCCAAAAAGCAACGAGAAAAAATCCCAGATCCAGACTCCAAGTGACAAATGACCTCGCAATTTTGAGAATTCCATGACCGACCCATTGATTGATTCCCAGTAGTACACCTCGTTGCGGCCATCCCATTTGCGCCTTTGCAAGTCAACCCCGTGCCCCGTTTGTACCTTCTGCCGGGCAGATGGATGGGACCCCAATCCACAGAATAGCCCTCCTGCGGTGTGGGGGTTGACTTGACGTCATTTCATATCGTGATAATTGTTGATGTTCCTTTTAGCTTCTCTGGTGGCCTGACGAGACTGAAGAGGAGCGAAGAGCCCATTCAGTTCTTGTATCGAGGGTCAACCCGGACAGTCCTGCCTGATGACGACTCGTGGGGACGGTGGTGATGTCTCCTGGGAACTTCGATGGCGGAGCCTTTGGAGCGGTGGGCGTCCTCGGGCAGCAGGCCGTCACTCATCGAGGCGCCGCTTTTGAGGGAGAGGCACAGCTTGCAGCGATCGCCGAAACGGCTGACGACATTGTGGCAGTTGACGGAGCCCTGTGTAGGTTGGTAGGGTTAGTCTTGATACTGTCGTGGTGGCGATGATGTCGATGCCTCTTGACTTTGTTCACCAAACTTGCAACTTACATAGTAGTTTGCACAATATGAAGACATCTTGTGGCGGGGTTTCGTGGTTTGTGAGATGTGATGGAAATGAAGATCGATCAACGGATCTCGATCGCTTGATGGTATATGAAGGCGAGCCGGGTCATCCAACTTGGTAAAGTGAGGGTGTGATCCAAGACAGCTGGTGGCGGGACGATGTCACTCTTCCTATATGGAGAGAGAAGCAGAGTTGGATGGGGTGGATGGAATCAAAGAATATGAGGTTGTATTGCACCGGTTTTACTGCTTGGCAGTGATATAATAGAAAGATGGAGGGAGGGAAGGAAAAGAAGCGAGGGAGAGAGAGGGCAGGAGGTTAGAAAATCATTCCTGGAGCTTTCCTTCCTTTATGTATACCAGCCCTTCTCTCCCTCCTGCCCTCTTGTCTCTTTTTTCCTCTACTCAAAGGGAGGACAGGGCAAGAAGTAAGACCAAAATACGCCCAGACGGCACCTAGTAAACGATAGTACACAGACAAGTACCAATGAGAAAAACAAGTAATAAAAAAAAAAGGCCCCTCAGAGGCTCGAGTCAGGGGGGGCCCGGGAAAGGCAAAGAAGAAGGGAAAAAAAGCAAACAATGAGGTCCATCCCATTCCTCACCCAAATCACTCGAGCTTGTTCTCCTTACTCCCTGGTCGCGACACACACACACACACACCCACCCATCCTGACACCCACACCCCCCTACCATAGTACATCGCCACACCCACCACACAACCGGGAAGCCGTTCAGGGTCTGCCCGTGTTTGACGTGATGCAGTGTAAAGTCTAGACGCCTCCCTAGCCCCGTCCCGTCAAGCGTGAACACTATCCCTGTCCGACACCATCTTTTCATGTCCCCGCTTTTCTTTTCACTTTTTTCTTCCTTTGGTCATTTTTCTATACTACGATAACATACTGATAATACACGTTCCCCTCAGCGGTAAGAGAGTCTTGCGTGTACACATACGAGCCTTTCCCACCAACAGTTTCCCTCCACGATTGGGAACACGCATGGCTGATGTCATTCCCATTTTGGCAACTCCAGATCTGTACTATAATTAACAGTAGGCTGTGCGATACTCCGCAAACACGCGTGGACCCAATCGATGCCGCCTTCGCTCATCGTCATAGAGAGAGAAATAAGGAGAAGGGGAAGAGAGCTTGCGCCTCTGGTGGCAGGCAGCACGAGTAGGGCTGGAACTCTTTTCTAACTGTGATCAGTGCCGGTTTTGATTACCCTTAAACCGGCCCGAAGACAGCACACAATAGTACTGCACGACGGAGATATCTACGGTGAATTTTTTTTGGAGGGAGATGAGACATTTGCTCATACGAACGCTGATCCCATCCCTGGTGCTCTGCTACAGGAAGTAGTTCCCGACCCGCGACGTCTGCCTTTTGTCCTGATGCGGCAGCGGAATCAATTTTCTCTCCTGTACGTATGTCTTGTCTCTCTGTCTCTCACACGCGCTTCTCTTTCACTCTGTTTTTCCCACCTCTCTCTGCACGCAGTGTCCTCTTCTCTCAATTGCAAGGTCATACCCTCCGTACCAATCCCTAGTAGGCACAGAAGACGTCAAAGAAGCATCCGAAAGTCCTCCTTCTTTCGGCCATGTTTCGTCGGTAAACTCTGCCGAGACGAAGAGGCTGCGCACAACACACATCTAGCTCGCTCGAGACGCGCACCCTAGCGCGACTCCACAGTCTTGCCGTGGCTTTTTATGCTTTGCTTGGGCGGGAAGCAAGGCCTGGGTTGTGCTTGTAAAGCCCGATGGGGCCTCTTTCGGTCCGTGTCTGCATGCGTGAAAGCTTGACGACGTGGGTCCAGGAGGCCTTTGCTTGTCTGCTCGGTTAGTTGATCTGATAGAAGGAGGGTGGGAACCCTGACCCTACCAACCCAATGGCCTATTATTATAGTAGTACACTGTGGACACTTATACTAAGTGGCGTAGCACTGCTATCATAACCCTTGGATAGAATACCCGTGGAGCCTGTTCGTATAATATGATGCCCAATGTGGCCCACGGTTTCCCTCGTGAGGGAAGCCTCATGTCTGAGTGGGAAGTTGTCTTGCCTTTTGTCATTTTCTCTCTCTTCTTCTATCTCTCCCCTCGTAGTATGCGGTGTCGCGACGTCGTCTCGGACTCAGACTACGACCACCAATCCTCCTCGGGTTGCAGGTTTGTGGGACCCTCAATGCGTCGACCGTCAGGGCCAACAGGAGCTGGGAGAGGGATTCTTGCTTCTGGTCGCGCAACCAACCTGCCGCGCCATGTTAGACATGTTACTAGTCTTATCAACAACGCCTCAGAGCGAGCCAGACAGCATGTCTAGCGAATAGGGAACGGGCTTTCTCTTGTCTGTCTGCCTCAGCTTCATACTGTAGTACAAAGCACGGTACTAAGGCCTAGGCCTGTGATACTCGGGACTCAGTCCACCTCTTGTGGGACCCGCGATTTGCTGGGCGGAGACTCTTCACCAAGTACTAATTATATAGCGTTCAAGATTAGGGCTATGGGTCTTTTACCCTCGGCTTTCAGCTGCTCGATTGACCACCAAATCATCATATCACCTTACATGTACAAGTGAAACAATTCTGACCGATATGATGAGATCTTCCATCTGTAATATACTCTATCTGTTGATCTTGAAAAAACTTTTCTTAGACTATAACATGTTTTATGTACAATCACGAATGTTGACGAGCCGTCTGAGGGATTACACTCTTGGCATGAACCAAACAGGCCCTGTGTCAGCAACAGGTGCCCAGACACTCGGGATTCTGGCTGTTGCGGTTCCTCCCGCATGGATGCATTCGGTGTAGAGTTGCATCCCTCTCCTCCTGTGACAGGCTCTGTCTGGTGCGTGAGTTTTGAGACCAAGGGACATCCCAAACGTTCACTCACAGATCTCTTCTGTCTGTTACATCAGTTAGTAGCCAAGCAAAGCAGCCAAGCAGCGAACGAGAACTCTTGGCTGTACTTCCGTGGTGGTTAGTCAACTGCTCAAGCTGCTGCCCGCTAACAGTTCCTTTGTCATGATCGGTTGTTGCCCGCCAGGCATCAAAAACATGAATCAGTTCAACGACAGCCCAGATCTTGTCGAGTCAAGGAGAGCTCCAAAAATAGGCGAGCTTCCGACGTCATTCGTCTATCCGATTGCTGTTTGCATCATCCCCAACGGTCATGCTCTTTATTGCTCTTCCCAACTGTCTGTTGTGCGGACATTGTGTGGGCAACGGCTCCTCAACATTCATCATAGCGGCGCAGTATTGACACATATGCACGCATGCGTACGTCTTAAAAGCTCAAGAAAGCGGATCCCTTGACGGTGATAATGATATAAAGTAACACAATTAAGGTATGTGCTTAGGTAAGTGATCTATTTCAGTTCTCCCTAATATGAGAGCTCAATCTAACTTGACTAGAATAAACATATCACCTAAGAACGACACGCCACTCCCTCATCACAAGCATATGACTTTTCGAGAAAAAGACGAACGGCCTGTCTCATGTCTCATGCCGGACAGCCTTCCCAGCCTACCAGCCTGCAGTACTTGGAAAGTCTGGCGAGCCATGTTGCATTGACCTGCTCTGACACTACATTAGCCTACAGTGCACAGCATACACCGGGTTGGAAGTTTATCATCACTGGTGGTCTTGCGCCGCATTGGTGGGGTTAAACTCTGTAAGCCCCGAGGTGAACGAAATCTGGTAAGATAAAAGGGCAATGCATGGGCCTGGGCTGGTGCAAGCCAGGTTCTGGACCTTGGAAAGATCAGCACTACCATGGTACCTTCAAAGTTCAGTCCCCCGTCACCGTTGTGTCTGAAAGAGAGAGAAAAGAAGAAGACAAGTTCTGATTCTGTACATTGTCTCTCCTTCTCTTGTGCACTCTGTGAGGTTTCCCTATTACGTCTCTGAGACAGTGACATTCCTCGCCTAATTCGGAAATCACGATTCCAAAAAGGTAAAATCTTAAACACGGTGGAGTCCCCAAAGAACCTCTACGAATAGTTAGGCCTGTGCGTGAACCATCATGATACAAGCTCGGTTCCCGCCAGCCCTTGGTTCAAACAAAACAAAAAATGGCTGGCCTCATCCTCCTCCTTCTTCTTCTCCTCGTTCCTTCCCCTCGGCCCCACAAACTCAACACTATCCTTACACCTCGGATCGACCTCCCCCGCCGTCTCGCAACGCAAACGAATGCGGAAACCGGCAACCACCTCCTGACGGGGGGGCCCTTTTCAGGAACCCGTTTTTTTTTTTTTATATAATCCGGATCACGATCCACCCAGCTCGCACATACGATGTTGCAGAGTCTGGTCCGCTATTATGACTATATCCTTGGCGTCCCAGCCTTTTGTTTTTGAGCGGTAGGGTCCAGGAGTCAGGATACACGGAGCAAAGGTATTTGGAAATTGAAAATTGTTGGACCTCGATGCAAACAGGCCGCTTCAACAATAAAGAAAAATTGACGAGTTCGTCTATGTTGGCCAATAATTACGTACTTGGACCGTTCATGGGCTCATCACTCCTCAATCTTCGTATTTCTCTGGTCTGTCTGTAACTTCGTGTGTCTCTTCCAGCCGTAATTTACGTACTCCATGTCGGAATCGAGTGAGAGGTGGAAAGGCTGGCTCCGATTTCCAGCGTCACACCAATCTTGAGCTTAAGCTTGATTCATCTGATCCTCGACATGTCGTTCTTGAAAATCCAGATGAAGCAAATGACTAACAAGACATCCATCATGTGTAACGTTGTCATGCTAGAGCAAGTAGTCAAGAGAATGCAGGGTTATACTTTGTTTATTTTCATTCGTGTTCTTTTGGCCTTCCTTTTCTTTTCTTTTCCTGTTTTCCCTCCCCTAGTCGAGTGGTCACCTGATGCTCATGCAATGCGAGCGGCGAACCCACCTCGAAGAGACATTGTAACCGTTTTCCACAAACAAACCCGTCATGATCTCACAGTCCGGAGATAGACTATTGAAAGAGGAAGAAACGGAGGAATTTTGAAGGGAAAATGGATACATGAAGTTGTGGTCAATCGTTCCACCTACATCATGTTTCCATATGTGTCTTGCGATCTATACAAGTCCACATAGCGCTGGGGCCGCCGAGGTGCCCAAACCGCTTCCTCGACCACTCACAAAAATCGATAGTCTCGAAAAAGAAACCTCAAAGGCCGTTTTGTGTAACCTGAAAAAGGCACTGTAAGAACGCACTACCACCGGACTTCTTTCTCCTTCTTCCACCCCCCGGGGCGGTCTTGCC